AGCATGGGGATGGGGGAATGCATCTTTCAATTTTAAAAGTTGAAAATGTCGTTCACACTCTCTATCTAATAAAAATCATGGAATCCTATTTTGTAAATTGACACGAAACAAAACAAGAGACTGCGAATGATACAAACTTGATTGTTTTCAAGCAGATCTGGTCATTTTATTTCCGAACTCAATACACAAGTTTGAACGACATTGTCATTTGGACTGCGTTGCATGAGAACATATTTAATTAGTAAGCTTGGGTTGATCTATTCAATGCTGAGCCTCTGCCTGTGACATGATGATCGGTCGGTGTTGCTGCGCTCGGTAGACAACGCTCCCTTGGTAGTCAGAGCGTCGGTTTCTCCAAGCTCCCATTAGGTAGTTCAGGCCAAGGCTCTTCCGAGAGGTTTACTCATGATGAGGATGCTTTGGGGCAGATGTGAACTGCACCCTGAGAAATACACCAGCTGCTTCTAGACTAGGTTTTAATCCATCTGAAAGGAACATACAAATAACAGAATTTCAGTATGTACAATGTGTTTTATTTTAGCAATAAGTGCCTAAATCGAAGCTCTATTTCCATCTACTCTACACGTAGAGAGCCAACAGAACCATGGCTGTGTACTTTAACCCTACCCCCCCCCCCCCAGCTTACTTTGGGGTAAAGTACCACATACTACATAGTACCACAGAAACTATGCATGCAGTACCCAAATACTAAAAAATACTGTGAGAGTTGTGCCCACTTATATGCCGAGGTACTGCATACTACAGTTTACAACTAGTATTATTTTGTAGCTATAGGTGATCGTGAGATTAGGGTTAAATGAGCACAAATTACATGTATGTTTGTAGGAATACAACTAGATACAGTATGTAAGATACATAGAAATATCTGGCCATTTCTTTTGCGAGGAATTGGACACTTGAAAAACGTGTTTGTGTCCACATTATTTACAGGGATCCCGATCCACAAACACAAGCACAAATACTGGGACCACAATCTCTGCTTTCCAGGCCTTATACCCGACCTGCTTTAAATTTTGGCATAATTGACAGACTCCAGTTAATGATAATCGAGATGGACATGTACATGTAATGTGAAGGAGTTTTATCTTTTTGAGGCATGCAACTGTACATTCACAAAAAAGAAGAGAAATCCCAAAATGCAGAGACTTTGTACAGTGTTTTTCTAATTTGATTGACAGAAATGGGAATAAAAAAAGAGGAAATCAGCTGATCCAAGGAAAAGTTGCATGCCTGCTTTTTGGCTCGAATTGGCCCAAAATTCATGATACAGCATTGTTGCCTTTAACACTAGCCCTGCCAAATGCAACAGGATGCACCAATGGTAAGAAGTTGTTGCAAGTTGTTGCATTTAGCAGTGTCCGGATCTGCATGCATTCCATGCCTGCATTCCGTTGCATTTGGCAGGGTAGGTACTTGGTACCAAGGCTGGCACTGCATTCTGTTGCATTTGGCAGGGTGCCTAGTGAATACACCGTGGGGGTTAGGGTTGTATATTTATAAAAAGTTCCAGTGAAGAGCTTTGGGGCTGTCCATTAAAGGCTGTCCCTTCATGCGTACGTACTTTATGGATGGCCCCTCTGACAAATGTGTTTTCAATTATTAGCATCATTATTATGTAAGAGTTATCAAGTAAACTAAAAAATGATAGCAATACTGTCTTGTTTATCTTACCTTTTGAAATCCAATGTCCTTAGCATACATTCGGAAACACTGTCTGCAGATGTTCAGGCCATATTTGCGGATCAGTCCATGACGATTGCCACACACACGGCTGTAGGAAAAGAACAAACAAAATCCTTTCTATTAAAGAAAAAGGCTGTTCAACACATTTTCTTTAAATCAAAGGGGTCATTCAGACATGTTTTAAATTCCCTTAAAACACCGGTTGAACTCGATTCGGTGCAACTTTATTGCTAAAACAATGTATGAACGATTTTATATAAAGACCGAATCAAGTTCAACTCGCAGCTAAAACAGCAACTTAAACCCTTTCGGAGGGAGGGTTTAGCGCTATTACCAGAACGAGTTTATCTCCTAATATGATGTATGAAGGGTTTTAGCTAAAACGCTTCCAGTTTCAGCCAGCGCTGTCTGTACATGGCCATACACATGTTAAGAATTTACTTCACCCTGAGAAAAAAATGACAATATCGGAAAAGAAAGGACAGTCTTTGTTTGATCAGAATTTGTTGGAAATTACTATTGAAAGGTAATATACAGTATTTGCAAGCATATACAAAATGAAACTACCAAATTATTTTGCAATTCCTAACTTACTGTAAAAGACTAAAGCATTGTGTAAAATCGTTTCTACCTGGTATGCTGTCATTTTCAAGAAAAGAGGAATTTGGCATCATTTTTCAACAATGGTTCGGCCAATGATATTTGTCATAAATACCAACTAAAGTCTTTCAATTAGGGGGTAGTATTTTGAAAAAAAAAAATTCTGTTTTATCGAACGATTGCCAACCATCTTTGGATAAACGGCTTTCTTTCAAATACATTGTACTACCCCCAATAAAGTCCTAGGACATAATGACCTCACGCGTCAGTAAGACAAGTTCATAACTCCGATCTGCAACAAAGTTGTATCTCGCGCGAATACGCTCCGTGCAACAAGGACGTATCTCGACATCCATTGACTTTGTGTGTACATCCAGGTTAATTTAAGTGAGAAACAACCTTTTGACATTATGAGACTCACATTTCATGTACGGCCCAATTGCCGCTTGGATTTTTAATTTTTGGGGGAAAAAAAAAGCCAAAATGTCCACCGATCCATCGTAAAATCAAATATACTAGTACTAGGGGCCTATCCAGACGCCACTTCAGTTCAGCAGTTATGTACAAAGTCTACCAAGTCTGTGAAGAGTCAAGACAATTTTCTAAGTTGGCCTTCTGTCCCTTTTTATTTCTTAACAAAACTGGAAAAGTTTCTGAGTCATGTCAGTCCCAGATTCAAGTCTTTTCAACATGTTCAACATTTTTGCAATGACTGACCTTCACTGAGACAATAGGATGAAGAAAAAGTGGTGTCAGGTTGCAACATTCTTTTCAAAATTGTGTTCACTGTTGAGTGATAGCCCTATAAATATGGCCAATTTACTGGACTACCTCCGTAAATAAAGGCCACACTTCCACCATGTACAAAAACATGTCAAACGTTTAAGCTTTGTCAAATTGTGACATTTAGGCTTAGTTTGTAGTTTCTTTCTGCTTCAGAAGCATACTCACCCTGTTTATAGGCTTATCAGAAAGTGGTGCCTTTTTCAGATGTCTAATTTTCCTGAAATTTCATGTTAAAATTTTTATACGCAGCCAACGTGTGCAAACAAATCTGGAAATTTCACGAAAAATAGACATCTGAAAAAGGCAGCACTTTCTGATTAGCTTTATAAAGAGGGTGAGTATGCTTCTAAAGGTGGGTGACTGTGACCGATTTTCACATTAAGGCTTGGTTTGCAGTTTATTTTTGCTTTAGAAAAACAAAAATGAAAAATAAACTGCAAACTAAGCCTAAAATTGTGAAAATCTAAATTTGACAAAGTTCGACATGTTTTTGTACATGGTGGAAGTGTGGCCTTTAGTTAGGGAGGTAGTCCAGTAAATTGGCCACATTTATGGGGCTATGTTGAGTGACTGACGCGGCGACCGGTGCGTGCCCTGCCGGACCGTATGAGTACGACGTTTCATACATGTAAGCGTTCATCCATTGAAATTGTGCGGTAAACATCTCACACACAGGCCAGTGCAGTGTTTGCGCACAAGCGCCGCCATGAACAAATTGGTCTAACTACCATGTACAAAACGGCTATATTTTTCATATTTCTAAATGATTTTGGTGGTACTTTTTTAATCACAAATGTGCCTGGATAATCAAAGAGTAAGCTACTGCTGGACAAACTGTTCATACCAGCTTCTGGAGCCAGGTCCGTATTTCCTTGGATGGGAATGCCAAATGTTTGCGAAACCCATGATGGCGTCCACGAGGTGCAAGAGAAAGAAATTTTACAATTTGGTCGCCAGATGGCGCACTTCTGACCACCGCAAATTGACAGAGGCGTGCCGTTTTCATGCTCTTCAGCCTCTTTTATGCAATTACCGGATGGCATGAAAGTCAATTTCCTGTAGTATAGTGGGTCCATAATTTTTTTTCAAATGACCAATTCTCAACGAGACGAGGAACCAGTGTCAAATTTCCCCTTACTTCACAACTAGTGGTGAGGAATAATAGGAACTTCTCATCTGGATGGAAATTCATATCATCCATGGGCGTATATAATTTAAATCCGAGGGCGGGGCGGAATGGGGGGGGGGGGTATATCCCCCTACTTTTTATTTTTTATTTTTTTTGACCGGGGTGGGCCGTTGGATCCCCCCCCCCCCATTTTGTGGTGAGAAAGAAGAAAATGCCGATTTGATTGAGGTATTTGATACCAGTCCTATCTTCACTTTGAGCAGGTACTTCGGGCATGGGGGATGCATGACCATCCTCAAATTGTGATTAGTGTACAAACTCACAATACTGACCCACCGAACGACCGACCAACAAACAAGCAAAAACAGGATCATGCACATTCATTACCTTTTTGGACCCGTTGTGCTTCAGTAAATGGGGAACTGTTTTCAAAGTAACCGACGGGATCGGTGTGTATGTATGTATTTTTTTTCCTATATGGGATAGGTTTGGCACCTGCTTGTATTAGGCCTTGCCGGCATGCCACCTTCAAGATAGGGGTTGGAAAGGACCGATTTGATCCGGCGCTGTTTTTGTTTATTTTCAGTGAAGGGAAAATATAATCAAATTAACCATTAATAGTGAAACCATGGTCCAAAACAAACCAACCCAAGCTGGCTAGATCAGTGCAGTCAGTCATTATTGTCAGGGTTCAATCATTGTATAAAAAAACCGACCAAACATATTGCAACAAGCATGCGGCTTTGCGTGTATGCGTAAAATACGGCTCGCTAGCTGGAACTGGTTAAAACCGGTTCCATCTCGCCTCAAATTTTCCATCACTCGAACGCTAAACAACGCGGACGGAGGACGTGTTTTCCGTTTGGGGCTTGTTTACTACAATCTTTGCCCACAAATTTCACCCAGTCGGAGCAAATTCTGGCTCTTTTGGGCCTTTCTAAGGATTGCTGAGGCTTTATAGCACAGGAAAGGTTATGTGTTGTCTTGGTAGAGGATTTCAGCAGTAGCACCACGCATAGGATATCTTCGGAGGATTTTTGGTTGTGTTCGTTCGTTGCATGCTCGACTCCACTTCACCCGTAATAAACATTAGGTGGCAAGCTCGACGGTGATTGGCAGATGAAGGTAAGCGGAGGATTTCCAGTGTTTTGATTGGGCAATCTTCCCTGTACGTTTACGTGTACCGTATATTTTAGCAGCATCCCATTCGTGTTTTGATCATTTGGCAACGTGTTGTTTTTGTCCATGACCATGTGAAGATTTTGTAATGATAATTTTACAATGAATGCATTCATAGAGGCCGTTTTATTTTATACACTTTGATGTCCCCTGTGGTTTGACCAAAATTCTGCTTTAATTTAAACATGAGAATCCGCAAAAGGTGCTTTCCAAAAAATCAATTTGAGGAAGTGGCATTTGGGAGGGGGCAAGGTGGATGAAAAAAAAGGGGGGGGGGGGGCTGTGGGGAAATTCGGCTGTGGGTGAAGGTACTGTGTGGGGAACCTTCGATGGAAATGGTGGTAACTTAATTTGCGTGTGCGTTGTGGACCGACATTACATGTACCCTAGTATTATTGTTTATTGAAGGCAGTATTGTTGGCAACACATTTTTACTAAATTGCACAGTCATGACAGTCAGAAACTTGTCCAAGATTAAATGACTCACAATGGCAATGTGCCATAGCATTTACAGCCTTGACGGTGACCACTTGCCACCATTTATAGCATTAATTGGTGAGTTTACTTCCTGCCTTTTTTTGTTGTTGTGCAAGAATTAGGGCCTAATTGTAAACCTCCAAAATAAAAATAATTTGGCCTATATTCACAGAAATGTCCCACCTCAAACCTGTGCAAGCACCAGAAAATAAATAAACACTGTAAAAATAGAGTAAAGCAATAATGTAAAGCAACGGATATCCTCTTTTCCATTAATGCACTGTACAGTCAAAACAAAAAGAAACAAAACAAAAAAACCTCACCCTTCGTAATCCCTCACCCCCCAATCCCCCCCCCCCAATCCCCCCCCTGCCAAAAAGAGGAAGACATTTCAGACGTGACAATTTTCTATCAATCTATGAATTTCTGTTAAACCTGTAAACGTTCCAAGTGTTTTCTTTTTTTTTGAAATTTGTCTTAGTCCCAAAATGTATACATGTTATTTATTTCAACATATAAAATGTGGAACAAGATTCCCACAAAATCGAATGAAAAACTTCAAACTGATGCAGAGATAAATTTAATTAATGGCCAAAAACAACCAAAAAAAACCAAACATGTTGGTTTGAAGATGTACCTTTTATGAACTGTTAAATTGCCCCCCCCAAAAAAACAACAACAACAACAACAACAAATAAACAAACAAAATAAACACCAAATCCCCAAAACAATTTGGAACCTCACTATAATTGCTCCATGGTATAAACAACAATAAACAAAGGGTCTCCATATGCTTATATTGCCAAACATGGCAATATGCAAATAAGACTTGCATGCTTAAACTGGTTAAACCCAGTTCTTGCTTGAGTACCGGTTCCTTGATTTCCATCAGGTACATGTAGAAAGCTATTGGCTTGCGCATTGCACAGGCCTATACATACTTTTGCAGACTAAATGCACCATCAATCATCATCATCATCAGGCTGTGGTCATCCATTGTTGGATAAAAACCCTCCTCAAGCAGTTTCCATTCTCTTCTGTTTGTCATTCTACTCCATGTTGCCGTGTTCATGTACAGTGTATACTGTGGTGATTTCATCTCTCCAACTCCTGTTTTGTCTACCCCTTCTTCTGCCTGTCCTTGGTTGCCATTCTGTGAGTCTCTTGGTCCATCTGTTGTCTTGTCTTCTTGCTAAGTGTCCTGCCCATCTCCATTTCATTTCCTTGATCTTCTCTATGACATCTTTGACCTTTGTTTTTCGTCTTATGAAGGTTTGTCTGATTTTGTCCCGTAATGATAGATTGAGCATTCTCCTTTCCATGGCTCTCTGTGTTGTCAATTTTTGTTCCATCTCTTTGGTTGTTGCCCATGTCTCTGCCCCATAAGTCCTCATCGTTTGGACACACTGGTTGTAAATCCTTCTTCTAAAATGATATTGGAATTTTTGTGTCTGTTAGTAATTCTTTGTACCTTCCAAAACATCTCCATCCTCCCTTGATCTTACTTTGTACTTCTTCTCTCGTGGTGTCTTCCATCTTCAGTGTTTGGCCAAGGTATTTATAACTCTCTACTTTCTCTATCAAATGCACCAACCTTTGGTAAATAGCCAAGTAAAAATACCAAAAAATACCAGTTGGTTGTCCCTATAGTCCCCACCCACTTCCTTGTTTTAATTTCAGGCTTAACATTTTTACCTCCGCCAAGGAGGTACATGTACATGTATGTTGTCATCGAGGTTTGTTGGTTGGTTGGTTTGTCTGTTAACAAGATAACTCAAAAAGTTATGGACGGATTTGCATGAAAACTTTTTGGTCCTTGATACAACTTACGACTTGTACAAATCAATTAGATTTTGGAGGTGATCCGGATCTGGGTCTAGATCCAGGATTTTTTTTAAAGGATTCTTCACAATTAATGAGAGTATTTCTTTCGGATGTACTGACGATATGGCGTATAAAGGTACATGTAAGTGTTCTTTCACCAAAAGGAAAACAAATCACATAGGGATGTGTGTGAATTGTTTTTGTTTTGCTGAAAGAGCGCACACCTTTTTTGTGATCCGTGGACAGAACTTTAAAACGGTGGTTGTGTTTAAAATTCCGTAACTTGAAAAATACATAAGTGATTTGAATAATTCAAGTTGTACTAAAAGAAAGCTTATGAATCGGGCTTTCATATCCTACATGTAGGTTTTGAAAGTGCTACATGTACATGCAGAACTTCACTAAAACAACAGTTCCGACATTTGGGTTTTTTTTTTTTTTTTTTTTTTTTTTTTTAACTTACCCTGTATATTTATCATTGCAGGTGATACAAGAAGGCATGGCGACCCTAACAGAGCAGTCTGGGAAGCTGCTGGATTTCAGCCAAAAGCTGGACATCAATCTACTGGACAATGTGGTCGGATGTCTGTACAATGGTGCTGGAACACAGGTAAAGAAAAGTACTTGCAATAATTTGGCTCATTTACTTCCAGATCCTTCCAAATCCATCTCTGGGGTTTGGAGAACTTTGCATAATTCAGAAAGGTAGAGCCCAGTCACTATTACTTTGCATGCAGAACTGTGCGGGGCTTGATGCTCCTTGAAAGTTAAAGGTTTCATGCGATGAATTTTTCTTAGGAACACATTTTGTGCAACTTCTACTCCTCTTAAATATATGAAAACTATTTGACACCCTTTTTGGGGGGTTAATGTTATTGAAAAGTGCACGTCTTTAAACATTTTCCATGCTTTTCCGAACAAGTGAGGGCACTGTTGCTGTGCTGTGATGTGATTTCAGGTAGACACTATTCAGTTTAGGGGTTTTCTGTTCAACAGTTCAAATTGTGAACCCCAAAATGCTCATTGAACAAATTTGTGAGAAAGGTTTGCTCATTTGCTTATTACTGCCATGTACTGACACAACAACAAATCACCAAATAAAAGAAAATTTATGACATCAAAATATCTCAAGAATTCTAGCAACTTTTTGTGCTGAAATAGCATTGAGTTTCTGCCCGGAATGACATCACAGTTTTGTTCGAATAGAAATTTGCGTTTATAGCATAAAAACAAAAAAACACACCAAAATACCCTTGAAAATGGCAAATTAAAAAGAAGGTTAAATGGGATACAAGGGTGCATTTTCAAGGATTGTATTAAACATTACATTGCATGGGCCCTTTAGGATACGAAGCATACGACATTGATTCATGTGGAAGAGTTTGGAGGATTAACTCCCCCCCCCCCCATTTCCAGTGAGCATTGATAAAACTTATACTCAAGTAATTGTATTAGTGAAGGTACATTTTTTGTAGAGTTTTTCATTTGCCCACCCTTGTTTTGTTGATCCTGTCGATTACTACTTTATAATTTGTGTTGCGTATGTTTACTATTTTTGATTTGTTTGTTTGTTTCTTTGATTAGCAACAAGTGGCCCAGCAGATTTTGACCAGTCTGAAGGAACATCCTGATGCCTGGACTAGGGTCGACACCATTCTTGAATATTCTAATAACCCACAAACTAAGGTGAGAAAATATTTTATTCACACACAACAAACTAACAGATCTGTGTTCCTGTAATCAACGATTTCACCCCTCTTGTAAAATATCAAATGAGCGAAAAAATTCAAAGATGTGTTTGTTAAAAAGTGTGTAACACCTCTCTTCGCAAAAGTTGTGTTGATTTTGAATTTTGTTTGAATTGAATTGACCTCTTTAAGTTTGTTTCACTTTTGATTTGTCTACAGTACTATGGTCTGCAAATCCTTGAAACTGTTATTAAGACACGATGGAAAGTACTTCCACGAACCCAGTGTGAGGGCATAAAGAAATTTATAGTGGGTCTCATTATCAAGATATCATCAGATGCTTCATCAATGTCGGTGAGTACTCATATGAGGAACGTTGATCTGACAAACTGGCCACAATTCTTGGAGGAGAGTTTTGGCCAGTTTGTACTAAGCAGAATAAACTCCCCTTTTACATACCTACCCTGGTACTGTTAGCTTCTGATGAATTAATATGGCTCACTTAATAAATGTATTATTCACCCAAAGGCAATGAAAGGTGTTGATTTAAAACCTTTACTTCTCTCAAAATAAATGTACTTAAATCTTGGTCCCAAATTATTTTGAAATGGTCAATCTCCTCTGTTGGCCAAGTGGAAAAAAAATTACAAAAGAAAAAGATATTCACCATCAGTGCAAATGGGTTTTGACATTGTCACCAGTTTTGTACTCTTTTCTCTATTCCTTTATTCAGTTTTGTCATCATCTTAATGTTTATGTTAGTGGGTCACTTGAGATCTGAAGTGCAAAGGACTGAGCTAACATGCCTGACAAAAACTTTTTTTTTCGTTACACAAATATGAAACATGTCAAATTTGAATTTGTGGTATGAAATGTGGAAAGGTGATTCTCAGTGTGTGAGTTGTTTCACTTCAAAGTTTGGAGTGATATTGAGTGCTTTTGTCTGTTTTGAAGGATTTTCCTATGCAGTGCGTGGAAGGGATGCGGATTATGAGCATTTAATATGGTCCATAGATTGACTTGAATGATGGTGAGATGACAATACAACTACAGGAATAACTATGTTGAGAAACAGAGAGAAACGTGATGTTATAAGAGTGTCACAAGTGGATGTGTAGAGCTGAGGGATGTCATTATGCATTGTGTTCGAGATGGTTTTGAATCGTTTGTAAAGTGACCAAAAAGCGGGTGTGAATTACAGGAACAATACAGTGTTTACATTATTATTCAACATCATTAAAACAATACATTTTGGATTCAGAGGAGTGCACAAAACATGCTTTGAATCTGTTTTCTGAATTTAAAATTCTCAATTTAAAGAAAGAATCTGTGGCAGACCATGATACATTTGTTTCTATTTCTGTGAAAATGTTTGCAAATGTGTATGTGTGAGCTGCTCATAGTCATGTTGTAACATGTGTATCATTGAAAAATTTGGAGGCAGGAAGAGTGTTTTAAGTCTTGCTTGTAAGTACGTAACCAGGCCCTCTGTAAGAAGAGCCTAATGACTTCAACAAATTTGTGGCCCTTTCATGAAAATTGTACATGTACAACACACCAGTTCGGTATTTCAACTGCGCATGTGCACAATGATATGGGTCACAGGTCATTTGGGTTAATCGAACGCTCATTGAAGGCGAATGAACGCGCAATGAGACGGTCGTACAATGTATGATGCATGCGCATTAATCACGAGCAGACTGGATGTTCGCGTAACATCGTGTAGCATTGTATCGGCAATTTTATCCCGAATGACCTTTGACCTGGACTACTTTTTTGAGACACCGAACTGGCTTATTCCTCACATGTAAGCATGAGAGGTACAAGCATGACAAGTCAACCTGTGGCACAGCACACTTCATATTTCACTTTGGCCCGCCCCCCCCCCCCCCTCCAAATTTGCCTATTGAAATACACCAAAATGTTATGTCCGAAATGTACACTGTACACATTATTTGATTGGAGTTTTATAAACTTGACTTTTAGTGGTACGATGTACATGTATCTCTCTCTGGCAAATTATTGAAATACCGATATTATACATGTAGCACAAAAATGTTAATGATGATGGATTGTGAATTTGTGAAAGTATATGTGTCACCTTATTAGGAGGTTGGAGACTGCATTTAATAGCATCCTTCAGAAAGCTTCAGAAATCTCCTTGCCTTCAATTGATAGTGGGTTGAAATTGTAGATGAGAATTCAATTTCTTGTGAAATTTAACAGGATTTTTTATTCATCTTGCGTGTAACAAAACAAGTTTTCAAAATTTCAAATGAAAAACAAGAAACAAAATTGAAAAAAAAAACACCCCACAGATTTCTAAAATGTAAACATGACAGAGACTAAATGACTCATATCTTTGTGAAGTGCTTTTATTCTTGTCTACATTTCAAATTCTTCAGATGACTTGATATTCCATTCTATCCGCCATTCAGAATCGATTTCCTCTGATTTGGGGCAGTTGGTTTACGTCGTAAGTATGGTAGCGTTTGGTATTATGTGATCAAAATAAGTTACTTGAACATATCCGTATATATTCAGTGATCATAAAAATCTGTTCATAGTTAGTCCCTTACTGAACTGCAGATGGATCACAAACTTGGTGATCTTAAAAAAACAAATGCCTTTCTCTTTTTGAAATTGGAAATTTCAGGTTTAAACTTGTTGACCATAAAAAAAATAAAAAATGCAAAATCTTCTGTATACATGTACACAGGTGCACTCAATAATTTTTTTTTCTGTGTACAGCAGTGCTCACATTTTTTTCTCGTCATGATTGTACATGTACCAGTAGGTTTCATTTCTATCTGTTTGGGTTAAAAGTGGTGGCCTTCACCTTTAAAAGTTACTTCCAAGTGAAGAAACCACATTCACTGTCAATGGCTTAGGCTATATTTGCAGAATTGTTTGCAGAACATTTCTTCTCTCTAATTTGGCCAACAAATTTATCAGTCCCATTTTACTGTAGAGATTGTCTTTGCCCAGAAAATAATTAATAATTAATGACATTAAATATAAAACCCTTTTTAACCAAGAGACAAAGTTGATATTGGTGAGAGGCATAGCAATTGTTTATTTTTTACTGCAATATAATTACAAAAAACATATTTGAGTTTGTATGTATTGGAATGTATGTAAACATCATGTACGCGCCGTGCTGTGTGTCACATGACCTGTGTTATAAATACTGTTGTACCTGCATGGGCAATTACATAATACTGTAATTGTAAAACAGAAATATTGCTGAAATAATGATTCTGCAAAGCATTCTATAATTTATAGTAGTTCACATCTGCAGATCTATACATGTAGTCTCCAACTCCATTTTTGCTAAGCAACTCTTCCTCCCTCTGCATATAGTATTAGCAACAAAATGGATCCCTGTTGGCAGGTTTTTGTTTTGGGACTTTGAGATCTTGATTAGTCAGGTTCCCACTGGTTTGAGATGGCCTGATGACTGGTTCCAGATTTGCAATAACTTCAAAGCGTTGCACTGTTGATCCAAATTTAGCTTGTGATTGGTAAATCTTGCCCTGTCACATATCTTTTTGAACGTTGGACCCGTGTATTATTTGTGTTAACACAAGATCAGAAAAGGAGTTGTTTGCAAAACTGCTGTCATTATAAAAAAAAAGTTTATGTACACATGTTCCCTGGATGTGTATACTCATTCTGCCCAAACATGTTTAACTACACGTGTAAGAGGATATGGTCAATCAATTCAGTTTCCATTTGCCAAGTTGAATCTAAATAGATTGGGACACATTATGATGTTCCAGAATCATCGATCAGATGAAAACATCCCTTGGTTAAAAGGGTGATTGAGAAAACTTGGCCTCCAGTTATTTATAGAAAAAGAAATGTTCTGTCACTATTCTGTCAATTTTTTTTAACAATTTGCAAATGTTCAATTAGGCCTTTAAAAATAGGCTTACACTTCAATTCACCAATAATAAGAAAACCCCAAAGGTTTATAATTATTTAAAAGCCACATTTCACATGAACGTGGTGAATAAAATCTATTTAGTATAAAAGAGTAGCAATACAAATGATAGGAATTTACCCATGCCACTAACACTTTAAAGTACATAGTATTCCTCTCTCTCTATCTCTCTCTGCTTTCCAATGTAAGTGAAATTGAGATACCATGTTCATGTACCACCATTGATGGATTCACTTTCACGTTTCAGACGTCACTTTCCAAGAATGTATACATAAAATAGAAAAACCTAAACAAATTGTTTTCAAAGCTACCAGTATGTGCCATCAAGATCTGATGAATTATTTCACAGAAAAAAAATTCTTCACCCAGTCCAGGAAATGAGATGAGTGATTGCATCACACATGTATACATGTTTAGGCACACATACATGTATATTGTAGGCTGAATCCAGGATGCAGTGAAAAGTTGTTTTACAATAACTACCATACATTGTATAGTGTGCCAAAAAAGCGAAACATTCAAGAAACAAATAATTAAAACTGTTTAAGGCCAAAAAAAAAATACTCGGTCTCTGGTCAGCGCGCGCGTCGATTTTAATCATGCGTGTCAACTTTTTTTTTTTCTTCAAATTAACACGGAAGCTACAACAGCGCCCTCTATTGCCCCGCCTCCTAAAATTTTTGTACCAAGGAGCACCAAGGAATGGGGAAATTGCACCAAGGTAAATGATAAAGGGCACCGAGGCAAATTATAGAGGACACCAATGTATAATGATGACACAAAAAAAGCAAAATAGTACCCACCTTGTCTGTACAATACAAGCTTTAAAAAAAAAAAAGCCACCAAAAAAAAAAAAAACACGTCGCCGCATCAATTCTGGAACTTCGGTCTGACCAGAGACTGACTATTTTTTTTTTGGGGGGGGGGGCCTAATATGGGTTTTTAAAAATGAGATTATATATTAAAATTAACCTTAAAAGGGCCGGGTTATTTTGACCATCTCTCAGCTTGGGGGGGGGGGGGTTTCCGACCCTCCCCCAAGATCTCGGCCACAGAGTGACGAAAATTTTTGAAACTCAGCACATGCATAGAGCAGCTCATCATGAACACACCCAAGAAATTTCATGACTATAGGTCAAAGGGTTTTGAAATTATGGCTAATTAATTATTCATATATGTACGAATAGTAATTCTGCTCTGTTCAATTTTGTTTGCAATCGCTTACACACCTACCTGTATGACATGTTATAAACAGGTACAAGCCAGCTAGACTGGTTCCCTGACCTTAATTAAAGAAAAAAACATTAAACAATCTTAATTGTTTGTTTTCTGAATGTTGCACTTTTTGGCACACTCTGTATATTCCCACGAGCTCACCAGGAATGGGAGTCCCAGGAAAGATAACAATTAATTGGGAAAAAATATATAAGGCTTTGGAACTTAGTTCAATTGGTCAGATTCGTTTCGCATCACTTTGAAAGGACATTTAAGTGTTCAGTTAATAGTTCGTTGGGGGACTAATATGAACAGATTTAATTAGTATTTTATACATGATGCAACTTGAATGAAAGAGAAAGTGCACATATGGACCATGTCACAACATTATGTCACTCGCAACTAAATAACAATCTTTGCCTGGTTGCAAAAACTACACCCAATGGTGTTGATACAAACAGACATGAATCATAATGACATTACACGTTTTTTGCATACATGTATATGTGCATTTTCTTATGGGAGCTTGCAGGCTCTTGTTCCCCTGGTAAATGATTCAAGTCTATTTGTTGTACAAGTATGGAACTTTGGTTGAATAGCACTCACAAAATGAATTCCATTATGATTGAAACATGATAGCTTCAGTATGCTACATGTGGTTACTTCGACACAGATCAATACTGTTGTCATACATGTTTATTAAAAGAAAAAACAATAGCAGTTGCACATCATATCTGCTCAAATGTTCTGGGCACCTTCTTTTGAAGAAAGGAGATGCAGCACTGGGGAAATATTTGCTTGGAATCTCCTGGATCCTCCAAAATCCATCAATTTGTAGGAACTTTATGGTACAATTCTTTGTATTTATAATTTTAAACGTCTCGCTCATGTATTATAGAGACTGCAGGGCTACTCTTAAAAGTTCTGCAAAGTCCTGCAAAACAACCTGGTGGAATTTGAAGGATCTAGGATGGTGAGGTTACATGTACATGTGGGGTGACATGGTCCATAGTATGAGTGATAATAATGTAACCAAATTGTAATGTTCTTATTGATCGGTAGGCCTACATTGAAATAAATTTTTAGGTATTGTACTAGTGCGTCTGTGTACTTTATAACAGTGCACATCAGCCTTCATTTTTTCCTCACAACCACAAGGCAATTTTTGCATTGAAGGGTTGGTGCAAGAAGTTGTGATATATTGCTCTGTTAATCATGTAATCATTTGTAGTCAGTACCTAGTTTACCCTAGATTCAGTAACAACTTCATATAGTAACTGAATGTAGGGTAAACTACCGGTGATTATTATCCCCAATTTGAAGGCATCTGCTACACAACTTCTTGTTCACAACACCTGTCCTGTTGCAGAAACCAAGTCTCTGAATTCCCTGTTAACCAGGTTAGTTCTTCTCTCCCTACCATTTACAGACAGAGAAGGTCTACCTTGGGAAACTCAACATGATCCTGGTCCAGATACTGAAGCATGAGTGGCCCAGGAACTGGCCCACGTTCATCAGTGACATAGTCGGAGCAAGCGAGACAAATGAATCTCTGTGTCAGAACAACTTGGCCATTCTCAAGTTACTCAGGTAAAAAAACATTAGTTGTCCGTATTTCAAACTGTTGAATGAGACATTTGTTTAAAAAACAACTAAGTTATTCTTCATGTTATCTAAAATTCCTTTGGTTGAACAAATAAAATAACCATAAAACAAGTAACTGCTGTGGGACTCAAACTTGTTGCTAAATGTCTATTCTAATTGGGCTATTAAATTATATGTCAGTTTTTCGTGTTTCAGATGTCATAGATTCCAATTCACTCCAGAACATTTCTATGTTAAACCAAACATGTCTAAATTGTTAAAAGTGATCTTCATTTTGGTTTTGTGATAGGGACATAGGGTCGCTTTGTCCACCTTGATCATTGATAAGCGTCAATCTGCTTAAAAAATCATGGTTTCTTAAATTGAGAAGTTACTTTTTGCTTCAAATTCTAAAATTGCTTTTGGGTGTTCCCAGAATTAGCAGTGTTTTTAGTGTCGTCAGTCAGTCAAGACTATGATTTTTTTTGTAGTTATTTCTTTTAGTGTTGAATTTTCTATTCATGACAGATTTAAGTGGCAAAGCCACAGTTTGACAACTTTACTTGTCCTGGAAAATTTAGGCAATTTAATTCAATTTGAAATCAAAACGATCTGCAAAACATATTTATTCATATTTTATAATTCTTGTATCCTGGAGTAAAGGATTCAAAACCGTGACGATCTTTCCTTGTAGAAAGTGCATCCAGGTTGTTTTGGCTAAAATCCAGGCGACAAAACATTCGTCTTAATTGTTTTTTCCTCCTGATGCTATTAATGTATCTGCTCTGGAAGTTAGTGATTGATTATGAGAAAAACACTCGTACTGTATCTTATGAAACTAGGATGTACACATACACATACATGTACGTGTACTCTGGTTTTCAGTTAACACTTTAATGAGATTTTGCTCTTCGTAAACATGTTTTTGAAAAATACTGTTTCAGCACTGGCATGCTCAGTTCTTTAATAATGAGAACCTCTTAAGCCCGCCCCACACGAGAGCTACATGTACGTGCTGAGCAAAAAGTCATTTGAAGCCGTTTGCTCAGCACGTACATGTACATGTAGGTCACAAAAAATTCATGTGTGTGATGATTTTTTACTGAGTTTTCTGCCTCGCGAGGCCATGAGGCAAATATCTAACCTGTTTTATTTCTTTCGCGAGGCAAAAAAATCACCGTGTGCAGTCAACCTGAGCTACGTGTTGAGTTACAAATGTACTACTCTGTACACTTGATTTTAAGATATTATTTTTGTAAATCTTCCAAAGCCTGCTGGCGTTTTTCCACATTTTAAAAAAAATCACATGACCGACAAACAAGAATAACCAGCTTTCATGAGCTTATAATCTTCTTGGCTCAGCACGTAGCTCAGGTTGACCGCACATGGTGAGTTTTTCTGGCGAAAAAAATCAAACAGGGTAGATACATGTATTTGCCTCACGGCCTCGTGAGGGAAATAACTCAGCAAAAATTCAGCGTACACATGGATATTTTGTGAGCTATATGCTAAGCAAACTGCCTTGAATGACTTTTGCTCAGCACATACATTTTAGCTCCGTGTGCGGCAGGGTTTAGAAAAATACTGTTTTGTGTCTATATATTTTCGAATATTTTTTTTTTATCCTGAGTGTCTGAACTCGATATGACAATGTACATATATGAGACAGATAAAGTCTGGTTTCTTATTCCACCTTATGTACATGTTTATTCTTTAGAATACTTTTTCATGTTTGTACATGTTGTAGGGTAATAATGAATGGATAAATCTGTAATACTCTGATTCATTCACAACATACAGATTCTGTCCTTGTGTCTGTGTCCCCATTCGTAAAATGAAAAAAAATTGTTGAATTTGATTCCTATGTTTCTGTATTTTCCTGGTTGTAGCATTGCGATTTGTAATGCACTCCTCTTGCAGAAATTTTCACATTGGAAATTCTAGTGTTACTCTTTTTGTTTAAATTGGTTTTACTGATACTTTGCATGAAAAGGTCCTGACTTTAATACTTAAAATTTTGGTGGTTTTTTTTTTGTCCCTTGCAGTGAGGAAGTGTTTGATTTTTCTAGCGGGCAAATGACACAGGCTAAAGCCAAGCATCTCAAGGACAGCATGTGCAATGAGTTCTCAAAAGTCTTCACATTGTGTCAGTTTGTCATGGTAAGCAATGGATAAAACACAAACAACGTTAAAATATTTGTATTGTACGGTCAACAGAAGTTGGAAGTTTTCCATTACAATTGACAAAACACTCAGGTGTGTGTGGTTAAGAGAACAACCTGTACAGACTCAATGTTCCAAACAGTATGTTTTTGACAATTGGAGATAGACGAATGTCTTCAGACATTTTAAGATGCAAAATGATGCTGCTTCACCTCATTAGAGATGGCGACAGTTCTTTTCAGAGCTCACTGTGTGAAAGACGAAGTAAAGGTTTTTCCATCAGAAAGGCTCTTTTCAATTATTGCAAACAATTTGCTGGTCATTTGTTCATTTACTATAACTCACATAAAGTGAAATGACCATTTACAAAATGTATCGTGTGACAATTGATTCTTGCCACGGTGTGAGAGCATATAAATTATATTTTGTTGCTTACATAAATGTAATTGTTTTGAATTGTTTAAATTTGAATCTTTGTCTGACAGGACAATTCACAGAATATTCATCTGGTGGATGGCTGCTTGGAGACATTGCTGAGATTCCTCAACTGGATCCCGCTTGGCTATATCTTTGAAACAAAGTTAATCAGCACCCTCATCTACAAAGTTAGTTCCTTTCATTAACCAACAAAGTTAATTTGCTATCATTTTATTAACTCATTCCCCCCCCCCCCCAGATTTCATTAAAGCTGATCAGAAAATATTCCAGCAGTTTCGACAAGAAGTTCAATTGCACTGTTCAATGAAATTGTGACAACCTAAACAAGGCTGAAGTTAGACAGTTTTGGTTTTAGGAATTTATGTGTTGGGAACAAGCTTTGTTGTGATACTTAAAACGGATAAGTAAAATTTTGGCTGTTAAAACCTTGGCACCTTTTGTGGTTAATGAAAGTGAATGCATTTTTTAATTGATCAAATGTCGTAGTCAGATCCATCACAAGTCCAACAGATATCAATTACAGGTGTACTCTCAGTGAAAGTCAATAGTAACATGAGGAACAATGGCATGGAATGTTTTCGTCGCAGTTCATTTGAAAAGCTTGTCAAGACTTGAGATTTAACAATTTGTGATCGGATTGTAAGAACTTGGCAACAACTTAAGCTATTTTTCTAATTCACTAGTAAAAAAAAATATCGTAAACCTTACTGGTGAATGCAAATAGAAATATTTTACTAGTACCTTGACACTAGGCTTTATTAGTCAGGAACAGTTTCTAAACACCAAAAATTAATGTTTTTGCTTTGCAGTTCATGAATGTACCTCTGTTCAGGAATGTCACCATGAAATGCCTGACAGAGATCGCCGGCGTAAACGTCAGTCAGTACGAGCAACAGTTTGTGGTGCTCTTTACTCTTGCCATGACTCAACTGAAACAGGTAGGCTGTGCAGGAGCATGTACGGTTTCATGGTTACCTTTCTATTTATATTCACTCATTTGTCCTTTGCTGTGTTTGTCTTAGTCTGTCCTCAACTAACATTCTGAACTCAAAATGCACGTATCAGAATATCAGATTAATCCACGTGTTTAGATTTCTATGTCCATTGTATGACTTTTTTTTGGCTGGTAATCTGACTGGTAGCCTGGGGAAGTTCAGGCAAGGACCATTTGATAGCTGCCTAGAGGTTGATTTGTGATGTAAGGTACGCCTGCACACTAATAGCAGCATACAAACGCCTCTAGTCAAACGATGGTTAAAACATCATCACCAAAACTTCTTGGTTCTTTCTCCCTGTTGTGCTTTATGATGCGCACGGCTGTTGGTAACCAGCGATGGAACCGTGCCCCGTGGTCTGGTTTCAAATACTCCACTACAGTAGCCCAACCATCCTTCGTTCAATTGAAGATAGTCGAACTATGGTTGACAATATTTAGCCCCCGAACTTGATCCTTAAACTTGGCTTGTTACCTGGCCTGGAGTAACATGGTATCGCCTCTTGAGTTGCCTCACAACGTATGTTATACTATTTGTAAATGTATTTTACACGAGGATGTTTCTGACGTGATCATTTATCTTTTGATTTTCAGATTTTACCACTAACCACAGACATCAAAAGTGCATACTCCAAAGGCCAGGATGAGGAACAGAAATTCATCCAGAACCTGAGCATGTTCCTGTGTACGTTCTTCAAGGAACATGTGACACTGATTGAGAAGAAGATGGAGTTGCATGAAATACTCCTGGAGGTGAGAGACATTGAAGTATATCAACTCTTAAAGGCTATTAGCCTATTTGAGATATGGCAGACACAAGAGGAGGGCGCTGTTTGATTTGGGTAAAGTCTGTTGTGTCTGCCATATCTCAAATAGGCTAATGAGAACAGAAATGCCTGAGATTGTGTTTTCTGACCACTTTTGAAAGCCCCAATGGGAAGGACACACTGCATGCGCGTACTCACTGATTCTCACACACTGCACTATGTGAAGTATGCATGACTAATTTTCTTCTGAATCTGCAAAACCCCATAACGTCCTGACGTTAGGCGCCATCAACTGTGCGTTTGCATGCCCCTCTCTTTGTAACCAATGAGGGGTGGGGGGATACTTGTGCACAGAGTAGCCGCAAAGGTCCAGCATATTTAACGAATGAAAAGTTGACGGTTGGAAAATTTCCACCGGAAAAAAATTCCACAGTTTCCCTCCAATGTGTCCTGGGGTTTCAATTGGTCTCGGGTCTTTTTCTGATGCGCTATTTTTTTCTTTGTGCACAATCTTATTCGTTTCAAACTAAGAAGCCTTCTCCCTCCAGACAGAATCTCTCCGAAGTTTGTCTCTGTTTGATGCTGTTGACTCCAGCAGGTAAAAGGTTCAATCCAAACGCACCTTTTTATTTGTCCTCCATCTTTTCATCCAGGCGCATCAATACCTGCTTTTGATATCCGAAGTGGAAGACACTGAGATCTTCAAAATCTGTCTGGAGTACTGGAACACACTGGCCTCTGAATTGTACCGCGAGAGCCCCTTCTCCTCTACCACCCCCTCGTCTCCACTGCTCATCGGCAGTACTACCCAGGAGATACCACCCAGGCGACAGCTCTACCTGGAGAAATTATCCAAGGTTAGTTTTGACAGTGAACATATTGAATTGCATAGCAGAGGGATCATGCAGAGGTTGAAAAACAAAAAGCCGCTTGCAAAAAATGGACTCTAGAGCACAATCCATTTTTGAGCTCTTACATGCACATGGAATGTCATCACAGTTTGAAACTTGAAAGAGCACGTCCATTGTTGCTATTAGACAAATATGTTTTTCCTGTTAGCGCCTATACTGCATTGTAATTGTGTTTATCTACCAGGCATGCAACTTTTCCTCGGATCCGTTGATTTCCTCGTTTTTTAATTCTCATGACTGCATTACAAATTGAAAAACACTGTACAAAGTCTTGTGTGGTTTGGAATTTCCTTGTTTTTTCTAAATTCCAAGTTGCTTGCCTGATCTACTGATGAATCCATAAAACCATAGAACGCCTGTCTGCTTAAGAGCTTTATGTGCTTAGCTACAGCTGAGATGGGTCATTCTGTAAATTTAGGGTGAAAATTGTGACTTTTCCTGAACCTGTTACCTTGGTACTTTGTCATTTGCCATTCAAGTATCATTATGAATGACTCCAAACAATTTTTCATTTGTTGGGTAGGTAGTTTGCTATTCATAATCACTCTTGGAGGGCGGCTGAATTAATCATCGCTGTCAGATGCAACAGGGAAGGGAAAAAAAGTGGACCCCAAATTTATAGAATGACCCACATGGCTGCCACTCACTAGGGACTGAATGTTCAGTTTGAATGGTTTGATACGTTGATAAGCGTGAAGATAGTCCAACGGTTAATCTGTACATCACAGAATGCATTCACCACTGTGTGATATTTGATTTCACCCATCAGGTGCGGCGAGTGATGATCTCCCGCATGGCCAAACCGGAGGAAGTCCTCGTGGTTGAGAACGAGCAAGGAGAGGTGGTGCGAGAGTTTATGAAGGACACGGACTCCATCAACATGTACAAGAACATGAGGGAGACACTCGGTGAGTGCACAATAAGAATCCTTCATAAAAGCATTTTTCCCATGTGCCCTTTAACTTTAAACTTCTTAATACCACCAAATACCACATCATATGTAGTTAGTCCCATGTACCGGTACAGTGAGAATGTGGTACAAATAGGCCAACTCATTATGACAAAGCTTATCCCATTTTATGATCCAAGTTGTTTCAAAAGTAATGCGGTGCATTGTAGTCGATGCACTGCTTATTGACACAGCATTTGTACTTCTGCAATTTACCACAGCTGTGGTATTTTGTGGTGCAGAGAGTGAGTGTGGCATCGAGTGACCCTCATACATTATTAGGGCAGTGACAATACAGATAAAGAGTGAATAAACGTTTGTGTTTCCTTTGATTTTTCTTACAGTTTACTTGACGCATTTGGACTATGCAGACACGGAGCAGATTATGACTGAAAAACTCACCATGCAAGTCTCTGGTCATGAGTGGTCGTGGAAAAACCTCAATACAGTAAGGATTTCAGATGACATTATTGTTCAGTTTCTATATGTGCAAGTAGCAACATTTAAATGTTAAGGTTAGTTTGCTGTCTTAAACAGAATCTTGACAAGTTCATGATTTCAAATAAGTAATATCCACCATGTCCTAAGTTCAAAGTGGGTACAATGTTCTCACCAGAGTACTCGGCTGAAAAGCGTTGAAAACCTTGATATGTTAAAATAAATCACCAACATGGAATCAATATGCTTCCAATTGCCTACATATCTTATTAGTTGATTGATTATGCTAGTTTAACAGACTTTTTTTAACCAGCCTAATGAGTTTTGTATCATCTCTGATATTCAAAAGTAGCAGGCAGTGTAATATACAGTTGGGAGCCAGGACTGATTAGTTTGGTATTACATTCGAGCATTGTCTTAACGAAACATTTTCAAAAAATGAGTTATTGGTACAACTGGCACAGTATACATGTACATTACAAGTAAACCACTAGTAATCCAGTAGGCCTTGACAAAACTTGCTCCATAGAGTCTTTCCAATTCAGTAGCTTCCAATCACCACACAACAAACAAACATTCCTACTTCATTTTTTTTCCTTCTCCGTATCCCGTGCCTCTCTTGCAGTTATGCTGGGCCATCGGCTCCATCAGCGGGGCCATGCACGAGGAAGATGAGAAGCGCTTCCTGGTGACGGTCATCAAGGACCTCCTGGGTCTGTGCGAGCAGAAACGGGGCAAAGACAACAAGGCCATCATTGCCTCCAACATCATGTACGTGGTGGGCCAGTACCCAAGGTTCCTGCGAGCTCACTGGAAGTTCCTCAAAACCGTCGTCAATAAGCTGTTTGAGTTCATGCATGGTAAGTCTCAATGATTCCCTCCTCCCCAGTTTTATAGACAGTATGAAACAGTGTTACAGTAGTAAGGAAGTATTGAATTTGTTGCAAAAAGTGTCCCTAGACCCTAAGCTCTTACACATTCTTACATTAACTGATTTTAATGCAGCAGGCCATTTTTAAAACCAATTTAGGGAACTAAAACAAAGACCCGTAGGTTTTACAGATAAAAGTGATTGCATTAAAAAAATTAACCAATTTTTAAATCTTGCATCAATTGAAGTTAGAGATTCTAAAAATCTAACACGACATCAAGTACGCTTATGAAGCATAACACTTACGCATGTCACACAGTTTGATTCAACATCAAGTTTAATTTGTTTCCTTTTGTTTAATTTTTTTTGTAGATCATTCAATTTTTCAAACACTTTTGCTAAAGTCTTGAGTAAAAACTTTTAGAATTCAACCTATTACTGTCTTTTTAAGAGAAAAGGATTTTTCGAGGGTCATTTTATAGTTCACCTATGTCATCTTCACTAGTTTTCTTTTGTGATACACACATAGAAACACATGACGGCGTACAGGATATGGCTTGCGACACTTTCATCAAGATTGCCCAGAAGTGTCGACGTCATTTTGTGCAGGTCCAAGTGGGTGAGGTCATGCCATTTATTGAAGAAATCCTCAACACCATTACCACCATTATTTGCGATCTGCAGCCCCAGCAGGTGAGAAATATACCCATCAGACATTCGGTCCGTTCAACTGCAAGCTTTAAAAGTCATAGTGTGCGGAAACTGTCAGACTGAAATGAAACCTTATATATTAATCCTAACCCTTGAGTCATTTACTAGGAACCTTCCTAACTCCTGCAAATTCCAACACCATATGGTAAACTTTACAGGTACACCAAACTGTTGGACTTTGATTATGGTGGTATGCCTGCGCGCCCATGTAAAGCATGATCAGTTTACTAGTGCAGTCCTCACTCCAACATATTCCAACAAAACCATGGTGTTGGAGTTTGACTGGATGGGGATTGTCAGGGTTAATTTTGAAGTTTTGCAATAAATTGTATGGTTTTGTAGCAGGATAGTTCAGACAGAGCATATAGTGTGCAAAGGTTCAAATTCTGCTCTGGTCAATTTCTTTGAACTATGTAGCACAAGGTTAGCCATGTAGCATCTACACAGGCTAATTAATGGCTTCTGTTTCCTGGACAAAAATAAATTCAACATGTTGAAAGAGAACCGGTAGAGGGCTGGAAAGCTCAGATTTAAAGTGCTTAAATGCAGTGTTTCTGATGTCACAGGTTCAAATCCAATCCGTGTCGATTTCATTGATTATAACAGGGGACCTAGTTAGTTTCCCCTTGAGGTTTATTTGACGAATATCTGTTTTTGACAGCTATAGGACACATTATTATTAGAAGCAATACATGTATTCCTGAAAGAAGTTTTCTTGGATCATATCCTACAAACTTATAAAATATTGCGAGAATCTTATTTTCCTTTCTGAATACTTTGCATATTCCTAGGTGCACACGTTTTACGAGGCAGTCGGGTACATGATAAGTGCTCAGACGGACAGCATGGTGCAAGAGCACCTGATTGAGAAATACATGCTGCTGCCCAATCAAGTATGGGATGGTATCATTCAACAAGCCACCAAGGTATGTCTGTTCTTTTTACTCCCAGGAGGAAACTCTAAAAACTGTTTCCCCTAAAAACTTTTTTTTTACTCCAAAGAGGAAACTCTAAAAACTTTTCCTCAAGGGTGTGAAAAAAACTATTTGCATAACGGCGGTTAGCAATTTGTTATATCATGCAATTTGTTATACCAAATTGTGGCTAACTGTGCAAAAAATGAATTGAATCACTGCAGTGTTAATTTATTACGGCTGCTTCATATTAATGCGAAAGCGGAAGGCACATGTGAATTTGTGACGCCATGTCAAGTTTTCACGGTGTGAATTTGCAAAAACGTAACACATTTCAACTCCGTGAAATTTGCAGCCAATGTTTTGTGATGTAAAGTTTGCTTCGCATTCACACTTTTGTGAAGTATGAACCGGCCTTTATTGTGAGCTTACCTTTCTTATGTGAATTACTCCGTTGCAGTTTAACTGAGTAATAGGGTCCGCTATGAGATAACGTCCAATTCATCTGTGCTGTTCACATTGTCACAACTTCGTTAACAGAATGTGGACATTCTCCGATCTGAAGAGATTGTGAAACAGCTCGGCAGCATTCTTAAGACGGATGTCCGAGCATGTAAAGCAGTCGGCCATCCATTTGTTGTGCAGGTGAGGTGTACCGTGGAAGCTTTGAAATATGGATTTATGTCTTAGGATAATGTGATTCATATCAGGTGTTCACTTCTTTTTTGTTCATGTTCATGAACCATCTTTGATGTTTCTAAAATGTGTGGGATATATGTTCAACCGTTACATGCTCGTGTATTCCCTTACAACATCTGTACTACTGTCTCGAGTCCATCATCACATGTCCCTGCAAGTCCATCACAAGTCCTCCAGTCCCAATTCAACTCGCAAGCTATTCAAATGAGCTTTGACAAAGGCATTCTTATGTCATTGTTGGTCCACTGTTACTTGTGGTTGACTTGTGGTTGACTTGTGATGGACTCCACTACATCCCCGCTGCCATGTTTTTTTGTGTGCTTGTTAATTCTACATCTATGAATGCTGATCTAGCGGACAAACATCATAACTTCACGCCTTTATTACACAAATGTTTTTTTATGGAAGTCAATTAGGATGACTCACGTAAGAATGTACACATGTGAACAAAGCATGACATATTTACATCTCTGGACTACTTGATGACCACAATTAGAAGAAATTTCTGAGGTAGTACCTCCCTTACAAGTATAACAGAATAATTCATATAATCTGTATGTAATTTTTTCTTTTAAATGTTTGTAAACAGTTGGGTAGGATCTACCTGGACATGTTGAACGTGTACAAATGCATGAGTGAGAATATCTCGGCGGCCATCACCAGCAATGGGGAGATAGTCACCAAGCAGCCCCTGATCCGAAGCATGCGGACCGTCAAGAAAGAAACCCTCAAGCTCATCTCAGGCTGGGTCAGTCGATCCACAGACCCCAACATGGTAAGTTCTCTCCAAGTAACATCGTGGCTCATGGTGTGATGACATTTTCAAGAAATATGGTAGTTTTCCACCAGCGTTGGAGAAAACTGTTTTTTTTTCAAAAACTGCTCCTAAGTTTTCATAATTGGTTATTCTGCGTTTTCTTTGCAATTGATTACACACCTGTGAAGGGGTACAAGCCTGCTAGACTAATTGTCTGACCTTACAATTCCCCAAAGTCTATAAATTGCTCCGTTTCATCCTAAGTGGGGTCAGGGAATCAGACTACAAGAACATGATTGGTTTTCTTGGTTTTTCCAGCATCTACAAGCCCAAAACGTGAAACAAGTCAGTTTTAACAATATTTGCTATGACATACTAATCCTCCAAATCCATTTATTTCTGAAAATTGCAGCAAAAGCAAATGTTGTACATTCCCTTTAAAGAATCCCTTCTAGTGGTCTCCCCTTGAAACCATTGAGAGTGTACTTGTGCACGGGATCCATAACAGCATGTAAGCTGTTTTAGGTCAGTGAAGCTGTTTGTAACAATTTGAATTGTCCATTTGGCTTGCAGGTTTGTGAGAATTTCATCCCGCCCTTGTTGGAGACAGTGTTGGCAGACTACAAGAGAAACGTCCCAGCGGCCAGGGAGCCTGAAGTCCTGAGCACAATGGCAACAATAATCAACAAGTTGGAGGTATGAAAAGTTAACTTGTTTGGTTAACAGAACAAAGTCACCATAACTTGTAACGTTTGAGGATACAGCGTGTTCTTTGACGCATCCTGGGTCCATTTTTTTTGAAACTGAGTATTTGGTAGCTTGGCATAATCCTAGTGTATTTAAAGGGCTGAGTAACGGAGTGTCTGTGCCTCAACTTTCAAACATTGCTATGACAGACAGCAGGAAACCATGTGACAAGCAGCAGGAAGATGATATGCGTGGCTCTGAAAATATACAAAAACATGCCTGTAGTTAATATTGCAATATAAATTCAATAATCATTATGAAGTTGAACAAAGAAATTTATTGGAGCAGGGTCTGAACCTGATCTGATTTACCGGACGGCACTCTACCAACTGAGCTTCCCTGTCCTGTTTTGGCGGTTTCCTCAATTAGTCAATATCTTTGTTGAAGGGCGCTAGTCTAGAAGCCAAAAACCTGCGTGTATGTTTGCCCCAAGTTAGTAACCCTTTGTAGTTTATTTCAATATATATTTAAGTAGACAACAAAACTAAATGTTATGTTTGAATTGTCTGCAACCCACAGAGTCACATCACTGACGAAGTGCCCAAGATCTTCGACGCCGTCTTTGAGTGCACCTTGGACATGATCAACAAGAACCTGGAGGAGTACCCAGAGCACCGCACCAATTTCTTCCTCTTGGTGCAGGCCGTCAACAACCACTGCTTCCCGGCGCTACTCAACATCCCGGCAAGACAGTTCAAACTGGTGCTGGACTCCATCATCTGGGCTGTCAAGCACACCATGCGGAACGTTGCTGACACGGGTACGGACACTACACAACATAACACCCACAACAAACTCCTCCCACCCCAAAAAAAATCAAAAGGAAGAAGAAGAAGATAAAAAATTAAATCTTTCAGATTGTGTCAGTAAAGATAAACATGCCTTGCACCATACAATTATTTTTATAGTTGTTCTCTACACTAGTGCTATTTGGAAGAAGGGCTGCCCTGCTTTAAATGTTATGGCATCCTGCTACAATTTTTAATAAACGCCCACCACCCTTCTCAAATATTAACTGTCAAACTACACCTTAGCTGAAAATTCACTTTTATGACTTTATTGATTTCCAAATGTTAAAAGTGAGTGAAAGGAAAAAATTTGGTGGGAAAGTGTGAATGTGAATTTCATGTCTTGACGAAGAGCCCTTTGTGTTCTTGGAAAAGTGCCCACTTGAACTTGAGCCATATGTGCATGTGTTCACAGCTGTTGCGTACTTTGCCGTCCTGCTCATGTTTTCCTTCATCGAAAACACTGATAATGGACATGGCAAATCCTGCTTTATGTGTAGTGCATTGTTGGAGAAGTGTACATCGTTTGTAGACATTGTCAAGTGTTATTCTTTTTGCATCTAGAAATGTAAATGTTGTTTGGCAACTGAAGTTTATTTTCCAAGAACCTACTTGGGACAAGTAAATACAAAATTTTAAATAAATACAAGCTTTTACCTACCATTTTTTGGTGTTTTTTTTGGTATTCAGGTCTGTCCATCTTGCATGGATTACTGCAGAACGTGTGGCAGGAGAACTCAGCAGCACAGGGCTTCTACCAGACCTACTACACCGATGTCCTACAGCATGTCCTGTCTGTGGTGACCGACACCTCCCACACGGCTGGTTTGACCATGCATGCCAGCATCCTGGCCTACATGTTCAGCATCGTGGAGACCAACAAGATAACCAGCCCGCTGAGCGCCAGTCAGGCCGGCCAGTCCAATGAGTTGTACATCAAGGAGTTCACCGCCAGCCTGCTGAAATCGGCATTCCCTCATTTACAAGAGTAAGTTACCTCATCAGTCCTACCTAAATGTATCTGCACCTGATTTGGCTTGATCGGAATTTTAGATATTTAAACCTACATGTAACTCTCACAGAGCCTCCAAAATGTTGTGGGATTGAGGAAGGCAGAGCTAAGCAAGTACCTTAGGGTTTGAAAGTTACAGTTAATAGTTCTTGACAGTATTCCGAGACAGTATCAACACATTTTTTATTTGTAATCTACATTCATTGTCAAACAATTTCTCTCATTTTATCCCTTTTAGTGCCCAAATCAAGATATTTGTCAAGGGTCTTTTCAGTCTGAATCAGGACATTCCAGCCTTCAAGGAACATCTGCGAGACTTCTTGGTGCAGATCAAGGTAAATTAGACTTCAACATTTTTCTTGATGGGTATTTATTACCAAAGCATATTAGGCAAGAGTCACTCATGGTATCGGCAACAGACTAGAAAGAGCAGAAAAGACTATACGAATAAAAAGAAGTATTTAGGATGGACAATAAATGCATTTGCTCATGTTTGTTGAAAGATGGTAATGTAGAAGGAAAAACAAGATTCGGCCAGGGAGCATCAGAAAGAGGCAGTACAAGGTGGAAAAATGGACAAATATTTCTCAATACTTGCCTTCAGAAGTGTGATAGTGAATGGATGAGATATAACGAGTGCTTGAAATTTTAGTCATGGGAAGTAGAGATGAGAGTCCACTGGAACTTGTTCCGTTGACATTTTAGAGTGTACATGTATTGTGGTCTGTCATTACTTCAGCTCTGCACAATGTGCACACTTTCCTAAATGGGCTTTCAGATTGGTTGCAGCCTCGGGTAATATTCAACATTTGTAAACATCAAAAACAAAATTGCCAAATTATTATGAAATACCTTACGTGACTGTAAGTGAATAATAGTCTCAAGCATCCTGTGAAATCATGGCACCTGGTATGCTGTGATTTTCAAGAGAAATTGATCAATTTCCAACGATGGTCGCCTGGCCATTGTTGGAATTTATTTTTTAAATACTGCCCTCAATTTACCTTTAAGCAAGCTTTCTGAAAGTGACAATCAATCAATTTCGCCTCCGCGTCTTTGGTTTTAGGTTTTAAATTTTGCAAAGTGTTTTTGAGATTAATGTTGCTTGATCCATTTGTTTCAGGAAATTGCCGGTGACGATACGGCCGACCTGTTCCTGGAAGAGAGGGAATCCCAACTGAGACAGGCCGGCGAAGAGAAACGCAAGATCCAGCTGTCTGTTCCAGGCATCATCAACCCCCACGACATGCCAGAAGAAATGCAAGACTAAGGACAAATTGCGCTGTACTTTGTGTAACTTAATCGTGTGAGTCAGTTGTGTTTTGTGTTAAGAAAACTGAAGAAGAAAAGTGCTGCATTCGAAAAAACAGTATGTTTCCTGTATGGTGAGTAAATCCTGGGATGTAAACCATTCCTGAAGAAGTTGATGAATGTTGGCAGCGAGAGTATGTTAGTGTTTGTAATGCTGTGCAATGGTAGCCATTGATGTTGCCAGGTCTTAGAAGGTTCAAGACATGTTGAGCAGGATCTCATAGAGATAATGTCATTTTGTTTAGGACCCCGGTATTCATCAGTCATGATTTCAGCTTGTGGCTACATGTCTCTGAATACGATTTGATGGAAGTTGACTCTTTTGCATTTTTTTTTCATGTCCATTTTAAAACCAGTGGGTCCCATAAATGACACGGTAAGAGTTGTGTATATCAGTGCAGACGGAACTGAGAAAGCTGTCTCAGGGGAACTGTTGCAAATCATTGGACTGAAATGACCATTAATTCCTATTAAGTAATGGCCAACTGTTAAACACTGATTTCAGAAAACACAATGTTGATTTGCTTCCAAACCCTACACCAGTTTCCTCTGAAAAGAAAATACTAAATAAATAAAACTGAAAAGAGGAAAAATCATGGATGGATGTCCAAAAAAGAAGAAGTAGTTTTTAAACATAGGGCGCACAACTGAATTATTTTCATTTTTGTATTGAAGGCTTATCTGTTTTGTTAGTCTGTACATACCTGTAGGTGTATTAAAATGAGCACTAATTATTGGTTTATGTACATGTTGATGTTTTTGTTACGAAATAAATACAACGCTTGCATCACTCAAGTAGAGATAGAACAGTCTTTGGATGTATTAAAGGGAAAATATATTACAGTGGAAAATCAACTAGTTGTAGTTAAACAAAAATCTAAATTACTTATTGTTGGGAGATTTATAATTACAGACTGGTAGTCCAGCTTTCTTGAGCTGTAAAACGTAATGTAGTTTTTTCTTGTTGGATAAATTCTCCTCACATTTAGACAGAAGTTTAGGTAATAGTTGTCGAGGAAGATGAAGCAGACTTTTTTTGGCTAGCCTTTCCTACCGACGCATTTCCTATCAATAGTTGTGGGTATCGCAGTCATATTGACTGTTTTCCTATATATTTGATACATAAAATGTAAAATGTAAATAGTATAAATATGTTTTCAGAGAGAATTTTTTTGTTTTTCTTCATGTTGGAGTTAGTTGGATAAAACGCTATGAAGGTACATGTACATAAAAATCGTCATGGTAAGGATACATGTTGATTCGGTAATTAATGCATAAATCTAGAATGAAAGGTTATTGTGTACAGATCTTTTTCCCCGTAGTTTTTGTAGCCTGTGCCTTAGATCACTGTGAACTGTTACCCAATTCCAACTGTTTTTGAGCCCCCTCTCCATTTACCTAAACACCTTGAGACTGTTTTTTTGTTTTCTTTTCTGTTTTGTGTATATCTTGTTTAAGAATCATAATGTTATGCTTACTTTTGCCAAAGATATAAACGTAGAACGTACAGGATTGTCCCATAGTACTTGTTTCATGACTGTTATGGTAGACCTGATGCATAGAGACAGTCTCAGAGGGAAATGCGTTATCATAGGGATGGTTATGAGTAAACTAGGCCAAGTTCGGGCAAGGACCATTAGTTGACTAGTGGTTGATTTGTGACGTACCTTACGCCTGCGTACTAATAGCAACGTGCTAACGTCTCTAGTCAAACGCTTGTCAAAATATCATCCCAAATTTTCTGGATCCTGGCTCCCTGCTGTACATTATGATTGCATGCCGCTATTGGTTACCAGCGATGCAACCAGCCCCAGTCAAGGGCGGATCCAGAACACAATTTTGGGGGGGCCCAAAAAAATTTTTGGTCCCCCCAAAAAGTGGGTGAAAAAATTACGGCGTGGGGGGCCCGCTTAAGGGCCCCGAAAAATTTTTGGATTCTAGATGCTCTGTGGTGCGATCTGAGGCAATTTCTGACCACTTTAACCAATGTTTTTTGAGGAAAAGATGGTGGTGTACTCATTGCCTGCCTTTATTGCATTGTCACATAAAAAAAAAAAAAAATTGGTTTCGTTTTTGGGGGGGGCCATGGCCCCCTTTGGCCCCCCCTGGATCCGCCCTTGGCCCCAGTAGGTTGGTTCCAAATAGTCGACTAGCATAGTCAACCATCGTCGACTAGACAGAGTTCGGGCCAACTTTAGTCAAACTTAACTATGGTTAACCAATGGTCAACAATAGTTCTTGCGCGAACTTGCCCCTAGATTCAAATACACTTAAGGTCGGCTATGGAGCCGCTGAAAAATTATTGATACATCCTTTATTTTCCCCCAACGATTTGACTTTTCTAACAACATGACATTAATCACAATTCTCAACAAAAATACTTTTACCTAATGATGACTTTCTTCAACTCACATTCAGTGAATAAATTTCAAGTCCAGAACAACCGCAGATTGTATTGTAGACACTACAAATTTCAAAAAGGTACTGCTAATAGTGTTACGGCGTTCCTAATTTAGTTCCACGTAGACCCTTTTCAAATGTGAATCAAATAGAAGGAATGGTACTCTTTCGAGATTGGAATTTCGATTGTGTATTCAGGCATGTGTATTTTTCTTAATACTGAGCTGTTTTGATAAGCACCTGATTTTTTTGTTATATTTATTACAACAGGAACTAGCAAGACTTGCCAAATCCTTTGAGATGTGATAGCTTTATTCCAGAGAATTTGACGTAAATCTTTTTTTATAAAGTGATGTCTGCAGAGATTGGGCAACACAGAGACAAGTGTACATGTATGAGCCCCTTGGTAATAATTTGTTTATTTCTAGACAAAATGAATCTGTATGGGCCGCACAGTACATCTGAGCAAAAACTGAACTTCACAGATTTGTCTTTTCGTCCTCTTTGTTATTTTTTTTATATTATATACATGTATATTTGTGTTTGGTATTTTTGACTGGTTGATGTCTTAGGCTTTGTGTACCATTGGGCATTGTGATGTCATCAACCCTTCATTACAGGACAGAGTGAAACCTCTTTTTTTTGTAATGGTTACTTAAACTTACCGATTGATCAAAGTCCTAATAAAATTATTCTTTTACTAGAAAAAAAGAATTGTGAGCTTGTATTTTTACTGTGTACATGTACCATGTATTAGCGATCTACATGGATGAATGCCAGATCCTTACTAAATTTGGGCAAATGTTCTTTATTGAACACACAGCAATGCGACTCAAATGTAAGCTTGAGTGCCTTCGATTACTTCCCCGCGCTTACTCGTGCAAGCGCGACAGCGTTTGATTTACCTCTCATGTGACTTCTCGCACTTACTTGAGCCTGGCTCAGTGTAACCGACTCGGCGAGTTACTTGGGAAAGTATCCCATAAGGCCATGCAATAAACATGGCTGCCAATGTGACGTCAGGCAGCTGTGTCCGAAATGGGCTTCCAGAGCTATGGCTACATCTATTGTCAGCGCGAAAGGAAATTCCAGGAATTCGCAGGAAATTCCGAGCATACCTCACAGTTTGAATAGGCACACGTGAGGTATGCTTGAAATTTCCTGGGTAGCACTGCCAATATTGCCTAGATTAGATTTGATTCATCATGTCAGTAGTGACCTCGTCAACGGACCAGCTGTATAATAAAATAAAATCTAAATCTAGTCTTGAACCGAGACTATGCTACCTCATGTACATAGGATGGTGTTCGGGGTCCCCCTCGGCCCCCCCCCCCCCAAAAAAACCTCCAACTTGTCAAAAGTAGAAAGGGTAATTGGTATGAAGAAATGATTTAGAAGATACATGTAGGGTTCATGGACAGAAGCACGGAAAACAAAATGATGCAATTGATACACAGATAGGTGTGTATACATTTCTACTGCACTCGCAGCTAAATTTTTTATTAAAGCATTTCATGAGGCATTATACACGCACATGTATTTATTGGTGTAAGTTATGTAAACACTAAATGTCTCAATAAAATGAATGAATTTGTTTGCATAAGTAGTTGCGCAACTGGAAACGAATGTACATTCTGTGCAGATAACATCTAATTTTTGATATCACCTAATGAACCACAAGGCAAGCTAATTTTTTTAAATCAGTTTTTTTTATAAAGAAACAACCTAACAATTGACTTGAGCAGGATAAGAACCTGCAATCTCCTGAACATGGTACCGGCACTCTGCAAACCCTTAAAAACTGCCATCTTACATTAAACTCTTACCCAGATGAACATACACGCAGATTCCTTATGTTAAACACAATACACATGAAAGCTGGCTGTACACATATATAATTTCACCAAACTTCAAATCACATTTGCTATGTTTCATTTGATACAATGTATACATTTTCTCATGGTTGTTAAAAAGAATTCTTGAACAAATATTTACAACTATTTCTCTTCACATTTACACATTACATAAACCTCCAAGCACAACTCCAAGTATTTAATAAAATAAAAGTGTTTTCCGCATGTACCTACATGTAACTATTGATCACAGTTTACCTAAGACAAGTCGGAATACATGTACGTGTGAAAAATGCTACATTTCTTTCCAACCCAAACTGTGGCTGTAGGCACTCATTTTCTAAAATGGAACTGTATTTTCAAAGTCTAACCAAATTAATTGGTCCTACAGATTATTCCATAAATTCAAGGGCGAAATTGTGACTTTTTACTATCTCTTTCACCTGAGAACTTTAATAGCAATTCTAGTATCATTAAGTGTTTGGGAGAATGAACATAAACAGAAGTTCCTTTTACTTTAACCCTAAAAGGGCCGCGTTATTTTGACCATCTCTCAGCTGGGGGGGGGGGGGGGGGGCCCTAAGATCTCGGCCATCGAGTGACAAAAATTGTGGAAACTCGGTACATGCATAGAGCAACTCACCATAAACATACCCAATAAATGTCATGACTATACATGTAAGTCCAAGGGTTTTGTAATTATGGCTATTTCATTATTTATATGTTCAAATGGTAATTCTGCTCTGTGTACACGAATTAAGTTTTTTTCACGACACGTTTTTGGTATCAAAAGATGCACAAGGCTCGAGGCTAAAACTCATAACAGCTCGGGTCATGAAAAAAAAAAAATTCAAGGCTATCGCGGAAAAAGTTGAGGGTGATTCCGTCCCCAGCCCTTTTAGGGTTAAAACCACATAAGTACATCATTTCATCACCTCCAAAAATGTGCACTGAAACATGATTCTTGGTGGTGAATGAGGCTGTGTCCGAATGACTTGGCTCCAGCTTGAAATTACACATGAGTCTATGGCAGCAGTCACTTCACTTTATGTCATTTCACGGCCTTAGTTAAAATTAATTAGTTAAGATGACTGTCCCTTCTTGAAAATGAATACTCTGGCTGACCTACCTAAATGTACGGACTCTTACGCTTTTCTGTACTGTATTCATAAAACAAGGAACGGGCACAGAAAAATGTTGCCTGAAGGCACAAGTAAGAATTTTAACTACTTTGTTTTAAAACCACAAAAAAAAAAAGAGAAGAGTTGATATTGAAAAAGTCATTTTTGACATGCGGATCTCTTCTCAAAATAGTGATAGAGTACATGTACATGCTGTGTACAGTCGAATCTCGTTAGTACAAACTCTGTTAATACAAAATTCTGGTTATAACAAACATAAAGCCTTAGTCCTGACTGTGCATTTATGTGCAGAATGAATGGGACTGATGTTTCTCTTAATACAAAATTCTGATATAACAAACAATTTGGTTAGGTCCGAACGAATTTGTATTAACGAGACTCGACTGTATATCACTGTCAACTTATTCTCTCAGATTTGACATACATGTACCCAGGAAGGTGATCAGAACCTTGATTTGCATGTAACTTGTCATAAAAGGCTGCACAAGTATGAGGCACTTTGAATGATAAAAAAAAACCTGAGGCTTGAATTTCGTGTTGTGGTCCAGTGTACTGAGATATAAACACCGTAAAAAAGAAAGAAAAGAAAGTCCACACTCATTGGAGGGGTAATAATTTGAATCACTTTGTCTTATGATAACGTCATTTATATAGACCTTTGGGGAATGTTGTTAGCTACATTTTGATACCCCTTTTGCTACCAAATCGTCCAACATTGACAATGATTTATGAAAAATTATGCAGTTTGAAAAGTTGCAAATTTAAAGAGTATGCAAGTAGAAATTGCTGCGCCACAATGTTACACTGCCCGAAACAAATGGCAGGAATATCGATCGCAATGTGCTTGTATGCATGGGAGCACGTGAAATTGAATTATTCCCGTTTGTTCGTCCTCTGTGCAGTCGATAGGGGCCAAAATACGTATGTGTGTGTGTGTTTGAGCTGAGCAATTTCTTCTCACGTAATTTTTAAATTTGCAACTTTTCAAACTGCATCATTTTTTCACAAACAGTCGTCAATCTTGGACGATTTACAGTCTTTGGTAGCAAACGAGGTATCAAAATGTAGCTAACAAAATTCCCCAAATGTCTATGTAAATGACATCATCATATTAAAGACGATCAGATTCAAAATTATGTACATGTGTTTATGTACATGTGCTGTACATATAAGATGGCATACCCTCACCATGGCTATGTTGAATGAGTGTTTCATTTGTTCATGTTATATGAGTACCGATTACGAATATAGATGTTTGATTATACTGCCTGTTCAACACAAGTACATGTACATGTGAGTTGGACTGAGATCCATAGCTTTCTTTTTGTGAAAGACCGGCAGATGGCATACATTTTGTGTACATGTACATGTACAAGTGCCAACATTCAATGGCTTTTACGAGTAGACCATATTAGTACCACACTGTTCGTTCACCAGGTCTTGACTGTAGGCCCTAAGTGAATACTATCTTCAAGCTTCCTCAGTATGGATAGAGCTAATGGATCTATTTTCATCATCGTCCTCCTCATCGTCGAAGTCATTGTCATAGCCACGGCTTCCTCCCTCGCTGCGCAACCCTGCTCCTCCCTTACTACTGCCAAACGACATGTCCCTGTCCTCATGTCTGCCAAAGGTCAAATCCTCGTCGCTGTCATCTGGATAGTCGTAGGACCGCGCCGATGCCTGAGTACTACCGCTGCGTCCTTTGCGAACCAGGAATTCTTCATCCAGGCCTGCCTCCTTCAAAGCCTGCTGGTACTTCTTCTCCGCTGCTTTCTTGGCGTTGACCTGTGTGAAGCAAAATGATCATGAACTTCTTACCTCAGTCCTCAGCTAGTGTACAGTACATGTACTTAATTTAATAGTTCTCCAAGCATCCTTAAAATTACATACCCTACTGTATTGGTTACAAGTTTCTCATTGGCACGTACAACACTGCCCTTACTTTTTTTGATACAGTGTAAAAGCTGTTTTACAGTGCCATTCAAATTTTGAATCCTGCCAAAGACACGTGTACTACAAGCTGATTTTTTTTTCCATACAGAGTCTTTTATGAGTGGTCTTCAATTTAATTTTGTGTGTGCAAGGTGTGAACCAATCTTTAGTAGAATATTTTACTTGTATTATATCCTACAAGTTGCTCATGAGAAAAATTTTGGATTCAAAATGGCTAAACACTCAAGTTGCGTTAACTTCTGGCTCCATTCGTGCTATGCTACACCGTGTGAAGTACGCATTTTTTTTTTTATAAAGTTGGGATGACGTCACACTTGCGAACCGGATTAAGCACAATGGAAGTTTCATAAAACCGTACAAAAACATGGGAAACTAGTTAAAATTGCATCTGCTCCAAGTCCTAACCTGGGATTGTCGTTCAAATAGAAGTGGTCGAGATTCCACCCTTGTCATCATTTCCTTCAATTGCTGATCATACTCGGCTTGTCTGGACCTTCCTGCTTCGCTGTAAAGTGAATCAACAAGAAGAGATTAATGTCAACAACGTATACATAATTATATACACAATAGTCCAGCAGGCCAAACCTATTTTCTGAAAAGAAATGATTAACAGTGAGTTACATGTATGGATAAATGGAAATTGGTGTAGTTGCAAGTTGTATTTGAAATTATCTAGAAATATCTTTCAGTGTGAAGAGAAGGCACAGCAGAAAATGTGATTGGTCTGTTGGCTGTGAATGTTTTTAAAATTCTGTCTCCGATTGCTAAATAAAGATAAAGATGACAGTTGCCTTATTTCCAGGACGACAGTTCCAGCTGTCAAAGGTAGGCCTACCCTAAACATTTTTTTTTTATTTTGTAAGCTTTCAAAAACAATACAATTTAAAATATCAAATATAAAAACACTCCAAATGTATAATAATGAAATAAAACTTTTCAGTGAATCAAAATAGGTTTGTGCTGTATTTGCTCAGCTTGTTTGTTCTTCATACCCGAAACACAGGGTAACTATTTAGACAGATTCATGCTAAAGACATTGAGGCATCCGGAGCAACAAACACGCCAAACAAAAATGCTGGTCATGCCATATTGAGCAAGTCGGACTATCAAGCCCAGAGTCAAGATCTTACATGTAATTCTGACGTTTGGATTTACTGGTAGCAGACAGACTCTCTGAGTTATCATTAGCCAAGGCCTTTCTGTTGATGAACTGCTTCAGTTTCCTCTCTTTGATCCTCTTCTGCCTCTCCCTCTCTGCCTCTTCTCTCTCCTTCTCGGCCTGCTCCTTGAGGGTCTTCTCTGTAGCGCTCTTTCTTAATTTGGAGGCTGCGGTAGTCTTGGCTGGGATCGCATCCTCAGAGATGTTGAGAGAGCTGCGAAGGCTTAAAGATTTGGAGGTAGATCCTCTGAGTTTCTCCTTCCGCCCGTCTTCCTCTTGCTTCATCTCATCCAGGATTTTGTCCATCTTGGACGGGATGCGAGATGTACGCAAGTTGAAGGGCTGCACAACTGTTGGCTCCTTCTCTTGTTTCTTCCGTTGAACCTCCTGCTGAAACTGCCTGTACAGCTCATCATAGTCAGGCACTTCACCATTGACCTGCGGCTGGAACTTGTGCTCTGTAGTGAGAAAAGCCATCTTTTCTCGTTTCTTGTACAAGTTCCGCCTCATTTTGCCATCGGTGTATTCCTTTCCCCGATGCTGCATATTCTGAGGCAGTGATGACTGCATCAGCATCTCTTCTGCCCGCATCTTGATTCGGATTTTCCTGTATTCTTCTTCTTCCAAGATCCTGTCTGACACTGTAGGGTCAAACACAGTTTTGGGGATTTCTCTCGCTTTGAATTGCTTGGGCTTCTTTCCTTTGGCTTGTGTCAGCGGTAAGGACTTGGACCTGCGGTGCTTCTTCTTTTCCTCCTCTCGCTTCATGAAGCTGAATGGCTTCTGCTGTGACACAAGGCGGTCTTTACTGTTCTCTCGATTCCTTCTGCTTCGTTCAGTGTCTCTCTCATTGATCTCGTCGTAGAGCGGCATGTACGTGTGTGCCGGTGCTGGTGTAGCCTTGAACTTCCTCTGGCATTCTACCTCTTCAGCTTTTTCCTTCTCAGCCAGCTCTTGCTCCAACTCCATACAGGCTCTGGATTTGGTCTTTTCCTTCATTGCCTCTCGTTGAGTCATCTGGAATGGCTTTGGGATGGTGATCTTGGGTGACCATTCCTTAGACTTGACGCTTCCTGTGCTCTTCACCGATGATGCTCTGGAGTTGCTCCTTGCTCGAGGTGCATACTCTTCTACAGAAAAGTCATCCCACATCCTCCCCACCATGTCTTGGCTGGCTGAATATGAGTCAGACAAATTCAGAGTCCTTCGACTTCTAGTAGTGCTTGCATTGCTGGCATCTAACTCAGATCCGCTTGTGTCTTGACCGCTATCATTGGTCCACGTAATGTCACTCCATTTCTCTGAAGGCATGCTGCGTCGTAAACTGCGTCTCGACTTGCCTGCCCATGCTGTTTTAGGGCGGCCAATGGGAGGCTTTGCAGACATGTCCTTGACATTGTCCTTCTTTGTCGACCAATCCTGGCTCTTTGTGAACTGTTCTATCTCGTCATCAATGTGCCGAAGCTTGTGGTCACCTATGTAGACAGGCCCTGACTTTGTAAAGGGTTGCTCTTCAAGTTCAAAATTAGTTTTCGGGATATTCTCATGTCCACTCAGTGATAATTTTTGATCGTACAACACTTCCAATCTGTTCAATGTTTTCCTGTGTTCATCCTTCATTTCCATCAACTTCTTGTAAAATTCTTCGTCTGTGTAAGCGTCGATGTTGTCTTTGAGGTTCTCAAACAGCTGATCAGGCCGTGGTCTTGCATGTACGTCCTGATAGTCATCCGGCTCATGTTTACCATCATCCATATCTGTACTGGTGAAGCCATTTTCAGTCTCGAAATAGCCATTGCCATTGTGACTGTCATGACTGTGACTGTGACTGTGCCTATGATGAACGTGACTGGGATTACTGTGAGCAAATCGAGTGCCATTTTGCGCAGTATCATTCTCCCATTCTCTTTGCTCATCTTCGGTCTTTTTAGCACTTTTTGGCTTAAACGACCCTCCTCTCTCAGTAAAGGTGGCTGCAAGCCTATTTCGGGGATTAATCGGTACTTTGACACAAGAATTTGTCAAACTGGACAATCCGTGCCCACCAAATGTAGTTGCCATGTTGGTTTCCACCAAAGCTATTCAAATTCAGGAATTCCATATTTGTGTGGATTAAACATTATTATCGTTCAATAAATAAAATATTTATAATCATTTAAACCTTTCACATAAACTAGGTATTCATAAATAAAATATTTATTTATATTTTTTTGAAGATATATAATACATAATAACAAGACTTTACTACTACAAATAAGTTTACATGACAAAGACGGCCTTACTTCGAGAACCATCGGTGACCTCTGACCTGAGCAGGGATTGTCATGCTCGTTGCAAGATCGGTGCGGATTTTAAGCGATCAAAATCTGACATTATCACGCGATAAATATAACATCAAAAGTAATTCTTAACTTTTTATGAAAGAGGAGACCTCCATTGAACACCAGACCTGAAGCTATGTCGAAAACTTCGGTTGGATATGGAAAAAGTCCAGGTGCATACAAAGATAAGGAGAAGCCGTTTCAGATACGTGAATCGAACATATCCGCTGCAAAAGGTAGGCACAATTTTTTCCAGGCGCCTCGTTGTAGAAAAGTAGGCCTAACGTTACGTTACTGTATTATATTTGTGGAAAATCTGTAGGTGCCTAGGCTAGGCCTATTCCTATTTCACAAAAGTGAATTTGTTGAATTCTTCTTTTTTTTTTTAGCTGAATAGTGGGTCTATCTATTTTGTTACGAAGTGGCTATCGTTACGGCACTCGTTGTTTAGCGCCCTCTACGATTTTTTTTTGATACGCACGCAGGTATATAATTATTTGTTTCCCCACGATTGAGCGAGCAGTGCGCCAGCTCAGCCGATAGAGGGTAGGATTTTGCACCGCGAGGTTGCGGGTTCGAATTTCAGTTTTGCACTCAAATTTTTTTCCTTTTCTAACCTGAGGCTTTGGAGGATTTTTTTTAAAAGGGAAATAAAGTCCGAATTTCATAAAGTTCAAATTCACTTTTTTCCTTCTAATTTTATATTTTCTTGTCATGTTTTTTTTATAAAAGTTGCGAGGTTGCAGTCTACCGTAACGATAGAAAATGGGAAATGCGTTACGGCTGCCGTAACAATAGCCACTGCGATTTTGTTAACTTAATACTAGGCCTAACATGCCTAAAGTAAAGCAAGGGAAGATCAGCTGATCACTGACAAAGTGATTTGCAAACATAAAAAAACCGAAATGATCAAATTATCACGAAATACCTTACTGAATTGTTAGGGAATGACAGTCTAAAGCATCCTGTAAAATCGTGGTCATGGTGGTGCCTGGTTAATGCTGGCAGCTGGTGTGCTGACAAGTGACATTTTAAAGAAAACGCAGTGGCTATTGTTACGGCAGCCGTAACGCATTTCCCATTTTCTATCGTTACGGTAGACTGCAACCTGGCAACTTTTATAAAAAAACATGACAAGAAAATATAAAATTAGAAGGAAAAAAGTGAATTTGAACTTAATGAAATTTGGACTTTATTTCCCTTTTAAAAAAAATCCTCCAAAGCCTCAGGTTAGAAAAGGAAAAAAATTCGAGTGCAAAACTGAGATTCGAACCCGCAACCTCGCGGTGCAAAATCCTACCCTCCATCGACTGAGCTGTCGCACTGCTTGATAAAACGTGGGGAAACAAATAATTATATACCTGCGTGCGTATCAAAAAAATATCGTAGAGGGCGCTAAACAACGAGTGCCGTAACGATAGCCACTTAGTAAAGAAAAACTGTATTTTTCCAACGCTGGTCGGCCGACCAGCGTTGGAGATAAATGGCTTTTTTTCCAAAATGATAATTGAGTGCGTGTGTGATTTCACCGTCGTCGATCACTGTCGTCGATCCAAAAAAACAAAACAAGTCGCGCTTTGTCAATGACTGTTTCGTGTAATGATACGTATTCCGCGCCGTATGACAGTATGGGCTTTTCATACATCCAAGGTGGAGACGGCCGGCTGAGACGAGTTTCATGTGGTTACCTTCCGTTATTTGTTTAGAACGTGTGCGTGTACTGGATTATACACCTATGTGGGGATGAACGGGTACAAGCAAGCCAGACTGGTTCCCTGACCTTACAATTCCTGACATCTATAAATTGCTCCATTTCATCCAACCTTGTTTCCATGGGTACGATCTTGCTGTGCCATGATGCCTTGTGCGATCTTAAAGGGAATATACAACATTTGCAAACATCGAGAAAAAAAACTACCAAGTTTTTGCGAAATACCTTAATAGGATGTTGGTAAATGACAGCCTGAAGCATCCTGTAAAATTATGGCACCTGGTATACTGTCATTTTCAAGAAAAGTGGTATTTTTGTATCAATTTCCAACGCTGATCGGCCGATCAGCGTTGGAAACAACTGGCTTTTTTTCAAATACTGGCCCCAATTGACCATTGCACTTGTTTGCAATCGATTACAAACCTATGAACGGGTACGAGCCAGCTAGACTGGTTCCCTGACCTTACAATTCCCCAATGTATGTAAACTGCTCTGTTTCTTCTTATATGGAGTCAGGGAACCAGACTACAGGAAAATGATCGTTTTTCTTGGTTTTCATAGCATTTTCGAACCCAAAACCTCCAAAAAGTCAGTGCAACTATATTTGCTTTATATTTCCAACCCCCCAATTCCATCCATTTCTGAAAATTACAGCAAAAGCAAATGATGTATATTCCCTTTAACCCCTGCCATTGTGTAATTTAAATGTGCCACTATGCCAAATAGTGGCACATTTACATTAGGACTGCAGTTGATATATCTAACACGCGACGCAGTGCTTAACATTTTGAAAGGTTTTTTTTGTAAAATCATTCCTTTCAAACATGAGATTTTGACTTGGTGTTATTGAGCAAGGATTTATATTAAATGTACGTACCTCTGTCGTCCCATTGCAACACAAGATACAATGTACAGGTTTTCTGAGGCTAAAAAGAAGGGTCCGTAATTTAGATCGTCGCGCAGTTTAAAAAAATGTTTGTACGTGACGTGGTGAGCAGGAGATAACGCGCGAGTGCATACAGGGCGTGCAGTTTTCGAAATTCACGCAAAGTATGCTCTGAATAGCTGGTCAGCGTCGTTTGCATATTCCTGTAGGGCACTGCGCCTGTGTTATGGCCGTATCATATGCGGGGAAAAAATCGCATTCGGGGAACACAAGAGCTAATCACAGGGCGCCTCGATTATTTATGCTGAGTACGACATCCAACAGCCATTGGCTCAATGGACTGTACTGTGTATCATGCAGACTGTACTGCTGTTGGCTGTTTGATGTTGTACTCAGCCAGGAGGAGTTTGGAGGATTGAGGAGGGTTAGGGTTAACCTAACTCCCTAGGGGGTGTGCACAATTATATTAAAATTGGAGGATTCAGGACTGTTAGGGATCTGTCTAATGCAGAAACCAACTCCATTAAACAAAAATCTTTTACTGTTGGTAGTTTTTTGTTTTTTTTGTAGTTTTTTGTTGTTTGGCATCTTCTTTGCTTGTGATTTATTTCAAATTTTTCATTTTTGTCTCCTGCAGCTGTTGCCGATGCAGTCAGAACCAGTCTGGGGCCTCGCGGCATGGACAAAATGGTACCTAAATGTAATCTTTTATTTTTTTTGCTAGGAACCCGTGCTCCATAATCGTCCATCAAGCATAATGTATGTGAAGTAAAAGTAATTGGGCTTCATAAAGCTGGCACACTTCTCCAAAACACTCCAAAACAATTGAAATGTGCAAGTCTAGGGTTTTGTTGGTTTAACAGTTCACATGGCTTTTGGGGGTTTTGTGAGTTTTTTTATTCATATCTGGACTACATGTTTTCTGATTTCTCCAAACAACTGTGTCAAAAGACGTGTTTCTGAGTGTTGTCATTTGCATTTTGAAAGTGGTCATAGTTATGTGAATGGGTCGTCCTATAAAGTTAGGGTCCAAAGTGTGGCATTTTTCCTGTCCCTGTTACCTTGGTACTTTGTAATTTCTCATTCAAGTATCATTGTTCCTCCTATGCAAACATACATTCTGTGTCAAGTCATCCTTTCAGTCAAAATCAATCAAGTGACTGTTCTCAACAGTTAAGAATTCCTATATGAAGAGGATTGACTGGCTTGGACTGTTAAAAGTAACTTGATACAGCTATACTTTGACTCGGGGTGGTGATTAAACAGCTGTGACCACAACCATGACAACTTGCCTGCTTTGTCTGTTGACCCAGTTTAACTAGTCACAGTGCTTGACATATGATCTGACTTCTGGTGTCTAGCCTTTGTTAAAAGTATAAGTGGGAAGTGGAAGTGAATTTTGACAGTCTGTCAATAAATTCATGTGCATGTAGCACATGTAGCAGATGGGTTAAGAACGACTTTTCATTTTTGGGGTTAGTAGTTTGCTATTCATAATCCCTCTCAGAGGAGTGCATCAGAATTATAAAATCACAGATGTCAGATATAACAGGGACTGGAAAGATTTTCTGGACAGAATGACACGAATGGACAATTGGTAAACATGTTTGTCAATAAGTAAATGTATACATCCACAGATACAGAGTGCCAACGGTGACGTGACTATAACCAACGATGGAGCCACTATTCTCAAACAGATCCAAGTGCTTCATCCATCAGCCAAAATGGTACGTTGCCTCGCTGCTCCATGAAAAGTTGGGTAAAGGGAGTTATGCATGAACTACATGAACAACATGTTTTTGACCTGAACTTAGTCATTTTGCATGTAGTCCTCCTGACTCCTCCAAAGCCAACCACTGCTTATAACCACTGCTTAGGAAAGCATTGGCAATTTCTTTGTACTTGGACTTTCTCGGGCCATTAAGCCAAATGGAAAAATAATTTGATTAAGTTTTATGTTCCTCAGTCCTGCAAAATACTGAAAGCATCCTGGAAGATTTAAAGGATCTTGAAAGATGATGGTTATTTTTTTTAAAGTATTTAGAATTCAACCAAACTAAATACTATTGAATTGTTAAGTTTACAAGAAAATAAGCTACATGTAAATACAAGCAGTGTATGGTGATCATTCGGCTATTTGTAAGGCTTATTCAGTTTACAGACACAAGCAAGTTGGCAGTTATCCCCGAAATAGTCAGCTGGTATGAATTTCTTGTCCCTTTGGTCTCTATGGGCTCTGTGCACACGTATCCCTTCAACGGTAAGAAAGGGATAGTTGGAGGAGATCACTGAAAATCAAACAATAAACTTCATTTTCTTTTTGATTTTTTTGGGTGGCATGGGTGGCTTGTGCGTAAAGCGCTCGCCTCTCACCAAGGTGACCACGGGTCGAATCCTGGCCGCGGATTGCATGTGAGTAGAGTTGTGCATTGGTTCTCTCCTGTGCCACGTGGGTTTTTCTCCGGGCCCTCCGGTTTTTCCTCCCTCCGGAAAAATCAAACACTTTCGATCTCAGGCTGTGCTCCGTGGTCATATTTGGGTCAATGTGGCCGGCAGCCATAGGCGCTTTTACGTGCCAGCGGCCCGACCACGTTGTAGCCGCGTCCTTCGCAATTCAGCATACCAGCTGCGAGTAAGAATGATTAGCCTCCCAAATTATTATTATTATTATTATTATTATTATATTGTCTACAGCTGGTAGAGTTGTCTAAGGCCCAGGACATTGAGGCAGGAGATGGCACCACCTCTGTTGTAGTCATTGCTGGAAGTCTCCTCACAGCTGCATCCAAACTTCTTAGCAAAGGTACGTGGAGACAATAAAATGAAAACTCTGGACATCTCAGAAAGTCCTTATTGCACTTATTGTTATTATCCCAGCCATTTTTTTTTTTTTTTTTTAGGAATCTTTCTGTATCCAAAATGTTTCCAAATGTACCAAAGTTTGACACCTTCCTTCAGCATGTTTGTGGTCAGAACCTTTTAGATGGGCTGTGACCGAACAATTGGAATGCACTGTACCCCTTATATTAATTGTCCATTTTGTGCGTAAATTTGACGTGTGACTAGTGAGATGTGTGCAAATGATGTATAAACAAGATCCAACACTTAACTGCCACTGTGTGGTAATGTGTGGAGAAAAGCACCAAAAAACCTCTGATGCATCAACATCTCACATAAAACTTTAAGATTAACCCTAACTACCTAGTGTCTTTTACTATGTACTGGACCAAGTCCGCCAAAATCCATCCCTTCCCTGCTCCACATAATGCTTTAGGACCAAAGCTGCTGAAATTCACCACAAGACCATCACTACTATAGGTGGATTTTGATGGACTTGGTACTCGTGGCTTGCCTACTAAAATCCTCAAAATGGGGGGGGGGGGGGGGTTGGGGGTTGGATTTTGATGGAGTTGGGGAGGTAAGAGTTAAGAAGTATAATAAACTGTTACATCCTCAAGTAGTTTTTTGGTGCGATTGTTTTAAAACTGCCCAATTTAAACAAATTTGGAATTACACAAAATGCCCTAGATCGAAGTACGTTTGAAATATAGATCATTATCAATTTTTGTGTTTTGTGTGTGTTAATTTCTCTTTATATGATGACTCACTTTAGGAATTCATCCCACCACAATTTCGGAATCTTTCCAACGAGCTTCTGGGAAAGCTGTTGAGATCCTGACTGACATGGCCACACCGGTTGATCTGAACGACCGCGAGTCTCTCGTCAAGATCGCCAGTACATCACTCAATTCTAAGGTAAGAAGGGAACCCTTGAACTCACAAGGCATATTACCCAGGAAACTTCGTGAACAGCAGGACTCAAGCGGCTTTTACTAGAATTTTTAAAGAGCATCAACTTAAGGGACTTCAATCCTCCAAAATCTCAGGTTCCTTCGTGAATTTATTCAGTGGAGGGTGACCACTGCCTAAATCCTTCAAAATCCTCCGAATCACTTATAAACATGTTGGAGTACGAATGATACCTTGACACAATGCATCCTCCAAAATTAACTGACAGTTGTTTTGCCATTCAGCCTCAATTTCCAAAATCCTCCAAAACCGCCTGGTTGATTTGGAGGATTGAGGAGGGTTAGGGTTAATTTGCAGTGACTGGGCTGTACATTCCTCAAACCTGCGAAATTCTCCAAACTTCCAGGTTGATTGTGAGGGTTCTTGGGTTAGGTTTAGGTTAACTCTAACCCCCTAGGCCCTCTGGCTAGGATGCAACCTAATCCTCCAATTGCCACCAAGAAATAAATTGGATTCAGCCTCAATCCTCCAAAATCATCCGTTAATTCTTGAATTTAGTCTGTGGAGGGTGACCACTGTCTCAATCCTCCAAAATCCTCTGCCAATTACTGCTATGGTTTGAGGCAGTGCGAATGGCGTTTAGAAGCAGTGCAGATGAAATACGAGAAAAACACAGGGCTGATTTATGCATGGCTGAACATAACCAATGCAGGATATGGCCTACTGGCTTGATGTAATGCATCCTCCACAAAAAAAGCGATACTTCTTTGCCATTTGTCTTCAAACCTCTAAAATTGTCCAAAACTGGTAGGAGGATTTTGGAGGATTGAGGAGGGTTATTGGTAATGCATATCATCTTGACTCATACAGATTAATTTACTAATAGGTATCTATGAACTTGGGCCATGTTCACTTCAGGGTGGTTTAGAAATACAAGGTTACTCTAGTTCAGTGAACAAGACAAATGTAGTTCTGGCAATAACAGGATTTTGGGCTTTCCTAACTTATGTGTATTTTGACGCTGTACATCTGTGTCTATTTTTCTTGTTTCCTGAAAAAAGAAGAAGTCAAAAGCACATTTCGTCTGTCCGTGCAACAAGGTCGTATCTCCTAAAATGGTGTGTGACATCATGTACGTGAAATGCGAGTTTTCAATGTCAAAAGGTCCTATCTCGCTTAAAATAACCCGGATGTGCACACAAAGTCCATGGAAGTCCTGATACGCGAGATATGACTTTGTTGCAGATTCGGGTTACGACCTTGTTGCACTGACGCAGCGATTTTCATACCCAGAACAAAGGTTGTGAGATGTGTGCAAATGATGTATAAACAAGATCCAACACTGATTTACCACTATGTGGTAATGTGCTGAGAAAAGCACCAAGGAACCTCTGATGCACATTGATATCTCACATGATTCGCTTGTCAATTAAACCACAAAATCTGCCCTAAGCTAAAAATTGTGTTGTAAACTAACTTTACCTTGGATCAGCTCTCCGGCCTAGCCCAACAGCATGCAATGATTGCCAGAGCAAGAATCCTGCCAAATGTAACAAAATTCCAAAAGGTTGACCACCACGACCACAGTTTGAACAGAAAACAAGGATGTGATGTTTAAACACTTAAACAAAAAAAAACAAATTCCACATCCGTTTAGACATTTTCCAAAATGTTTAAACGAAATACAAATTTTAAAAAGGGACCTGCATTCACGCGATCTTCCTTTGAGTTTTTGATGTTTTCAAACCTATTTAATTTACAAAACTTAAGAAGCATCGCAGTACTTGATTACTAGGTGCACATAGTTAAGTTTTTACTTTTTCAATGACTGCCAGTTATTTATTATGTCAATCATTGTTGATTTATCGTGTCATTAATGCCCTTCTGCAGACATAATTGACAGGCGTCAGCCTTTTTGTGAAATGGCTAAACATTTAATTTTTATACAGTTCTTAAAACATTTGCTAATCATTTACAAAATTAAACGCTAAGTCACATCCTTAAAAGAAAATCCTCAGGTTTAAGTAGAACATGTCCCTGATGATGACGGCAATGATAAAGAGATATCCTGTATCCGTTCATTCTTTAACCGTCAATTGTCACTTTGGATTGCTAGAGCAGTATCGATACTTTCCTTGGTCTGCAGGTTGTATCCCAGTACTCAGGCATGCTGGCCCCCCTGGCAGTGGATGCTGTGCTGCGTATCGTTGACCCCAAGAAACCCGACAATGTAGACCTAAGGGACGTCAAAATCATCAAGAAACTGGGGTGAGTAGAAACAGGGGCCGATTCCCCTGAACGATGCAAATCAGTTGAAAGTACGCTTTACGCAGCGGAGTAATTGCAGAATACCCTGCCGTTCAGAAAAACGCCCCTAAAATCATCTAGCTGCACAGTTGAAATTGCTGGGAAAAAAATGCAAGTCAAAACTAAGTACCCTATTGCTTGCTACGCATGCGTATGGATACAGAGTGGAAGTCAGAACTGACTACCCTGTTGCAAACTACGCAGATACGGAGTGAGATTTCAGTGGAGCTTGACGCGTGTACATTCAGGTATTAACACTGAGAAGGTTTATTGAGGGCAGTCAACCGTGATTGTGTAGCCGGGTACTTGATGGATAGATTGGGTGGCAGGCTATTCTGCATTTATGCCTACAAGGCATGTGTGATATTTAAAGAGTACGTCCAAAAAACAATGTGAACTTCTTTTTTTTAGCTAGTAGCCCAAAAATCAGATCGTTGAGGTTATATGTCACAAGATTTAAAAGCAATTTGCCCATACCAAAAACACAAAATGAAAAATAACCAAGGTCTGTTTACATCATAGATTGTGGTCTATAAAAAGAATTGAGGGGAAAATGCTACATATACTTTGCATGGCTTTGCAGGTACAATAGTTCATTTCCTGTTACTTCCCCTGTGACTGGACTTGTGAATGGACTTATATTTTATTCTTGACTGGACTTCCGATGGACTTGATAACAACACCTGTTAGGGTTGTTGATTTCCTAATTGAAGTGGGTTTTTTTCTCCTCTCCCGTCAGTGGTACCATTGAGGATACCGAGCTGATTGACGGTTTAGTGTTCTCCCAGAGGACAGCCGGCAGCGGTGGCCCTACCAAGATGGAGAAGGCTCGGATTGGTCTCATCCAATTCTGCCTCTCACCACCAAAAACAGACGTAAGTCTTGGTTGTTTCTCTCGGCTTGTATCTCATTAGTCACTCGTAAGTTGTTGCACTCGCACCCATGACTATGCCATATTATTCTCTATCAGTCTCCTGACGATGACTAGAGCAGGCTAGTCAAAACGTTGAGACCAAAGACCAGTTCTTTTAGAACTTAAAGCAGGAACAAAAAACTACATTGCGAAAGTTGATAATAAGCTCTTTTCAGAACTAAATATCTTCTAAGCAGTAGTTATTACCACATGGTGTTACCGCAAACCGAAACGATACCGATACCCCACCATGCAAAGCCTCAAATCATATATCATAGTTGCATCATCAAGGCCTACTGAAGACATGGGTATGCATCTAGCAGTGGTTTATGCTATTTGCATAGATTGCTTTAATAGTTTCCTAGAGTACTCAAACGGTTGGTGATAAGATTAGATTACAGCACTGAAAAATGCAATGCGGTTTCAGCAAAAAGTCTGAAAAGGGGCAAATTGTGAGAGCATGGTTTGTACCAGGTGGCCTGCACACTTGCTGGAGTCATCGTTTTTCAGTTTTTCAAATTGGACATCTTTAATTTCTGTCAATATCGAAATGAGAACAATTGGTTATTGTACGAAAGAGAGGCATGAACTTGGGAAGCGGAAGCTTGTAGGAGCATGCCTTATTAAAAAAACAATACTGAAAACAATGCAAATTATTTGCTTTCCAAAGTCTGAACAGCAAGTAGTACTGTCCAAGAGCTTTAAAAAAAATTAACAAGCTTCCTGGAGTTAGACCTGAACCCAGGACCTTCTGCTTGCTAGTACAGCACACATTGTGTGCAATTTCTGTGTTTAGTCATTGAAGTTCGCTTGGTCTTTCTTCTCTGCCCTTAGATGGACAATCAAGTTGTGGTATCTGACTATGCCCAGATGGACCGTGTCCTACGAGAGGAGAGGGCCTACATCTTGAATCTTGTCAAACAGATCAAGAAGGCTGGTTGCAATGTGTTGCTCATTCAAAAGTCAATCCTGAGGTAGGAAAATCACTTCATTGTTACCACCACCACCACCCCCCCCCCCCCCAAAAGATACTAATTCCATGTTCAAATGAAAATTGCTGCCAGCTTTGGATTGATTGGAATTGCATTAAATTTCCAAGAAAATACAAGAAAGAAACATTTCAGCAGTTTTTATGTCAAAATTCACCATTTCTGTAATTTAATTGAGAGGAAATGTCCTAAACCCTTGCTCTCTGGATGTAACTTAGCACATGTCAGTTTGACATGCCAGTGCATTTAACCTGTGTATTGAAGGATGCGTTGACTCATCAGCCAAGTGAATTCTGGAGTGCATGACAGGGATTAACTGCTGGTCAACTATGGTTCTAATTGGGAGGGATTAGGACAGCCTTGGGAGCACAGACTTGTGTATTTTGTTTTTATTATTGCCAACGAGTCCTGAACATAAGACTAGTAAGGTACAGTTGGAGATATTGGAGGGTAGTGCAAAAAACAGAGAGAAGTGACTTTTGGCAAATATTGAAGTGATTTGTAAGGTGTGGTAGAGCAAGGTGTTAAACTTAAGTCTAACTGGTTTGTGTTGTAGGGATGCCTTGAATGACTTGGCTCTACATTTCCTGACTAAGATGAAGATCATGGTGGTCAAGGACATTGAGAGAAGCGATATAGAATTCATCTGCAAGGTAAGTGGCGTCTGTTATAATGCTGTGAGGCATTCAACTAATCTCAGGGATTACGATTACATTGCGAGACTGTCAATTTTAACAGTTTGGGCATTACTACCTCCATTTGGGTATTATGCTAAAAAAGGTCTCAATTGGTCTATCTCTGGAATTAACTAATTTAGCTCTAGCTCTGTTGGGGCATTTCTACCTCCAGTGGGGTGTTTTCCTAGATAAGTTGAAGTACTACCTCCTGAGGTCCTCAACAGTCTCTCGGTTGTTGATGCATTGCTACACTACCTCCATCGGAGTATTTTGTTAGAAGAGTCTCACTTGAATTTTTAAGAGTAACAACAACAGACAAGACAGTAGTAAAAATATTAGCATTCTAAGACTAATAAGGCCAAAAAAAATAGTTCTGCTTCCGATTACATGCCTTTCAAAAATAGGGTCGGTCGGTCGGAATTGTTTTTTTTTTTTTGGCCATTTTTTTTTATGCAGATTTAATGGGGTATTCAATTATATGCGAAGTTTTTAGCCTGAACTATTTCCATTGCACTACGAAAGCTATACACGAAATGGCAACAAAGAGAGAATAAAAACTACCTTTAATTATTGTAAATATATTTACGTTCGATAATTTCGGAAAATAATGGAAAATTCAGGTCGTTCGCACCATATGCACAACGCTAGTCAAGACGCGGGGAGCTGGCCAAAACTCCGAGGTGTGTGATGCGTGCGTGTGTGGCGAAAATGTTCTTTCTCCATCGGTGTTTTCTTGGCATTTTTACGATGTCGAATCCGACCAGTTGACAGTGGCCTGCACTGCTAGCGTGCTATCGGTCGCATAGCTATGGACTGATACCTCATTTTCATCATGTCTTCGAAATTGGCCCCTGCGCGGCGCGGCGGAACCAGTTGTCGCCACGTGATTATAGTCGCCGTGACATCGCATTGCGAAGTAGCTATATCGCGAAGCGAATTTGTAAAAATAACGGAGGTTTCTTTTGAAAAAAAGCGAATGTAAGTAAGAAAACAAATAAATACAAGCATTTTTTTATGCAAAAGGGTTGTTGAGAGGTATTTTGTGAAGACAGAAAAGCCAACAAAATTTTATTTTTATTTATTCAATCTTTTTTTTTTTTTTTTTTTTTAATTGCCGATAAATTTTTTAGGTTGCAGCCTAAAAATAGGGTCGGTCGGGTAACCGGAAGCAGAACTATTCTTTTTTTTGGCCTAACTAACCACTGCCATTTTCTGGTAGGCTTACATACAATTGTAGGCCTGGCATGAGAACCGGCCTATCTTTGTTCTCATTGTTACACTACAGGGTGCCTTCTTCAATTCATGTTCGGAACTGGTAGATTTGAAGCGATTATCTTTGTGCAAATGATGTATAAACAAGATCCAACACTTAACTGCCACTGTGTGGTAATGTGTGGAGAAAAGCACCAAGTAACCTCTGATGCACATTGATATCTCTCACAATGCTCAGTTGGGCTGAAAATATGCAGGGCTCAGTTAGAAGTTGGGTTTTTTTGAGCAAAATTTCCCAGAAGTATATATTATGTAAGTGAAGTTCTTGATTTTGTTCACCAAATGGTGGATCATCAAAGAAGATAATATCCAACTCACTAGGCATTTTTTGAGGGACATTCCGCAGTGCCCCCAAAATACAACACAGTGCAGCAACTCAAGTTTGTTGCACTTAATTTTCAAGGTACATCAAGTCCTTTGATGTATGCTGAAGGATCTGGGCTAGGCATTGACCTACAAAGCTAGAGCTATTTTGCATCATAATGAGTGTTTCTTTTTGACTTCCTAGACCATCAACTGCAAGCCCATTGCCAGTATAGACCACTTCCAACCAGAGATGCTGGCCAATGCTGAACTGGTCGAGGAGGTCACAACAGGAACCAGTAAAGTGGTTAAGGTAACGGGCTTAAATCTTGATATTTTGGTAACATTGACGATGCTTTGCAGTCCGTAACATATAAAAAAAAAAAACTCAGATCAGTGCATGTTGATCCACAGTTGCGTTGGTTGGCAAGATAGTATCTGCCTTATTAACCGAGTCTTAACAGTTTGCTTCCAGCTATGTTGAAAAGTGATGTGGGTCATTCTATAATTTTACGGTCCAAAGTGTGACATCTTTTCTGTCCCAGTCACCTCGTAAGTCTGTAATTTGCCATTCAAGTATCATTAAGAATGACTTCAAATAATGTTTTATTTGTTGGATAGACAGTTCGCTATTCGCAATCACTCTTGGAGGCAACTGAACGAAGGAGTGAATCCAGAATAATAAAATCTGGAATGTCAGATGTAACAGTGGCAGGAAAGAAAGAATGACACTCCTGCATTGCTCATTTTAACAGTCTAAAGTCAAGTGCAATATTTCTTGCAATTTCCAGATCAAATCCAATTTGTTTTAACAAAACGGCAAATGTCACAGTGAAACAAACATTGACATGCAGCAATAGTGTCATGTGCAGCAGGAACCAGGCTTGCGGTCTTGTTATTGTGGCTTTTGGCCCCTTTCATCTGTCATTCACTTGTTGACAACCAACCGCGTTTGTTAATTTTTCCCCCGCAGATCACAGGCATAGCCAACCCAGGCAGGACGGTCACTGTCCTGATCCGTGGCTCCAACAAACTAGTCCTTGAGGAAGCAGACCGCTCCATTCATGACGCTCTCTGCGTCATCCGCTGCCTGGTCAAAGAGAAGGCACTCATCGCCGGGGGTGGGGCTCCAGAGATCGAAGTCGGCCAACGCATGTCGGAGTACGCCCAGGGTCTGACGGGAATGGAAGGCTACTGCTTCAGCGCCTTCGCTGAGGCCCTAGAGGTTATACCCTCCACCCTGGCTGAGAACGCTGGTCTGAATCCTATCTCGGTGGTGACGGAGTTGAGAAACAGACACGCCCATGGGGAGAAAACAGCTGGGATTAACGTGCGCAAGGTATGCTATCAAGCATCTGGGCCTAATGTTATTACTTGGCAAACTGAGGAGTTAAGCAAAACCTGCCATGAACCATTCAAGGGCAGTGCACATGGCGTGTAACATTTTGGCCAGTAACCTGATTCTGCTAAGCAAATACTTCACTGCTCAGCAATGTTTTGTGCATTGCCCCCGCTATCTTATGACTGTAATATTTACTGTGAGAAGAGAGAACTACTTTGAGTTTTTTCTGCTGTAAAAATGAAGCCATTACACTTGCCATGTCTTGAGGGTATTCACCATTGTAATAGTTGTTTTTCAACTTTCTTAAACAGCTTTATTACTAATCTAATTTTTTAATGTTTAACTATTTTTTTGAAGCCACACAGTAGAATCTGAGAATGACAATTTTTTCCCCTTGCCTTTTGCCACATTATTTTTATTTTGAAGGGGGCAATCACGAACATCTTGGAGGAGAATGTAGTCCAACCGTTACTAGTATCAACCAGTGCTATCCGGCTAGCTGCGGAATGTGTCACAAGCATCATGAAAATAGACGACATCGTAAGTAGTTATTTGATTCATTGTGTGAACGTCCTATCAACATTTCTTAAAATCGACATTTATACAATATTTTGAAAATCAGTTTGAAATTCTGTTTAGTTATTTTTGCCAAGTTTACTTAAATTTTGTGATTCTTGGGTGCGTGTGCTTTTGACTGATTTCATAAATTTTGTTCTTTGTGTAAAATGACGATAAAAAAAAAAATTAGTAAATAAACACTGAACAAAATTCAATCTATTTTTCGTAATCAACCACAAAGGGAAACTGACAAGGAGCATTATAATAACTTTCAACCGAGGTTTTAAGCATTGCTAATGTTGCTAGCATCGTGACTTTGGGTTTTATCACTGGCTACATGGCATATATAGGTTTATGGCTTCTGACTAGCGCCCCTTGAACAAAGACATTGACGAATTGGGGAACCGCCAACATGGGGCTGCATAGTTCAGTTGGTAGAGCTCTGGAACGGCAATCCGGAGGTCGCAGGTTCATACCCTGCTCCCGTCAATTTCTTTGTTCAACTTTAAAGATCAAGCAAACCTAACTTCCAAAAATGTTTTATGTGTTACCAAAATTCACTTCAATTAATATAAATGGCTTTTCTTTTCATAGAAATCATTATCAGAGTAATTCTAAACTATACTTTTTATTTGGGTCTTGTGATATTTCCAGGTCATGACGATGTAGAGTGGTGTATCCTATGGAGTGCTTCAGTCCTGTATTTAAATGTTTGGTAGCTGTATGGTCCATGTGTGCTCGCCATCAAGACAAACAGTTTCTTTGCTGGCAGTGTTCTCATGCGTGCTAAATGTCCTCGTGCACCAATTTATTGCTGACAGTATTATCAACCGGAGGTTTCATTCGGTGTGAATATTACACAGTGGTGAGATTGGGGGGAAATAATCGGCTGAGGGTCGCCAAAAATTCCAGAGCAATTTTGGGTAATTGGATATGTTTGTATTTGTGTAAAGGCACCCCTTATAATACCCTTTTCGTTTTGTTTTATACAAACTTTCAAAGGTAAAAAGACCTTTAGGGTAAAACCTTGGGGATGTCGAAAGGGATTTTATAAAAATCCTGACATCAGGAAAAAATCCTGACAAATTTACAAGGGTTTTAAAGTGCTGATTCTACAGAACCTTTAGCCGCTGTATCGTTCAACAAGCATGAAGGTCTTTTGGAGTCGACAGAATTCTAATGTTGGTCTTGCTTCATCAAAATAAGGCTGCATCCGAATCAGCTGTCTTAGAGCTAGGTCTTGGTCTGCGTCCATTGAAAATACGCGGGGACACGCTGACAATAGACATAGCTGTAGCTCTGGAAGCCCGTTTCGGACACGGCCTAAGCTCGTTCTGAGCCTAGAATTGCCTTGAATCCTTAGACAATAATTTTGTGGTTTCAACATTTGTATAGAAGTTCTCTATGTTTTTTTGGTTTTTTGCCTTTTAATTTTATTTAGGCCTTAAGGCCTATTTGTTTACTTTTGTACAAACTTCATTTCATATACTATGTCACATTACCTAAAGTCTGCTTGCTTGTGTAACTGTCCCATGTTACTGCACACCAAAACAACGAAATTGAGCTTTAAAAAAAGAATTTCAATATGTTTTTGCAGGACAATTCAAGGCATTTTTATGAAATGATACAGAACTTGGGATGTCAAGGCTTGTGCATAGTCATAATATTGCAAATCTTGGTCTGCGATTTTGACTGATTTATAGTTTTTGCACAGGTGCTTTAGAAACCGACGTTATATAATTCATAAAAACCGAGACAGTTTGTGGTCGGTAATATAGTTGTGGTCAGTAATGTTCAAAACCAGTTGCCAGACGCCATAGTTTGACACCTATACTTTTTGTGTGCAATGTCTGGGCAGTTATTAATCCATTAGCACCTTTACTACTACATTGTATTACATTGCATTTACATTGTATCACATTGTATCACATTGTAGTTACATTGTATTACATTGTATTTATACAACCATAGTGTGCTGGGGTGGTTTAGGGTGGCACAGGGACTGATGGGTTAAGAAGCTTTCACTCCATTGACGAAATGGACTTTAAAAAATATTAGCTGTCTTTTTGTGTGTGTGTGTGTAACACGTTTGATACCTTTTTTGGTGTTCATAATTGAGTGAATCTGTGAACAAGTGAAAAATTAAAAGTGGAAACAAATAAAATCAGTTTCTTGTGTGCTAACTTGCCTAACTCCTGAGCAAATGTGCGAGAATTTGTGATCCGTTCATCAATAGGAAAATGTGATTGTGGAAGGACACACAAAAAAGAAATCGTTCTGATTCCATGTGTTAGCTAACAATTCAGTGTTTTATTACAATATGCGTTGTCTAAACATTTCAAAATACCTGAAGTTGGCGCTACAGTTCATTCACAAAACACTTAAAATTGCACAAAAATGATAAACTACGGTAACAATCTGTATTTCATTCGTTGATTCTATTTCATTCACGAAAGAAAAAAAATATCAAGCTCAGTAGATATCTAGCCAAACCAAAGGTTTCCCAAGCTTATTATGTATGAACAATAAAATCTCTATTTGGTAACACAAGTTGTACAACTATTTTCAACAAAACAAAATAATCAATCGTCAAAACTATTACACTTACAAGACACTAATTTGTAAAGATTTTTTTTTATATGAATACAAAACAATTTTTTTTTGCAATGTGTATAAATTATATATATAAATATATTTATAAACAACTTTTGCCGAGAAGAAAATGTGATTGCCTCATTAATACAACTGAGTTAATAACAATATACCAAAGTAAACCATTTTTTTACGAAATATGTTCCACGAACATACTTTCATCGTCTTTTTCCAAAGACCAGTCTTTGTCAGAAGTAACAGACCATTTTGTTCCTTATGCAAGTTCTAAAAACCCTAAATACACAACCTTACATGTCTTGCGGCAGCCATCTTGGTATAGTACCCATATTCATGTTCAATGTGAAGCACAACATAACACAAAGGAACCAGTCTTTTCAGCACAAGCCTCATAAAGAGTCAAAAATAATGTGGTTAAAGAACATGACATTAGACAAGTAAACAACTCCTCAACAAACAAAAATGAATTAATCTAGAGGTAATTTAGTCTACAGAAGTGCACAGAGGCTCAAAACCATCCATGTGTCCTCTCCTTTTAAAAGCAACTGATCACACACCGACAAAATCTTGTAACCAACCAATCAGCACTGATACACTACCCCTGTACTTGTATGTCAGCATGCAGCTTGACAAACAGAAATGACTGCTTTTGTCGCCAAATTAACATCATGACCCTCTATCTGCGGTCTGCAGGTACATGAACTATCCCAATACTTGGGGTCCAAGTTAAGAAGTATGCAAGTAAAAATACTGATGAAGAAAAGTGTCCAAACCAATACATTTCACTTCCTTGCTTTTATGAGTTGTTACAACTTTTATGAATAACACAGACGCCTGTTCTGTTTAGATAACGTCACATCAAGCTCTTTAGAAACTTCCAACAAGTACAAAAACGTGTTGGTTACAAAAATTAAATTCTGTGCAAAGAAAAAATTAAAAACAGACGAGTTGTTGCTTTTGTGTGACACCATTTCTCTGTTTGTTGGCTGTATTCAACAAATCAACAAAACATACTGCTTTTTTATCTTGACTAACTGTAAGCTTTCAACTTTCCTGAAAAATCTACTATGCCCAAGCATTTAAATCACATCTACTATTCAAGAATTATTACAAATGTTAATTTAACTTCAAAAATCCTTTGGTTAATTCAAACAGTCTGGTGTCTGTTTTGAAGATATTAGTTTTAACAAAAATCATAGTTCTACAAAAGTTGTTCTGGTGTAAATTCCAAGGCACATGATTGATTACAAGTGATATTATGTCTAGTATGTTAGACATGCAACAACAATGGGCATATTTTTTTTCAAAACTGGCAGGGCTGTCTTCTCCAACGTTGCCCAACAATTCCTATCATTACAGAGTTTCGCATTTACATTCAACTGTTGTCCTTCAAATCCAAAGAGAAAATAAGAATACTTTTTGATAATCCACACTCATCCATTAAAAATCACAATAATATACAAAGTGTATTCACTCTCTCGGACCGAATTGGAGGGAAATTTATTACACCCCCAAACAAAAAAAATCTGAATAATTTCATAAAGCCACTAAATAAGCACAGAACTATTTATGCGGTGTATAGGAGATAATTTGTATGCAACGTTGTGTATATGAGGTAATGTATTTGCAACACAGTGCATATAGGGTAATTTATATGCAAGGCAGTGTATTTGAAGTGAGCAGTCATTTTTATGGAGTGGCCGCGTGGCCGTTCTAGACCAATGAAATAAAAGTATCCAAACATGATATAAAAATTAATGCTGCATGTTACTGATTCATAGTTGAGCGTTTACCGAGTACATAAATTGGCTTAGCAACATTTTCTGCCAAAAATCTCAATGAAATTGTGTTCTGATTATGATGTGAGAATTGCAGATCTACTGATCACTCTGTAATTCAAGTTCAACATTCATTTTGTGTCACTAAGTGTTTTCCGTGACCCAGGACCATTTTTTGTTCATATTATTAGTGACAATTATGCAATTTCCATTTTCAGTTCCAAAAACAGGATAAAAATCCAAAAATCACATTCTGCTCAACAAATTATTAAATTCAGCATCAAATCTTGAATTTTCAATCTCCCTTTTTTAACGGTTTAATAGAAACATCAACAAAATATGGGCAGTTATCAGAACATAAAACCAAAACAAACACAAAAATAAATTCAGAACTAAATGTTTGAATATATTGCAAAAAATTGTACTGTCAATCAATCCTAGCGATATAATGTTATTTAATTGGTGTTAATTTCTTCATATAACATTTGGTTTATTTGCACTCAAAACCATACTGCTAATCTCAACAATTTATAACCATTCAAATGTTCGAAAAAGTACTTGAGATATGTCACTTATAAAGATATTCCTTCGAAACTCTTTTCATAAAAAGTCAACATTACTACTTCCGTTTGATTGCTTTCCACGCTGGAGTCTGCAATAATTTCAAGTTTTAGCAAAATGGTTGCGAAAACTCACAATTTTCATATTTTTTAATAAAAAAAACCCAAGGTATCAATCAATAAACTCTCCGTAAATATATATATCTTGATAAATTATCAAGAAAAACTTTGGCTTCTGGAATCAATTTTCGCAGCAAAAGGATGCAATAAAATTTTCCATTGCAAGATTTCAACAATTGCATAAAAAAAAATGTATTGGAGTGAATACATGTGCACGGATTCCTAACTTGACAATTAAATTGTATTCAAAACTTAACTTGAGGGGTCAAAGGTCACAATTCTGATAATTCAAAGGTCACCAAGGGTTAATGCATAAAGTTCACTGCAGCACTATTTAACCTTGATTCCATGATCCTGTCCAATTTGATAAGTAAACAACGGCTGAAAGCAACCTCCCACAAAACCCTATTGCACCAAACCCATGTCAAAGAACTGCAAATTGTGACCTTTGTGGAGTTCTTCACGTTGAGGTCAGAGGTCACTTGATTTGACCTTGACCTTTTTTCTGCCCTTGACTGCTGTCTCAACAAATGCGCTAAATACAGTCACAAGAATGCTGATGTAGAAAACGGGAATTTTTTATTTGGGGAGGGGGGGGGGGGGGGGGGAGGGGAGTATGTTGAGTAATAACAGTTCAATCCATTTGACAAAAGTTATACATTACTTGAAGAAATGCCACATTGTTTCCTGAATAGTATTGCAGATCTCACTTCATTGCTTCAGGTATTTATAGTTTCTGTATGTGAATTGACTTCAATGCCTCGGCCACACTCTGTAAAAACAAATCCTGGATCTTCCACTACAAAAGGATTCTGGGTGACCAGGACTTGTGACACTTTTTGTCGATAGCGTCGTCAATTCTTAGGTACCAGGCATGTCCGAAGACTCAGAACCTGTAACCCTAAGGATCCAGGGGCGTGCACAGTTGTCCAAGCTTTCTACTCCTCTTCATACTGTTTCCGGAAGCAGTCACCGACGGGGAAGAAGTCCCAACACCGTCGCTGGTAGAGCTGCCAGACGTACGACTCCTGGAAATGTTATCAATATTAACATTAAACATATGAAACAAAACATGGTACAGTGCTCCAATAAGCTACCGTCAAGATAGCAGTGTTTCCCTGATTGTTACAAATATTCATGTTACCTCTCCAGACCTGTTCTACTGAGTCAGCCTGCTGACGGTAACTCGAGTAAAACCTAAGATGGCTTCCTTTTTTGAATTCACATTTATTTCCACTTTCAGTCAAAAAAAGGACAATTTCTATTGCATCAAAGTAGTCACTGTTTTGCTATCAAACAGTTAACCCTAACTCCCAAAACATTTCGCCCAAAAACCTTGAATCCTCAGAAATCCAACCGTTGGTACATTCTCTGTACAAGGGTCATCATACAATTCCCCTGTAAAGTAAAAGTGAATGGGTTTTAAATTTCCCTAATCATGCCCAAACCTTTCCAAACTCCTTTGTGGATTCTGAAGGATTCGGGAGGGGTAAGATTGAGACATTACCTTTTTTATAACCAGACATGATATTTGACCAGCAGAAAAAAATAGGAAAATGTGTCCTGCAGACCCCAAAAAGTGTAATGTCTACAGTACAGAATGCTGAAAATGGAGCAAATAATGGGTATGAAAGGAGGGGGAAAAATGGAAATCCTATCAAAATATGAAACGTGTCATGATTGTATAACATAACTGACCTGTCCGGTGTGTTCTGTTTCTGGCTTATTGATGAGATACATCAGGAAGAACCTACGGAAAATACAGTCAAGATCAATCAACAGACAATTGGCGTGCTCCAAATTTGTTTTATTTGTTAGAAGCTTGTTTGGGAGTTTGTAAAATGTTTGCATTTCTTTGGAAAGAAATATTTGATGGATGAAGAGGATTGCAAATCACTGTTGAACTCAACTGCTCAATGGCCGGATAAGTAATTCCATTAAACTTTGGCTGAAATTTATTTTGTATCAAGCTAAAAATTAATGGACATTAAGCCAAAGTATTGAAGAAAAAACAACGAGCAAAAATACCACACTGACAAGTACATTTAAAAAAAATATGTTTTTTTGTTTTTTTTTGGGGGGGGGGGGGTTGGCAATGTAAATCATCAATACTCACATATAGTTGGAGAGGTCATGCTCTTTGGATGTGTGCAGCTCAAAGCCGTGGGGGGTCTTGTCAAAGTACTCACTGCCGATCCCACAGATGAAACACTTGGTCTGAAGAAAATCAAACAATATTCCCTGTTAAATTGTGAAAAGTCCTGGCCATCCCATGCAATTTTACGATCAGCCGTTAATTGTTTTGTCATGTCTGTGCACTCTTCTAGGAGGCGCCTATTATGACATAGTAGTGCTGCTCCAAGCTGAAAAAATCTCATTCTTCTAACATTTCTTAAAATTCAGGTCATAAATGTATGACAAATCTGAGTGCCGACATTCTGTATGTGAATTTCAGACACTTCATTGTTAAAAGCAAGGAGATTTCTGCTGGACTAATTACTTTGATGGTAACGTTCTTAAACAGAGATACGTTGCAACTCTATTTGTCACATAAATGCTCCTTATATGAACATCTCCAATTTATTTAGAACGCAGCATTATAATGTAGAATGCCATGGTACAGTGGTTACGGTGTTTGACTCAAGTACGGTGGTGTGTGGGTCCAAACCCTGCCAGGAACATAGTGTTTGTGCCCTTGGGCAAGACACTTCACTACAGTTGCCTCTCTCCACCCAGGAGTATAAATGGGTACCTGTTAGGGTAGAGACCGAATCTGCGCTGATATCGGCTGCCATGTGGTCTCGTGGCCTGATGAACGGGGTAATAATTGTCAAGTGTTTTGAGATTGTTGATACGATGGAAAGTGCTACATAAGCATTACAATTATTATGGATGACAGACTTCCACTCAACAAAGCATGTACTCTCTGTGTCTCTCCAACCTACCTCCATATCACTCTTGACTTGCTCCAGTTGATCTCTCAACTCCCCAAAGGCATCAATGATCAGACCTGCAAAGAAAGAGAAAGACAAAACATGAGGATCCCCTTACACGGGTTTATGCTGGTCCTCACAACTAGTGGCCTCCCTGTTAGTGTGAGTCAACACCAGTCTGTCACAAAGTCCACTCACAAGTAAATCACAAGTCATTTCAAAAGTCCAGTCACAAGTAAAATACAAATCAATTCAAAAGGCCGATCACAACTAACAGGAGATTAACAGTAACAAAGGAATACCTTTGTCAAAGTTTGTTTAACTAGCTTGTGATTTGATTTTACAATTGATGATTTGTGAGGGACTCGTGGTGGACTTATGGGGACTTGTGATGGACTGGACTACAACACTGGTACAATGTGACACACGTGTCTTGTGCATTTCGTTGAGCAATGTGCAAGTTGGCCATTGCATCTTACGGCAAACTTGTTACATCTCTTATTGGATAGATTTTGTTTAACATGTCATCCGTGGTCAACCATTCATTAAGCTCCCAATGCTTTCACACAGAAGGTACCTCAATCATGGTGAAAGGTACCTCCAATACTTTGCATTTCCTTCAAAATATTATTTGGGGTACTACCCTGTAATCCTGTAATCAGCACCCTTGGATAGGATAGGTGTCACACAAGACAACCTTCAGGCAACTTGTTTCACTTTCAGGCAATCTATCAACAAGGAAGTGCCAGACAAATTCTAACTCTGTGTTTAAATGTTTTAAGGAGTTATCCAACACTGTTTGGAAAAATAAGCTTCTTCGCAAGGGTTCCTTTAGTTTGCATGGAAGTTGGTTGCCTCTGAGTTGTCTGTAAAAATTGCCTTGTGTGACTTGATCTGTAAGTGGACAAAGTACCTTGGATGATAGCAAGCAAGATGATGATGACAAAGAAGAAGAAGGTGATGTCAAAGATGATGCGGTATAACTCATAGTCGTCGCCGTCTGGAGGCTCAATCTCATCAGCTGGAAGAAAAAAAGACGACATTAATATTTCAGTTAGAAATCACCTTCTGGAAATTCATATGGAATTGATTTACAAAAGAGGTGGATTAACCCAATAGGCCTCATTAATACATGCAAAAACAGGATGTTCTTTTCTTACTAATTTTATTTTATTTTTTTAAATTTTTTTTTTAATGATGATACATAAAACATGAATGCAGTACATGGAGTGCCATCAAAATGTTTTCCAGACCTTTATTGCCGATTTGTCACAAGCCTAAAATAAAACCACTAAACAATTAAATTTGTTAAATCCTAAACAAACATGCCAAGAAAACAAATATAATAGAATGAATGATAGGCTTTGAGTTATGACTCACCAATGCCACCTCCTGCACGGAGCCCAGAATGCAGATGGAAGATGAAACACTGAGGAACAAAATAAACAAGAATCTTGTTAATCAAGGAATTACTCTGCAGAATTGTTTACAGATTTTCAACAAAGCATCTCAAAATACAGTAGAATCCTACTGGTAATCAAAAGCCTTGCCAATATTTGAGTCCTATACTGACATTTCAGTAGACTTGTCAAAAGGATTAACCTGCAACAATATCAGAATCAGTCCAAAACCCTAACACAAAACAACCTCCGTCCTCCTTAAAAAGAGTCTAAAACCAGGAGCCACACAAAAAATGTACATAATGGTGTAACTAAACTTATATGCAAACATTAAATGTTGCAAAAACTTGCACAACATTTCAAATTGAACAATTCAGTTTTGACACATTCCAAGAAAGTGTTGGAGTGCGTAAAACCTTGATTGCCATAACAAATTATAGCATACTTTACAAAGTCATTTCAGTTTCCGACATATTGAAAATGAACAATTTTATTGATTAATTGTGGCCAGCCTTAAACCTGTCGTACCCAACTTATCATGCAGACAGGAGAAATGCCAAACTTTGTCTTTTGATGAAAGCCACATGCCATTTTGCCTGTGACAGAAGTATGCGAGAACGTTGTGCAGCTGACCCAAGTTTCATACAATATTAAATCAAATTTGACATAAATGGATTATAATTACACCACCGTGTTAATTTTTTTGGTGTCAAATTGGCCTCTCCCCTCTAAAGGGCTTGAAGACAAACTACTAACCGTCATCATGTTGTGACACTTGTACTCTAACTGTCCGTCTTCGTCTTTCATGTAGAACTTGCGGAAGAAGTTGAACGCCAGGACGGTGTACAGGTAGATGATGACACAGGTCATCAGAACAGTCAGCATCAGCTAACAAACAAGATAACAACAAGGTTTTCATTGGTATGGAACGGTGCTCAATAGAGCGATCCTTAAGCCCCGCCTCCAAGATGATCTGACCAATCACAGCAGTGATAAATATCCGACTAGTGCTGTGCATCAGAACCGGGTTCCTGGTTACCGGTTCGGGTACCCGTAAAAAACTTTGTAAATTACTCAGTAACTTCTCAGATAATGAAGAGGAAAGCTTTTGTACGCCATTTTTAGGGAATTTTCGAAATGACAACCAGGCTACATGGAAAATCAAACAGATTTCACGTTTATGTGCATTTTAAAGTTGCAAATCCTTTCACCCGCACTGTACACACTTGTACACACTATAATGAGGTAGTATTATCGTGTGGACCGTTATGATTAATCTGAACAGCAACTCCTGGGATTTGAATTTTGAGGTTTGCTTTCCATTAAGAGCAGAGTAGTGCAAAGCATTGTTCTTAGCGTTTTCCTGCACAGAACCAGTATGGGAGGAGTTATACAGTGTGTCTGAAATACAAATGTAGTAGTCAAACAACATTTTTTTTCTGAGGAAACTAAATTGTGTTTTTTGTTATAAACTTACCCTGAGATGATAGAGTGTTTCTTTACCCTTGACATGATATTTGTTCTGTGCGAGTTGGACCTTTCATTTTAAAGTTACGGCAAAGCTTGTGAAGGCTATCAAAAACTTTTCAGATTATCTTGTATCTAATGACAGGCATTCACACACCTTCTTGGTGTGTGATACATGGATGCCTTTCATTAGATACCAGATAATCTGAAAAGTGGCCCAACTTGGAATTCAAGTCCTTTCATTGAATGAGCTGTATCTCTGGACTGGGATGTCTAAATGAGATGGAATAAAGACCATTGTGTAGAGTATTTACTACACCTTCAGACTCTATAGGTAGGTTTTGCAAAAAGAGAGTGCTACTATTTTTAATATTTATGGATTGACTGCTACATTTTTATGGACACACGCTGTACGATTTCTTTCATGGAAACATAAGATTTAGCACTACCTATCTTACCTGTTTGCCGTTGTGTGTGACTGACTGTAGTACTGTGCGTAGTGTCTTGAATCCCATGGCCATGTCTAGCAGATGAGCCGCAAAGAAGAAAGGGTTGACATGACCCAGCAGTGAGAAGGTCAGGTACCAGGCTATGTACAGGAACGACTGCAAGAAAGAAAGGAACACGTACTTGATGCATTTTAGACTGAAAAAAAAGGTATATGACAGGCTTCAAAGCTTTAGCTGCTTTGCAATGGACTGTGACCATTTTACCTCACTGGAATGGCAGAGTTAAGTATACACACACGAGACACACAGAGCCCATCAGTGTTGGGGCAAATATTCAAATGAAGTCAACATGAATCAGAGGTCGTTATGACATGCTTGCCATGTTTGCATGTTCAACTTATGAGAAGAAAAAAATACAGAACAATTTTGGCTTATTTATCTAGCAGAGACAAACTAGATACAGTGAAACGTCGCTATACCGAACACCACTATACTGAACATTCGACTACACCGAACATCGTCCTTGGCTCCCAATTAATTGTTTTTGTACAAAACGTACCGAACACTGTTGTTGAAAAATGTCAACAGAAGAGCGACAAGTGACTATTATTTCTCCAAGGAATAGAAGGGGAAATACACCCGTTGCTGTAGGTATTAGTAAGCTCAAAAACTGTGTACATGTAATTACATAATTCAATAGTCGGCACATGTTTAAAGTCGTCTTTCAGTAACCAGGTAACTACCAGGGCGTGTTATTTATTTATTGAAAAGTGAGCACCAGCAGCTTAAAATCGCTATACCGAAGATCGCTATTACGAACGTTTTCAGTGGATCCTGTGATGTTCGTTATAGCGGCGTTCCACTGTATACGGACACATTTCTTGCAACACTCACCCTGTCCGTGCAGATGACACCACACTTCCAGAGCTGGTACTTCCAGTCAAGGGCATGTAACCTGGGAAAATGGAAAAAGACTACGTCAATGTCTTTTAAACACCATAGTATTCAGCAAATGAAGTAAAGTGAAGTAACAAATAAAGTCTGTCACAAGCTGTCTTTCATGACTTATTAGGCAAGCATTTATCTCCATGCACTTTCCACGGCATCCAAACAACTGATGGGAAGATTTCTTGTCACCCTGGCCTGGATCAGAAGCCTGCCAGTCCAACTACAAGTTAAAGATTCAAACCCCTGACCCTCTGATGATGGGTCACAAACCCTAACCACTAGGCCACACATTCCTAGCAACACTGCAATGTCACAACCAACGACTGTACTCACAGTGCACTTATTATCCCCTGCGGTGGCTTGCTAGATTCACCGTCCAATCCCAGGATTTCACTGAGCTTCTCTTCTCCAAGACTCTCCCCGTATTTCTCCATGACCTTGAAAGGAGCAGACAAAATGGCGTTTGAAACACTTTGCGTATACAATAAGGAGACCATGCAAGAAAACCTAATGGACGCTATGTGACCACTCACAGAAGCTTAGGTACATGTATGTTGGACAAACTGTTTGCACACAGTGGTTTGTGCATGTTTAAGTGCAAAGTATGCACCTGGAATGTACATGTACATGAACTGTAGTGTCTACATGGCACTGGTGCATCCATAATATGTGGGGATGTAGAGGAAATGTGACACATTTTTTTGCGAAGTTTTGAATTTTTTTGGGGTCAAGAATTTTGTTGTAAAAAAGAGGAGGTCTCACCTTTCTTTTGACAAACTTGTCCCAGTAGTTGACAGGAAATGATCTTGTGGGGCAAAAAAAAATCAGAAAGTATTGAAGCAGCAATAAAGTGGAGATTTAGGCACCAAATCACAACATTTATAAAGACTGCACCAAATCCAGATATACTGAAGTACATACCTGAACTAATCATATGGCCTGGTGGTTTTTTTTACATCACATGAAAGGATGAAGTTCAAAGAACACACTTTACACACAACACTTTTCATTTTAATCATTTCTTGATAGTGAAACCCTAGGTTCAAAAAAGTGAATTTTCAAATTGTGGTCCATTTAGTGATCTAGTGATTTCTACACAACCATGATGATTGAAAAAACATTGCGGTACTGGGGAGAGCCAAGTCAATTAACAATGCAATACTGATGATAGGGTTGCTTTGAGCTGAAGTTTGGATTGTAGTATATCATTATATACCTAGTGCTGATGGCTAGCGAGTCCCATTGTCCTTTAATGTCATCTCGTGTCGGCTGCTCCTCAATCCAGGCTCCTTCAAACTCCAGCTTACGAGCAATCTCCTTCTCCCTCTTGAAGATGGCAAGAGGAACCTGGATGAAATTGCATTTATTCCATGATGAATTTATAACACCATTGAGTGTTCAGAGGGTTTCTGGCATTACAGGGACTAATACTTTAATCAAATTTATAATTAGGTAAGCCTAATCCTGAAAAGTTAGCAAATTGTTGAATTGAAAATTTGTACATGTTACTTTCTTTCTAAAGAACTTTATTAAGAAAGCAGATGAAGGAAAAAAAAGAGGAAATGATAAATAAAACCTGCCTGGGCCCTGAGGATTACCCAAAAGAAACAATGTTTGTTCCTTTGAAGGAACCTCCATTAAACAAATGAAAAACAGGATTTGAAGGTTTGCGAATGGTGAAAAAAGCAATAAAATAAAAAAATTTGGTAGCACCATGAGAAAAACCTATTTTTCTGTGCGTCTGTGTTTCAGAACCTCACAAACTACACAAAAAAAAAAAAAAATTGTCACATGATGCTACCGTAAATCTTTATCTGATTAAAATAGCTCTTGGCCCAAATTTGTGGCTGTGCTTACCATTAGTGGGAAAAAAGAAATGCTTAGGCTGTAGGAGATAATTCTGTGCTTACGGTAGGCACATTTTGCAATTCGCACGGCCCAATTTCAAAGCGCTGCTTAACAGTCGACTTTGTGCTTACCAAGCCTCCATCTATTTCATAAGGACTGTTAAGCAGTAAGCACAGCAAAAGCATGCTTAACCCCAGAAGAAAAACTTGCTTAAATCAGTGACGTATTAACAATAGAATCTCCATGCATGCACAAGCATTAGCACATTCACGGCATGAAATAGTGCTTAAGCAGCAGCATGATTTTCTGCTTTAGTAAGCACAACTTTTCTGCTTACCATTAAGCAGTGCTATGAAATTGGGCCCTGGTCAGCGAGGGCTTTTGACTTTATGCGTACATCCCGTAACAATGCAAACTCTGCGCTCATAGGGTTAGCATGGAATTTTCTGCCAGCGCTGTTAGCACAGAATGGTGACCGTAAGCGCGGAATTGCTGTGGTTAGCAGAGCCATGACATTGGGCCCCAGACTCACCTTGAGAGCGCAGTAAGCAATCAGCATGGAGACGGAGACCAGAGTGTGAATGATGCACAGCAACTGTAGGAGGGGTTCAAGATGCATGACACCCTCTTGTAAGATGATAATCTCCTCTGCCTCGGATTCGGTTTCCTCGTCTGGGGTAGGGGGAGGAGTCTCCCCATTGCCGGTGATGGTGGAGTTGATCTCGTCGAAAGGGTTGGCCTCGGGAAGAGGAGAGGCGTCGGCCAGCAATACAGACACCTGAAAAAGCAAATGATATCCATATTGAAATGATTTTTTTGTTAAGGTGACAAAAAAATTAGGTAGCTACAATAATAATAATATGGGATTTATTTAGTGTATATATCCAACAGACAGATGCTCAGTACACAGTACATTATTATTATCATTATTATTATCCTTGCTCATTGAACCAATGAAAACATTCAAAAGACTATCTCAGCTCCCTTGGGAGTATAAAGCTCAATGCTGCCGGATACATGCAATTGACTAGAATCAAACACACAACCATCTCTGCCCTCAAAGTAACTCCTGGGTGAGTGAGTGAGTGCCTTGCCCAAGGACACACGCACCATAACCCCAGGCTGACTCACAATTTGCAGAATTACCCGCAAGATCTTGAGTTCAATGCACCGGACCATTAGGCCACAGCACTCCGTATCTCAGTCAGGAGCTCACAAGTCAATCACAAGTCATCACAAGTCATCACAAGTCAATCACAAGTCAATCACAAGTCAATCACAAGTCAATCACAAGTCATCCCAAGTCATTGCAAGTCAACACAAGCCATCACAAGTCATCATAAGCCATCACAAGTCAATCACAAGCCAACACAAGTCAATCACAAGTCAATCACAAGTCATCACAAGTCATCACAAGTCAATCACAAGTCAATCACAAGTCATCACAAGTCAATCAAAAGTCAATCACAAGTCCTCCATTCTCATGTCACATGACAAGCTATTCCAATAATATGTGAAAAGGGTTTTCCTTTGTCATTGTTCATCCCCTGTTGCAAGTGATCGGACTCCAGATGCAACTAGTGATTGACTCAACTTATACCTCGGTCTGAAGTCTATACTCCATATAAAATGCATAAACTATCAGTCCATACATAAATTCATCATAACAACAAAATGTTTTTCTTACCCGGAAGAACAGTAGACACAAATTGATGATGAAGGCCAAGATAAGAGCAAGGTACTTGATGTTGTAGAAATTTCGGGCAAAGAAACTCTGAAAAAAAATATATAAATTAAACAAAACCTTAGCATTTTGATAACAGGTTACCGTTGATAACTGCAAGTCATGGGCAAATCATGCAAATCCTCCAAAATCCCATTTTGTGTGTGTGTAGGAATTACCATGAACTCAATTATAGATTCTTTATACTTAAAACTATTGAGTAACAAAGGCTTGGTTATATCTCCCTCACTCCTGCACAATCTCCAAAAACCTCTCAGTGTGCTTTGAAGAATCGAAGAATTTGAGTTAATTTACAACATTAAGGTATGCAAGTTAAAGCAACATTGCAACATAATTCAGAGTTGACTGAAACAAATCAGAGATATGTGTACATTTAACATGTTTGACTTCTGCTCTGGTATTTTGGGGAACAAAATTGACTGAAGCAAGAATTGCAAAAGGTACAATCACTTCTGACAATGTCTTATTTTTTTGACCATGTTGATCACCGTTTTGAAGTTTCTGATATTCCATCTTTATTTAAACAACATAATGACAAAATTCATTTTTTTCAAAAATTAACTTTTTGACCTATGACCTGATTTGACCTTTGACCTACCAGGAAGGTCTGCTTGACCCTGTCCATGTTGGGCTCACAGAATTCCTCTTCTTCTTGCTCATCCTTGTTCTGCAGGCCAAGCTCCTGAGCCAAAAACAAACTGGAAAAGAAAAACACAGGAAAACCGTTTCAAGACTTAATCACATAAAACAACTTTGAAAAGCTAGAGAAATTGTCATAAATCGCCTCTTCGTGTAGATACTTGTTATAACTTGGGCAACTCCCCAGAATGATAAACCTCAATGCTAAAACTTAAAAAAATCCAAATGCTACCAATGAAACATGTATATCATTTTGAAGCTTATTATCTGTATTTTATTGTAAATGTAGTTTAAACAGTTCACCCATTACTTTTACTTGAAAAATTAATTAACTAGTACACACAAAATCAATTGAGTTTGTCCATGGTGTTTCGAGCTGTTTTCTAGTACAGCAAAAAAATTGGATGAATAATTTCTTTTTTAATTCACTGTAGTAACTAACTGATACGTTTCATCAGAATTAAAATCCACTTCATGATTATAACTTTTATTATGCACACTGTTGAACTGTCTACTGTGGAAATGCCCAGACTCATTAAATGAAAACATTTCGGATATGACAGATGGACTACCTCTTAACCATTCAGAGTTTTCGTATAACTCCATCTCATGAAATATCCGAAAGATCTTTTTGTTTTACCTTGGGAAGACAGTGCTTTCTCTTCTATCCATTATGTTACGGGGCTGGTTGGCCGAACCATTCTGAAAAATAAGAACAAAAACTTTTTCTTGAACAGTGTCTTGTTATGGACACGTTGCATAACAATGCCCTCAGGATAAAAAAAAATACCAAACATAACTGCGTTTGATGCCCCACTCCTAGGCGATTTGACCAAACACAGCTGTGATTAATGTTCTGAAAAAAAGTCTAACATGATCTGTGCCCTTGCATAAATGATGCTTGTGGCTGCATTGGAGAGGCAGGCATGTTGTCTATCGTTGAAGCAACATAGGGCATATTTCAATACAGATTTGAATGCGGAAAGCACAGCAACAGGAACGTCAATCTTACGATCATGGCCGCGATTGTAGCCTCAGGTGTGTCAGCCCCTGGAGTAGAGGGCGGTACCAGCGGGCCCTCCTTCCCATCGCGGTCGAAGTCAAAGCTTGGAGACGGAGTCAGCTGCCGGCGTTTGCGCCTCATTCTCATCTGTCCAGCACTCTCGCTCTGATCGCTGGCGTCTGATGACTTGCGATCCTTGAAGAAGTCAATGCCGAACGCTGAGACTGTGGGCCCGCTACTGATTACGATTGACAAGGGAAAGCAATCTTTAATCCTCCTATGCAAACATACATTTTGTGCAAAGTTATCCTTTCAGTCAACTCAGTCAAGTGACTGTTTTTAACAGTTAAGAGCTCCCAGCCTACATGTACATAAAGCAGGATCGACCTGCTGTGACTGTTTATGTAACTTGATACAGCTATGCTTTGACAATGGTAATTGATAAGCCAGCTGTGCCTACCACTTGTCTGTTTTTGTCTGTTGACTGAGTTTGACTAGTCACAGTGCTTGCTTGAAATATGATCTGACTGTTGGTGACTAGCCAGTGTTAAAGGCATAGCAGGGGAAGAGGATTGATTTGTTTACGGTCTGTGACTGTTCAGACAGCGGGACGGGTAACAACTAAAATGACTACTAACTCTTTCAATATGGCTAGTCAATTGTTCAGCTCAAAACAGTGTCTACTTGAGAGGACAAGCTAATATATCATGAAATAGGAAAACGGATTCTGTAGTCAAAGAAATCCTAATCCCTGTCAGCCTTAGGTTTTCTTTTGGGTACCCTGCTAAAAGCAACAAAGTCAAACACAGCTGAAATGACTCAAATGAGCACCCTGCTGAATGAAACAAAAATGCAACACTGGATTCTACTTTATTGTGCAGTGGACTATACACCTTTGTCACTATGCAGTTACCCTGCTAAATGGACCAAATGCAACAGTTGATTCTGTTCTATCACCTTTGAACTACACATATGAGTATACCCTGCTAAATGCAACAAGATGCAACTGCAGCATGGGACTTGAGTTGCATGCTAAATGCAACAGTATGCAACCAACTTTTATACCACTGTTGCTTTCTGTTGCATTTAGCAGGGTAATGGTAATAACGTATCCTTTTTTTCCCTCCAGTTTCTTCAATGTTCTCAAACAGTGCGTTTTTGGAGGCACATTCAAATTATTGAAACTGTAATTAATTTCAGCGCCAACTGGTACTATGCTTGATGATAAAGGAATTTATATCTCAGGAATTAACAATAAATTCCAGGTAAGATATGTTCCATAAACTGAACAGTTCCTTTGCTGAAAAAAAACCCACGTGGTTGGGATGGATCAAAACATGTAGAATGTGTATACAAGTAACTGGACCAACACGATTATTGCTAAAATGAATTTTGGATATGTGGAGAATGATGACTAGGCAAATATTTCAAATGACGTGACTTAGTATTTATGAATACTTTGAAATGGTTTACTTGGTTGACAAAGGTGTCTTTGGTTATATTAATGACAGCATGAATATATCATGATTTTTGTGGATTGTTTAGAAAAGCTGCTTCATGAATAAAATGTATGAATTGTATAAATTGTATCAAGACCTCTGAATGCCTGAAAAATAATATTAACAACTCATAATTGATGATTAAAACCAGTTTTAAATAAAATGCAAATTGACCAGGGCAACAGTGATTTTGAGGTTTCTATATTCATGAACAAATACAACAGAAACTTTAAGGAAAAATCAAGTTTTGGTCTCTGTAATGAAGAGTGTATGTATTTCGTTTCTAACTTGTTATACACTTTTCTCGTAGACTAACTAATGGCGAAGTATCCAATTAATAATACCCAGCATGCTTTGGGTTGTATGCTAGCAACCAAAGAGTGACACGACATAAATCACCTCTTGGCAGTCGGTAACCCGTAGTTCTGCATGGTATGCAATCCTGAGGCCTGCTGCCGGGCTATGTTGGGTACCTTGAGCGTTTCCTTGAGGGTACCGGTGATCTCGCGTGCATCCTCCAGTATGCGGTTACCGAGCAGGATACCAATGAGTTTGCTGTGGGGTGGGATATGATGAAATGAAGGACAGACATTGGATGACTCAACAAAAACCAAATTTGTGATCCGAACTTTAAGAAACGAGACCGTAGTTCCTCACCCATCAGCTCCTGTACTACATTGTATTACATTGTGTTTATTCACTGAAGTATCTATGAGACCATAGAGCGCAGTTTTGGGCACTACAGGGAGAAGCAGGGAGGGCAGTTTGGGGCAGTACACGGACTAGTGAGTCAAACAAATCTTGCACACTGGAAATCAATCGGAATAAGCCATTTCGATATCTCGATGAAGTAGTCAAGGTCAAAGGTCATTCGGGATAAAATCGCTGACGCGATGTTACGCGAACGCCCATTCTGCTTGCAAGTAACACATGAACGTTGTGCACCCGTCTCCCCGTGCGTTCAGGTGCCTTTGATTATCCCGAATGACCCTTGATCCATATCACTGTGCGCATGCGCAGTTGAAATACCGAACTGGCTTATTGTCAACTGTTTGACCAACATACCATCTATAGTCATCAGAATGCCAGATTGCATGATATTTTAAAATGAAGAGCAGAGTATTGTGTTTCTAATGCATATGGAAAATGAAGCAGTGAAAAATGTCCTTATAAGACTCATTTCATGGGATCTTGACAGCTTTGCAAAATGCTCGAAGATTTTTTCTTTAAGCACCTGCTGAAGCCCGGTTCATACTTCACGCAAAAGCATGTGCGAAGCGAAATTCATGTCCTCAACAATGGTGGACGCACTTCGAATGTATTGTTGACGTCACGAATTTCGCTTCGCTTTCGCTTTTGCGTGAAGTATGAACCGGGCTTGATTCTGCAAAAATGATGTTTGAGATTAGTAATGTTATGGCTGAAATGAACAAGGTCGATTAATGCAAATGTATTCATTAAGTAAACGAACATGGTATGAATGAACCATATGAAAACTTCAACACAAAAACAAACAAACACACAAACACATGCAGTGATGTGTTGTACAGTTGGTATTGCTTGGAAAATTCTCTCATCTATCTCTAATTACTTACTAATCTCTAATTTTCTTCTAAGTTTTCTTTATTTTGCAGCCAAAAAATGTACCAATTCCAAAGGGAGTACCCACACTATCTAATGAACACCCCTGTACTGTATATTGCATGAACATGAATCTACCTATATCAAGCATCACCACTATAGCTAGTCAGCATGATGAATTTGGGATTAGCTCTACAGCATTGATCCTGTTGCAGGGAATTATGGATGGTCCTCCAGGCACAGTTAGTGGTTCAAAAATAAGACTGAATCGTGTTATTGTCAGTTTGAAGAATAACAATTTCATAGCCTACATGCGTGCAAATTGCAAAATGCATGATGATTTTACTCAGGAACATACAGGCCATTCTTGGGACTACGTTATTGAAATGTTACTGCGGTCGCGCGAACATTAATGTACACTTTCACTCAATTCTCCAACAACTAACAGAATTTGCAAAATGCCGGCCAACCGAAGCAGTCCAGATGTCATTTTTTTTATTCATTCATTTCTATTTTGCCAATAAAAACAATACAAAATATAAAACTACAGTAAAAATTACAGTACCAAAAAAAAAAAAAGATTGGAAGGACATATAATACGAGAAAGACAAAATAACAGGACAAATTAAACCTAGCCAGCCTAGTCTAGTTTACTCTGTGTTTTTTAATCTTCTTCTCATCTAAAAGAGCAAAATGAAAAGAACATCATTGTGGACCTACCTGATGAAGAAGAATACAAGAGCAAACGTCTTCTTGGATAAGAAGAAGAAAATCTTGAAGATTGCCCAGAAGATGGAGAAGATGGAGATGTTCCGCAGCTTCTTCAGGCTGTACTCCTCAAGGAAGTCACCCATCGACTTGCGGATGCTGGACGGACGTAGAGAACGGAAGAACCACATCAACCACGCCCTGGTGAGAAGATGACATGTTCAAAATTGAGGTGTTACAAGAGCAACTCTAACAATGATTGGAAAAAGAAGGGCGATCTCACAATTTTGTTGGCCTCCTTTTTAACATGGAAGGTAAAGAAATAAAGGCAAGGATATAGAGAGATTTTGGACAAAAATCGTTATGGCTGGTTCACTGGAAATCTACATGTACTTTGGTATGCGTCAGAGTGAAATGTGTAGTTAATCGTCAATTTTCAACCTAAACATTTTTTTCAATCAATTTGGTTTTGTCCATTTAATAAAAATATTATAGAAGTAAAGTACGTTATTGACTAGAAATTGTGAAAATTTCACATAATTTGCATATCCTATTCACAAGTTATTTCTATTTTAATAGAAATACCATAACATTTAGCTGTCCACCACTGATCAGTTACCGATACACACTGATGAACACCCTTTAAATACAATGAACGAAAAGTTGCAAAAGGAAAACAGACAAAAATCACCATTCTCATGTAGACAAACTCTTGCTTTATTCCTCATATACAAAACGCAAATTCTGACTGTAAAAATAATGTTTCAGTCTTGACTCTAATTAAATCTCATTTGAATTTGAATGCCTGTGTGTAATCTCTGGTTCCTACTCCGCTGATAGCTTCAAAGCATTTAGCATTCCACGGACAGCTTAAAAGTGGGTTCTTTTAGTAAAACATGCACAACTTTTAAAAGCAAGGATCAACCTCAATAATTCTTTATTTCAGATGATTGGAAGAATGTACGTTTACTGCGTCCTTATCATTGGTGTATCAAATTTAATTGCTTTTCAGGGAAAAAATTATAAATCCCGGTCACCCTCTTTTGGACTCACCCTGTATATGTATGATTTCAGTGAAAGAGACTGAATTGCTCGCCGTGTACATGTATGTGCCATTTATCTGCTTCAAAGCAATGTTAGTTTCACATATTAGACTTTCATGAGAGGCTGCCATTTTGGATGACTGCTGTTGGTAAAGACTCCAGACAAGCATACGTACAAGTATCTGCACGCAAAACCTCTCTAATGAACTGAATGTGGTAAAGCTTAAGATACAGACTTACATGTACAATAAAAATGCTTCTAGGAAATGGACAGACAGACAGACACACAGACATGGATTCAATGACAAAGAACACAAAATACGTACTGTGAGTCTCTTCCCCCGAAGGCAATGAGACTGACTATGCTCTCCAGCATGCCTTCTGTTGTGTCACTCATACTGGCTGCATGCTGCATCTAGTTAAGGAAAATAATAACCAAACAAGTGTCAGTTCATCAGACATAATTTGCTGCTGTGACTATATAATGACTTTCATATTACACTGTATTTATTCCCTGATGTCTCCATAAGACCACAAAGTGCTCAGCCGGTCTGGGGTGATATAAGGAGTGATAGCCAGGGCACTTTTGGGCGATACAAGGACTAATGGGTTAAAGATTAAATCCTCAAGCATTTTGCAAGGAATCTTCCAGTGGTCTCTAAATTTGACAATGTACTTATCCTTCATAATCCTTCATAAAGTAATAGCGTTTGGCTACACTTTACTGAAACAAATCCTGCAAAATCTTCCAAACCTCCCGGTGGATTTCAGAGTATCTCAATGAGCTAGGATTAAATAATTAAAAAGACCAGCCAAAAAGTAGTTTTGGAAAAAAAAAAAAAAATGCAAAAAAACCAAAAACACCAATTTTGAGCGGTACAAAAGCCCTGCATTAATTTTTGTTACTATCGTCTGGAGTGCCAAAGGTATCCATCGAATGTTAACTGTGACATGCCAAGACTTGTCTTTTAATTTACCCAGAAAAGAATCGACGAAACAATTTCTAAGGTCAAAGTTCAGCCCTCACCTCAAAGATGGTGTCTTCACAGAAGTTGACAAAGTCTTGCAGTTTCTCCTTCTCGCCTCCTTCGTTGACGAGTTCATGGAGGAAGGCGTGCTTGGATTCCTGAAATCAGATGATCATTCAATTTATATGAGGTTAAGCAAAGAAAGGTTGGCGCAGTGGTTACTGTCCTCGCCTTCCACCGCTGTGGCCCGGGTTCAATTCCTGCCCTGGTCCACATGTGGATTGGGTTTTCAGTCCCTACCTGATTCCATGGGTTTTCCTCAGAATATTCCTCTGGGCTTTTCCTCCCACATCTAAATCTGTAATTTCTTCTCATTGTCTACTCTCTACAGGTTTCTTCAGGCTTGCGAGCTACAGTGCCTAGGGTACTTTTGAGGAATGGTTCATTACAAAAAATAAACAAAGCCAATATATATTGAATGACACAAGAATTTAAACCTGCCACATCTAGAACACTGTCCCACTTGGCTCCCAGATTCTCCATTACATTGTATACTTTAAAAGGAGCAGTGGAAGCCGGTCTAAGAGTTAAAGCACCTCTCCTTGTGGTCCTATAGTCTGTTAGCATCCATTATCATTTTATGGAAAACACTTTCACTTTATACGGCAAGTTTTCAATGAGATGGTACTTGTCAATTGTTTCATCAATTAAGGTGTAATAAATAATTTAAAAATTACATCATAATAAATTTGTGGTATGTTGTCAAATCCAAAACCCTCAACATACATGTATAAGTGGAAGTCTCAGAAATTTGGAAATTCTACAAGGCATTGTTTAAGCCTTTCTTTCATCACGTAGTTCCCTCTGATTTTGTTTTTTACAAACTTCCTGCCATGACTACATACCTTGATCTGTGGTTTCTCCCATTGAGCCTTGTGGGTCTCCTTGATCTCAAAGTACACACGCTCTATGCGCTTGCTGCTGCCTGCAATGGCAAAAAGAATCTTTATTGAACAAAATTAAAAAAGTAAAATAGAACAGCTAATTTAAGATCTAGCAAGACAGACAGCCCGACCGAATGACGGACAAACAGCCGAAACAGTGTAATCCCAATAGACAGAACTATTCACCAATCCATCTTGATACCACGACAGACAGACAGACATACCAGCCAGCTGACAAAAACATATCTGAAACATCAGGACAACTTCAAATAGAACCAGTGTATGATACAGTTCTATCATGACAATCACACCCAGGGATAAAGTCAAGTCCATCACAAGTTCCTGCAAGTCCATCACAAGTCAGCCAGTCCCTATTCAACTCACAAGCTATTTATTCACATGAGCTTAAACAATGGCATTCCTTTGTTATTGTTCATCCACTGTTGCTTGTGACTTGAAATGTGACTGGACTTGTGATTTACTTGTGACTGGACTTGTGACGGACCTGACTACATCCCTGCCCAGACCACCAATTAACTCCAACTGACAGACAAGCAAGACAGCTTCAAGAGGAACCAAGAAATAATACGGATCCAACTAAACAAACAGATAACCAAAGCAATTGATGGACAGATACAGGTGTAAACTAGAGACAAGCTAAATATGGAAGCAATAAAGGGATATGTTCCATCAGGCACACATATGAGTGGCATGAATTTTGACAGATTTCCTTACCCATGATCTCAATCCTTCCTAGGTACGGTTCAAAGTTATTCAGTAAGCTCTCTGCAAGCTGCTTGAATCTTTCCAGCCTAAAGTTGTGGGGAAAAATTAACAAATGTTAATGATGGAAAACGGCACTCAAAGATGATACATCACATTTTTTGCACTGACAACCATAGGGTTATTTAGGCTCAAGGGTAGATTCAACGAGATATCGGGAAACATTGGAAATGCACGGCAAAAAACAAATGCAATCTCAACTATTTGATGGTTTTAATTACAAATGAAAAAGTCTGTCATGAGCCAATATGGCCCATCAGGCCGGCGTTTATCTCCAGTTTCAGTGCCATGAAATGACTGAGAATATTTCTATTTTCCCTGGATGGGATGCTTGTCCATCGCAGGTTACTCCCCAGCTAATGCCAGTACCCATTTACACTCCTGGGTAGAGAAAGGCAAGCGGGGGTGAAGTGGCTTGCCCAAAGACACGAACCCTTGACCCTCTGACCATGGATGAGTCACTTGCCCTAACCACTAGGCCACACTGCTCAATCACAAAGCATTACTCAAATAGGTAAACATTCTCTACTTGTTTGGAACGACATTAAGACTGTCGGTATATATCTTACCTGACATCATTTGGCATGTGGTCCGCCAGATTGGTCAACAGGACTGTCAAGTTGAAACCTGTAAACAGACAAAGTTATCTTTGAATGAAATCACAATTTCCAATGCAGAGTTGTTTTTTTTTTTGCTTAAAATATCAATTGGCAAACTGCCAAAGATTGGAGCAGTGTTACCTCGTCCTCCATCTGTGTGACCCAGGGTTTGGATCCTACTCTGACCTACCAAATTCCCAGTATCTTTCAGGGTTCCTACATCTCTAAGACAATACAATTCCATGACTTTTCCATGACCAAAATTAACGACCTAGTTCATCAAAATGCAGATCAAAACCGGGCAATCCGTAAAATCTAATTCTCTGCGTACATCCAACCACATGATGTACAAGGTCGTCCGTACCTTAGTTTGGTCTGTAATTGCTTTCTACTCACTTGATGTTACATTATTAGTGATGTACAACATTAACGTTTACAACAACAGCTCATTAAAGTGTGTGACATGTACGTCTGAATTTAAGGAAATGCCCACCAGTAAAACTTGTTCTGTGAAAAGTGCTGAACAGAAACAGAAAAACAACAAAACAAAGCAATAATGTCATTTGTAATCAAAATGCTTGTCTCAGCGAAATTTGTCAGGTTTAAAAATCAAAATTGCTGCTGCTAACTTATGAATAAACAAAGCTAATAATTTAAAATAAATTGGTCCTCACAAAATTCCAAGAATTTTGCATGACTTTTTTCATGGAATAGGGCTGTATTTTTCACCGACCATTATCATAAAGCAACTTCATAAATACAAGGGCAATTTACTATTGGTCAAGAGCCAATTATGTGTATGGTTTTAAAGCACATTCTAAATACCGCTGATAAGTGTTTAAAAAGCGGTGGCGAGACCCGCCTTTGGCTTGGGCCATTATCAGCGACCGGTTGTAAACCACACTAACCAAACCAACTGCTCAATCACACTTTTATCCCCTTATTAAATTTGGAGGATTATAAACATGTTTTGTGTTCATAGATGGAGGAGGTTTTTTTTTTTTTTTTTTTTTTAATTTATCTAAATCTGGATATTATTCTTGAGTATCATTCTTTATCAGCTTACCGATGTCCTGTGCTGGGCCATGGAAGCGGTCAGTGAACTCATTCAAGTCAATGCGGCCATCATTGTTCCTATCAGCACACTTGAGCAGATAGTCAATCTCCTCACTAAAAAGAGGCAAAATAAATCTGACTCAGCCCACTACATCAAGTAAGTAATACAGAATTTCAGCTACAAGTTCGCAGGAACGTGTATGCCTAATAAGATGGCTTAATTCCTACAGTGCCATCCTGTATATCAAGGTACTCATCACACTAAAAAATCCTTAGACATAGACAATGCAGCATGATCCATTTTGTCGGCCAATTCAACTTCCTCTCCAACCACACCCCCTTGAAAACAGGAAAAGATATCTACTTTCACTGTCTTAAATGAAGCAACTCACCTTGTGTATATCTTCTGTGCTTCCATGGCTACCCTGAACTCCTTATGCGAGATCCAACCATCGTTGTTGGTGTCATACTCCTGAAAGAAAAATGGATGCAAAATTCAACCCGGCACTCACTGGACTTCATGGCAATATTAAAGTCTGCAAAATATGACAAAAATGGACTCCGTGCAAAAGCAATAGATGGGTCTTCCACCGGGTTTACACTGGATCCGGCAAAGGGGGATCGCACACTGTGGTCGCAATAAAACCACAGGGAAGCTAACCGCAAGTAAACTGTGCCGTGTTTACACTCGATCCACCAATTGTGTTTACACTCAACAATTGGGGGATCGGATCCCGCAATTGCGAGGTTCAATCCTTCCCGAAAAGGGTATCGAGAAAGAGATATCTGATCTGGGTAAAGGCTCGATCCACCTCGCATTTACACTTGCGGTTAAGCAGACTTCGATCCTCCTTGCCGGATCGGATCCCCCTTCGATCCCCCTTGCGGGATCTAGTGTAAACGCGGTGTTTGCGACCACTTTCAAAAGTTAAGGTAGGAGGGAAACACTACGTGACCTTACAGGTTCGTACGCAGATGGCACAAAGTACGCACAACTAATCTTATTCTGAATGTGCACAACCCGGTAGCGTCTTCGCGTGAGCGTCAGGCATTGCCAGCAATGCGTTTGAATGTCCCTCCCAGTGGTCTCCCCAACTCAAGGGGGTGCTTGTGCAAAGAGTCTATAAGGACAGGCTAATCATACCCTGAAAGCCTCGCATGAGGCCATATCCTTCAGCTTCAGGAACATGTCAAAGAACTTCAGGATAATCTGAAACAAATGAACAATTAAAATACAATGTAAAATGGTGCAATTGAATTAAATGTAACCAAATGCATACATGTATTTTAATTTCTGAAACGGAATAGAAAGCAATATCTAAACTGCAAATCATCCATTTATAATGATACTAATAGGCCCCATAATAAAGTAAGTTTCTCTAAACATTTGACATCTTATAAATCTTAAGAAAAAAAACAAAACTCTTAATTTATTTTTAATTAAAAAAAAAAAATCTTGTTATTAGAGTGTTAGTCATTTCACTCTTTTATTTTTAGGCCTTGTGTTCTTAAAACTATGTTTATTTTATGAATTAGCTTGGGCTTAACTGTTAATTTTCTTAATTTCGTACTAGCCTCATAGTGTTATATGTTTTTGTAACAAGTTGTTTTAAGGTTTCAGGTTCAAATTTCTCATTATTTTTATTCACTGTAAAGTGCCTTGAGCATCTTTTTTGACAAAATGTAGCACTATATGAGTATTTTATCATTAGTAAAATAGGAGAGTTGGTCCTACCTCCATATTGAGCGATGACTCCACCAGTGTGTCCACCATCTGTTTGCCAATCGTCCCATGCATCACGTTACCTACAAGACACCAATAATTCCATACGTTATTTGTTATCCAACTAGATTAATTGAGGCACATTCCCCAAAATATTGTTTTAGTACTTGAAATGCATCCAAAGTGCATTTGAAACACAGTTAACTTTCTGCAATTGTTTTCCTGAAAAATCATTGTGCATTTGTTATGTTTCAAGCATTCAAAGGTCATCAAGCCTTTAATTATCAGTGGTGCCAGAAGATGTAAAAAACTCTTTTATTCCTCCTCGACTTTTCATCTGTGGCAGTCAAACATTCAAACAAAATTTTTTGGCTACGTAACTAATGACCCACTTTCTAAAATATTTTCCCTTTTGTGGCCACACATGCCACGTAAATTGGTCTGGCAATGAGGGGGGGGGGGGGGGAGGCGGGAGGGGGGGGGGGAGCAGGTGGGAGGGGGCAGTAGAGGTGTTCTAGTTGTATCTTACACCTACCTTCCAGCATGCTGAGTAGTAGCACCACCATCTCCTTCTGTAGGTTGAGTAGTTCTCGTAGCAGCTCTAGTTGGCCGGGATCCTGGGATAGCTTCTTCTGCAGGTTGGCAAAGACGTGTAAGAAACCGCCCACTGCGTCCCATAGCCTGCTGTGTGCCAGGGCTAACTGGTTCCCTGAACATGGACCCTAATGGTTGAAACAGATTCACATGGTAAGTCTATTTTCTTAAATTCGGGTGAATTTTGGCGTAAGGAAACTCAAGTCTTAGGTCAAAAAGAGCTTCAACATACTGTATTTGGTTAAAATCTTTTCAACTTTAGTTAGCAGAATTTCAAACAGCATGTTTCACTCTTCAGCAAAGAATTTTGATTTGTGTGGATATGTTCTTCCTGTTACTAGGGACTACATGGTTACAGGGTTAACACAAAATGTCTCTGCATTAGCACTGTATGCACAGAATCATGATCATAAATGCAGAACTTCTCTGCCGTTTCCTAGGTTTGTAACACCTTGTTAATTTGACCGGAATCGAGACTTTTAAATATAATAAATGGCAACGTGGCATGTGTGGATTTCAAGCTTTTGGACTTGTGCTTTCTGACTACAGAAACTGATGAACGGGAAGATTGCCAACAAAAGCTACGGTAATTCAGTCAGTCGGTTTAGTCAGTCGGATTCTCTTTGCGTCACCACAGTGACTGAATTTATTACTTTGTAAATATTCCTTTGAAAAATAGTCATTGAAACCTCAATAAAACTGCATTGAATTTAAAACAAAGATCAGTAAAACAATGTTACTTGACTCTACCTGTATATATTCCGTCAGAGTTCGGAATATCTGCTTGGCTACCTTGAAGGCACGGGAGAAGTTCTCACGACCCTGAAACAAAAAGCAAAAGAATAAATAACTCCTTGTTTCAATTTTCAATGAAAGTATGTTTCTTGATCCATGACAGTCAAATACTGTACATACAGAGTGAGTCATGTTAAGGCTTGAAGCATCTTCAATGACCCATGATTGTGCATTAGGTACACTCTGTACAATTGATTTGCTGGCCTTTGTTAAGGTGGTATGAAACACACATGCTCTTTTCGACTCCTTCTTACCCAGCAGAAAAAAAACCAAACATGCATTGCTAATCGTGAGCACAGTATGGAATGAATGCATGCCAGAGTGAAAGTGAGAGAGTGTTTCAATGATTGCAAGTTCACAGCAACACAGATTCTTTTAGCCCCCTGTTCAAAATGGAATCATAAGGCTATGCTTTTGAGAGAATGAGGGTGCTGTACTGACATTATTTTTTAGTACTGGTTATTGATGTAGGTTTGCATGTTGCTACGATAAAAAAAATACAATATTTCATTTTAGAGTTACTTTGCTAAATGGCTTCAAGAAACGTGAAATTTTCTTCTGTTTTGTACACAGAAAATTGCATCGTTACAGTCTCCGAAAAAAGACAGGCTTTTTGCAATAAGATGTTCATCACAGACAACAGATGTTGTAACGCTGCCTGGTGAGTTGCGTTGTGGTGCCGGTGTCATATGAAAATCGGACGCTGTTTCCCTTTTATTGGTTAAACCCTCTCACGTGACCGGTCCCTCTCCTAATTATCTATGCATGAACATGCGCAATACCACCAATGAGTCCGTATTTCTTAAAACCTAAATTCATGCTACACCGGTATATTACCTGTGAATCTACGACATCCTTGCCCGAGTAATGCCAGTAGAAGTCACTGATTGATTCCTGGGAAAAGAAAAGGCACAACATCTTTAAGTCAGCAAATCAGATGAGACACTAGTTCTGGGGGCTGGCCACAAATATTTTTATGAAACGGTTCCAACTTTTAAGCACCCATGTTAAACATTTCAGGGGTAAAACCATGATTTTTAGAGGATTTGAGTAATTTTGACAGGAAGTCCTGATTCCAACTACCAAGGAAACGCAAACAAGGAGAATTTGTTGTCTACTGGTTCAGTTTTGCTGAGCAAATACAGAAAAGCTGAAAAAAAGTTAAGTCTATTTTGTGTCACTTGTTGTCAACAGACACTTGCCATGCAAGAAAATTTGCCTAACAATATCTGCTGAGCCACTCAATTCTATCACGAAGGCCCCTTCAATGGCAAAAGCATTGTGCTAGCTAATGTTCAGATACTCCCGCATAGGGCAGTTGCTTTGTACAGTAGCATGCACAATGGTTTCTCCATTGAAGGGGGCCTTTTGGGTGTTCGGTGATCACATGCCTGGATTCATCTATAAGCGGCCCCATGTTGTTAAGCCAGTATATAAGCTTATAGTAAGTTCGGGCGAGGACCATTAGTCGATCAGTGGTTGATTTGTGACGTAACTTCCGCCTGCACACTACTAGAAACGTGCGAACGTCTCTAGTCAAACGCTGGTGAAAATGCCAACACAAAACAAGCAATGCAACCGCGACTAAAGTACAGTCCAACCATCCTGTGTTCCAGTGAAGTTAGTCATGCTAATAACCTTAGGCCTCACCGAAACTTGCTCTTACCAGCTTCCGGAAACTGGGGTTGATGGGTTTATAGTTTAGAGACATTCCAACTAACCTGCAGTCGAAGGAGGTAATCCACAGTGCAGATGATTATGTTCACGGTGGTATGGTTGCCAGTCTGTGTCCTCAGGTAATTCTGGAATTCTGTGGGCAAGTCGAATGATTAGAGATATTGTTATACCTGCAAGATTGGCAAACCGGTTTACTGGTTGAGACGTCCATTCTAACCCTGACTACTAGGGAGGAAATCAAGTTTAACATTTTCAGGTTCTTGTTACTCACCCAGATTGTGTCCCTCACAGAGCAACTGAAGGAACCGGAACAGAGCACATGTAAACGGAGCATCGTGGAGCGCCTTCTCGCCTGGTAGAAGCAATCACAAATGAAAACACAAACATGGTGACATACATTGTACTTGTTCAAAAATGCTTCAGCTAAAATGACAACACCAGTGCACTGTCAACAAAGCACAGACAGTTCTAAGCACTGTATGATCAGTGTTTTCTGAGGGCCTTTAAGAAAAATTGTTTCATTTTACAAAACAGAGAAAAGCGTTACTTTCATTAATCTGTTGTCCCGTGTCCAAGAAGCATTTTCTAAGGAGAGTATATATTTCGAGACAATTTGTTGGAGACAATTTTCACAATTTGGATAGAAATTTTGATAGCTTTATGTGTGTCAAAATATGTCCTCCAAAAATGGAGACTAGAATAGAAGGTTTGATTGAAATTTCGATAGCTTTATGTGTGTCAAAAATGTCCTCCAAAAATGGAAACTAGAATAGAAGGTTTGATCCCAAAATTGAGCATCAGGATGTCAAGACCACGATAACTTTCTTCTCATAATAACACAGCATGTTTATTTCAAATTTCTAAAGTATTGCAGATGACTACGGCAAAAAGGGTTTGGTGCTCAAAGCATTTTTAATTGTGCTTGGATTGTTAATGAAATCTGTTTGTAGTTGCAGAAGGTGATTTTGGCAGTTAATGAGTGACAACGACAAAAACAAATCACTGATTTGGCAATTAAACTAAGCTTTGCACTTTCCAGAGTATCCAGACAAGTGCCGGTTTGTAGTCCTTTTCGGAACTGCCAAGTAAATGAAATATGAGATGGCACGAGTCTAAGGGATGAAGTCTAAGCTCCAAGGTTACTTCTGAGTACTTCATATGAGTTCTGGGTGTTTTGCCAGACAGCTTTAGACATGTATGCAAGAATTGTCCAAGTATTTAAACGGAATGGCGTGAGTCAGAGTCTGAGTTTTTAGACATTTTCAGCATAACTTGTATAAAAATCCTGGTCAAAGACCATGAAAATTGGATTCGGATTTTATTCCCCATAAACAACCAGTCCCTGACAAGCTCAGTACTGCTGCAGTGGTAGAGGTCACTAAGAACAAAAGTTATTAAATCGAGTCCTTAGGAACTTTGGCAACACTAACCAGAAAATTCTGAGCATATCCCATGCATGTGCATTAAGCTTATTAAATACAGCACATGTGAGGTATGTGGGGGTTTTCTGGATAAGGCTGCCAGAGTTTCCAAGACCATGGTGCTACAAGCTCCATGCTAAGAGTAGATTTAATTCATTTGGTTGATAGCACTCTCAAGCTTGACCAGCTGTTTAGGGGGAATAAACAAATCAAAGTACATCACAGACCAAACTGCCTTGTTTCTTTAAGGTGTAATTCCTCAAGTACCAAATCATATTTCAGTTTATTTCTCAGGCTCAGAGAAGGGCCTTGACTGTGCACAACCTCTTAGAATACATTTGAAAGCTCTTATAGAAGAGCAACCTCTTAGAATACAGCCTGAAAGAATACATTTGTAGACATTTTATGCCAGTTTATGCACTGGAAATAATGCTGATGATCTATGTACATACAGATTGTTGGATGCCCAGACTAATGGTGATTCTAACCTACACGTATGTGGATGAGATCAACTACTACAGTGTCATGCTAAATTGCTATCCCGTTTGATTTTATGCAAACTACTTTTTACTTGCTCCAATGGTTTTTACTAGACTGCATGTTGCTCTGCCAATTGACCATGAAAGGAAACCTTCCTTTAGTTGGAACCATCAATGTCATTTATTAAACCAGGTTTTGTTCAAACCAAATTAATGAGGAGAACTGCCTTGAAGATGGATGATGACAAACAATGTAACTTTCGAGTCACAATTCTTGGATATACAGTCATACCTGGCATAAAGGCATGCACACACAACACTGCCAAATATTTTCAAACGTTCCACGATGCAATAAAAAAAACATAAACTTCTGTTTATAAATACTTCATGCAAACACTATGTGATAATTAACATTCCCTGATTGTGTTCTTATTTGACAAATTTTACAGAGAATTTGTTATCAATATCTTAACTTACCTCGATCAGTACATTTGCATTTTGCCATTTAAACAGAGGCAAAAAAGTGAGTGTCTGCTATTTCTTAGGTCCCAAAACTGAGTAGTGCTGTGCATTTTTGAATAATTTAGTATACGATTATTGAAACTTGGATTTGACCGCATAATTGAATTTTCAAACATTGACACTGAGGTAAAAATCTTTTTGGAATATCATGTATGTATCAGTATATTTATTTGGTGTAGCTGACATTTGACAGATTTTAAAGATGAAAAGTTTGTGTACTGAATGCATATTCCATCTTTACTGTGCGTCAAATTTGCTTGAACAAAATTTGTTATCGCGCTCGTGAAACACAGAAAATGTAGTGAGTCTGTGTCCCAATTTCATAGCACTGCTTAACAGTAAGCAGAAAAGTTGTGCTTACTATAGCAGAAAATCATGCTGTTGCTTAAGCACTATTTCATGGTAACGGTTGCGCGCGCATGGAGATTTCTATTGTTACGTCACTGATTTAAGCAAAGTTTTCTTCAGGGGTTAAGCATGCTTTTGCTGCGCTTACTGCTTAACGGTCCCTATGAAATACATGTAGATGGAGGCTCGGTAAGCACAAAGTCCGCTGTTAAGCAGCGCTATGAAATTGGGCCCTGATCAATTGTACAGTATGTGTTGACGTATCTCTATTGGCAGTGTTTACATAGAATCTTATCAAAATTTAAAAAATCAAAGCAGTGTGTATACAGGACCACACCAGACATGCTTTGTACATTCAACACCCATGGGGAATGTGCCCCATATAGTTAACTGTTGCTTGGCTCTACCTACCGTACCTCAATCCCACAAAATCCTTAAATACCCTACAAATCCTCCTGTGGGATGTTGAGGGATCTTAGAGCATTAGGGTCAATTTAAACTAATGCACATCTATCAACACAAAATGCACTACTGGCCTGCGCTACATGTGCAGTTAGTCTACTACTGGATTACTTAAACACAGACGTGCGTGCCGCAAATAAAGCAAAAAACGTATTGGGCACAACTTACTGAACTCGGTCAGGAAACAAACATCTGGGGATGAGAAGTGGGAAGGACATGCCATGCAAGACACCAAAAAAAAAGAAGAAAGAAATGTCATCCCAAAATCAAACAAAGAATGAAAACAAAAAAAGGAAACCATGTTATGAATGGATGAAATGAAAAAAAGGGTAAGTTAAGGGATGGTGTGGAATAGGGGAGGGGGTAAAGGGTCAAAGTTAAAATGGAATTTTGATGTTTTGGTGAGTCGAGAAAAATACTTATGAAAGCTCGTAACGACAAAAGAACAACGGCATCACTGGAGTCATGAGGAAAAAACCAATTTTTTATATAGAGTTAAAGAGACGTTTATTAGTGTGAACAGTCCACTAGCTTTGCCTGTAGAGTCTAATAACATGTAGATGAGGTATCTCTCCCATTTACTGAAGTACAGTTTTTCCCCCATAAATTCCATCAGTGTTTCACACAAAACAGCACGAAATTAACTTTAAAAATGAATTCTCACTCATTCTCATGAGATTGGAAATTTATTAATATTATAATTTTTTTTTTTTTTTTTTAATCTTCATCTTGGGAATTCCCTGTGAATGTAAATCTCATCATTCAGCAAATATAAATGGGAATGGACTTTCAATACAGATTTATGCAACTTCAACTCTGAATGTTAACATTTCCTTAAGCAAAACAGATATTTATTTTTTTATAAGATCCGAGGTTTTCTACAATGAATCAGGCTGGAGGAATTTCAGGAGCCAATAAAAGTGTTTAAGTATCAAAACCAAGATGCTGTGTTAGTTTCAGACACAGGCACGAGCACAATTAGTTATACTCACAGCAACTGTAAATTCAAAATGTGCTGATGGTTTATGTGAGTCTAATGGTGGAAAAAACATGTGATGTGACCAAAGAAAGAAAAGAGTTTGAGAACATGTTTGAACTTCTGAAACTAATACAAGTAGGCTACAAGGATATCTAATGAGTGTTCTCATGAATGACTTCGAGCAATGCTACCATGCTGGAATTGTGAAATGGTAAGAACTTCAGTTCCTGTTTTTTCTGAAAAGGTTCTAAGAATTTCAACCAGTGAGGTGATTCCCAAATCCACTGGCCTGTTTGAGGGGACGCTGCTGCCAAATTGAGAACTTTGGAGTTGCTTTTGGTAATCAATAAGTATATTTCTCAAACAACGTAAAGGATATGATGCTGTGCCACTGAAAAATTTTGTCAATGGTTCAAGTATTTGTACCATGTGTACATGTACAATCATTTGTGATCAGTCACCACAAAAATGAGCATGAAGCCAGACTTTTGAAGAAAATAGAGGTTTTTATTTCTTGATTCTGCAGAACAGGAGCTCTCTTATGGTACATAACATTGGATCATGAGTTCAATTTCGGAAATATAGACCGACAACTCAATTGAAATTGTAAAACATGTTTTTAAAAATGGCGTTTAAAAATCTTAAGCTGGTATTAAAGGGGAGTCGACTGTAATAAGTATGTTGTCTCTCTTCATTGCATCTGACTAAGTAGCTGTAGCTAAGAAAGCTTATGCCATAATTTTAAGTTAAGTCTTTAAAGTGCTATATTCTCTATATCACTGTATCGTAGCAGACTACCACAGCTGTATACATCTTTGTTCAATAAATGAACAGTGAACTAATTAAACAGGATGAAAGTAGGTTTTAAAGATGTTTGATAGAACCAAAATAAAAATGGAAAAGATAGAACAGGACTTACAAATTAAAATTCACCTTAAATCTCAAAATTGACCATCCTTTAAAATGTTTGGCTTTGCCCCACTGTACTGAAAATGACAATTTCGGACTTTATGCTCATTTCGTAGTGACAGCTCACATACATGCAACCGATTATTCAGGGAACCAGTATCTTCACTGGTAACAAGAAAAACCCTGTTTTTTTAATGGAAATGAACATCAGAGCACCAACAGATCAAAAGTCTGGTAGCATTTACACATAAGAATGAATACAATAGCATGGTAGCAAAGAGAGATGAAGTGAAGTTGGATGTTACTACGAAAGACTACATCAATTTAAACTATATAATGAGACTAAATTGGAAACGTCTGTCATGTGAGATATCATGATTTGTTTCATTTCATGCCGATAGTTAATAGTCAATCACTAATCATGCTAACTCTAGATAAACAGTTTCTATGGTAACAGATCAGAGGAGAGAAAAAAAGAGAGTAATTCTGAGGTTCCAGTGTGCAACATTATGTTATAATACTTTCAGCAGAAAATTAAACTGCAGTTGTTAAGTTATGCAGCGCTTTTATTTTGTTATGCCATAAAATGTCAGACACACGTTCTGTCAGAAGAATATTAGTGAAGAAAGCAGCCCCCTTTTTAATTTGTTTTTATTAGCTAGCAGCAAGAATAGAAAAAATGGATGATTTTTTTTGTGTTTGTGTCATTACCTGCAGCCGACTCACCAGTGACTGTACGGGAGGGGAGAAAAAGCAAACAAACAAACTTGACATGCAGTTGCTAAGCAACCAAAGTGCAGAGAAAACAATGGGATAAGAACGTGATGATGGTTATTTGGTAAAAAAAAAAAAACTCGGTAGGAATCTCATTCGACAGCCTTATCTTTTGATTTCAATTCACAAGGATCCCAATTTTTGGGAGTTTGAAGAAACCAGAACTGGATAGAAAGTGGATATCTCCATTCAACTTTTCAAGTTCATTGAACAAAAATCTATAATTATAACCACACATTTATCATTGAAAGAATGGATTTGATTTTAAATCACAGCACTGTGAATCAAACAACAGTGGAGTTAATGTGAAATGATGGGGCTTGAGAAAACAATGTTTTCAATGGCAAGGGTCAAAACAAATCCCTCAAAAGCATCAATTTTTGAGGAATAAAACTCGGCCAAACATCCTCTCAACAAACATCAAATCATGCAGTGATATCAAAGAAAATCTTGGGATTTTTTTTTTCTCAAAATAAAGAGGCTTCAACTTAACACAAAAAGCATTGTTTAACTGAAAAAATTAAAAAACTTTCCAGTACTGAAAAGACAGAACAATTATAGCAAAGAAAATCTTTGGATTTTTTTTCAAAATAAAAGGCTTCAACAAGCATAATTTAACTGAAAAAAGTTTACAAACCTTTCCAGTACTGGTAATACAGAACAATTATACCAGGGACTTACAATCTATGTAAAAGTGACCAATATATATCATATTTCAAATTTCAATTGAAAATACTATGGTACCCTGACTTTTGACTTCGGATATTTTTGCATTATCTCTGTATTTTGTGAAAGCTTTTTCATAAAAAACACCTCCCCCAAATAAAGGAGTTAAAAGTAACTAGCAGATGCTTCATTCAATTGCACGTCAGTTAAATGGTAAAACTTTTTCTACTTGCTTATCATAATAAATGTGATGTTAATACAATGTGCTAAGATTATTCTTTGGACTGAACAATGGCTCTAAATAAACAATTCAATCTATTTGTAAATGTAATCATTTCAAAGGTATGGCTTTCACTTGATTCTTAGAAACACAATATACATGTACTAAAATCACTGACAAACATGCGTCAATGTAAACAATCATTGGAGGGTGTCCTAACTTGTTTAAAGAAAAGAGATTAGAAGTTGTATTTTCCTTTCATAGAAATCTCCAGGAAACTGATTTCTTACCGGCATTTTCCCCTGAGCTAACGCCGAGTCCCTCAGCCTTGTTGTACCTCTCGTATGCCTCCAGATCCAACACACTGTTCAGAAGAATAACAAATAACGAAACAAACAGAGAAATACATTTCAACTCTGGCGAATTTCAAATAGTTTGGTTGCGGTACACACTGCTTTATGTGATTCGAACCAGTCAGTCGACCCCAGCAAGCTCGGTGGTTGAGTGGTAAGACGTCTGCGCTAGTAAGCAGGAAGTCATGGGTTCGAGTCCAGTTCAAATAGTTTGGTTGCGGTACACACTGCTTTATCTGATTCGAACCAGTCAGTCGACCCCAGCAAGCTCGATGGTCGAGTGGAAAGACGTCTGCGCTAGTAAGCAGGAAGTTGTGGGTTCGAGTCCCACCCGAATAGTTTTTGAATTTTTTTTCACAACTGAACCCTGTTGTATTACAGGGAATGAATAGTCAACTTATAAAACAGGATAAAAATAACTTGGAGAAGTTGAACAGGACTTACTATGAAGCCCGGGAAGGGACAGGGTGGAATTTTTTTTTGTAATTTGCTAATGCGTTCCCACGAATTACCAACTCGTTCCCACAAATTACTAACGCGTTCCCGGATGCACGAGTTAGCAATTCGTTCCCACGAATTAGGAAATCGTGCTAACGACATAGCAATTCGTGGGAACGAATTAGCAATTTTGCGAACGAAATAGCAATTCGTGCGAACGAAATAGCAATTCGTACGAACGAGTTAGTAATTCGTGCGAACGAATTAGCAATTTACAAAAAAAAATCCACCCAGTCCCTTCCCGGGCTTCATAACTTACAGATTGAGGTTCACCTGAAAACAAAAACATCGACCACCCCTTCAAATTTTGGCTTAGCACCACTGTAATGAAAAATGGCAATCTTCAACTTTATGCTCATTTTGTGATGATAGGTCACGTATGGTTTTACGTCAATAAAGGACTAAACACAACATAAAAACAAAATCATTATCTGACCTGCAGGATTCCATCAGTTCAGCGACACTCGTGAAGAACCCCACATCCATCTTATCTTGAAGATGCGAAAGCATTCTCTGAAAGAAATAAAAGTCAGTTTATATTGAGTCATTTGCCAAATGAAAAAGTTAAAAATAGCTTAATAGAATTTAAGCCTGAGACTGTAAATCAAGGTAAGATGAGATGCTTACCTTCAAATTACTGAATAAAATTCAAACTCAAGGAATTCCATTTTCAAATTATCTACAATTCAACTCACAACATGTATTCAATTCACATGGGTAATTCTATCAATTGAGGGCCCAAATTGTGACATTTTTACCAGCCCCTGTTACCTTTGTACTTTGTTATATGCCATTCAAGTACCATTAAGAATGACAATTTTGTGCTTTTCATATTCAACATTTTTTTATCTGCTGTTCATAGTCACTTTTGGAGGAAGACTGCATCAAGTAGTGCATCCAGAATTATAAAATCATAGATGTCAGATGCAACAGCGACAGGAACAAAAGTGGAACCAAAATTTGTAGACTGACCCACTCACAAATGTGGATTCCAAAAACAAATTAACAATTCCCAACGTCACCTTCATCAGTTCCGACCGACACCTTTCTTCAACGTGTCTTAACTCAAGGAAATGAAAATGAAATTCACATAGTGCTGGGGGACAACTGAAGAAATTAAAATGCTCAAAAAGGAAAGGAAATAGTAAATGGTCTTCATTTAGAAGATACATCAAGAAAAGTTTCCAAGCCCGGAAGATATGTACTTCTGTATATTGAACTTTGGGTAAATATGTAATCATTGGTAATTAATGCAATACTTCCCCTCACCTCTTGTACAGCTACGTTGCCACCCCTAAGCAGGGAGATACCAAGTTGTAGGGTGCACATGACCATGGGGCCGGGCTCACCTATTAAACACAAATGGGTAAAACCAATGTCAAAAAAGCAGGTAAGCCTTTATATATATAATTTGCTACCTTTTAATGGGAATGCCAACCACAAGGTTAATTGTATTAAAATTATTACAATATTATGATGTGTTTTAATATTCAATATTTTTTTGAGCTTAAGTGGGGTTTTAGCATTAATTTTTTTTGTGCTCTAGGTCCCCCAGGGCATGCAGGGAGAACAATTCATTGACAAGTGATGGGACTACCCTGGTAAAATAATACAAAATAAATAAATGAATAAATGAATAAACTAAGACCAAGGGCCACTTGAGGTGGTGGCTACAACTAGAACAAATTTGTTTAAGAGGAAGTGCAAAATGTGTTTTCATTTACACATCTAACATGACAACTCTGTGGCCACTTTTCAAATCTCTGCATCATCTTCAGCTTTGGTCCTCATTTACATGTATATCTCTGGAAACATTTTGAAATCTTAATTCTGTAAGAACCAAAGAAATATAACCCTAGCTTCGGACTTGCATTAGATGAGTTGATGTTTCTGTAGCAGAAAAAAGGAGCTACATGTACGTTGAACAGGAAAGTTTCATCTCAGGCGCCTAAAATCACAAGGCTGATGTTCCAAGCCAAGGAAAAATACAATGCTTAGGTTTCAAAAATATTTCTCTGAGAAATGATGAGAATCTGACCATCGCTAGCGCTGAGAAGCAACAGGACCATCTCAGCAGCCCCTCTGTCTGCAAGCCTCCCTTGCTCTGACAACAGGCGCTGCTTGGCTAGCTCTTGCTCCTGTCAAATACAACAAAGAAAAATAACCAACGTAAGTAGAACCCAACTTAAGAGACCTGATTACAAGACATAGTGCAGGCAGATTGGCAAACAGATCTTGACAGTCGGCTAACTTTAATGGACTGATACACATGTTTAGTCCTAGTATCCATAATTAAAATCAAGTCAATCACAAGAAAAATCGAGTCAGGTCACAAGTCAATCACAAGTCAAATCACAATTCATTTACAAGTTATTCACAAGTAAACCACCAGTCAATCTCACATGTCAAATCACAATTCACATACCATGTTTACAAGTAAAATCACGAGTCATTCACAGGTAAATCACCAGTCAATCTCAACTCAATCACATGTAAATCACAAATCAAATCAGAAGTCGATCACAAATCACAAGTCTAATCACATGATTGCAAGTAATATGGATGAACAATGGCAAAGGAGTTTGTCACAGTCCATTTGAAAAGCCTCTTCTCTACTCCATAAAACCAAGCAAACTAAAAAATCTAGCCCAAGTCACGATTCTTGGATCACTCTTTTCTCGTAAGGGACAGATATGATGGACATGATAGATATGATAATTAAAAGGTGACAACAATACTTGTGACCACAGACAATGCTTCCACATTCAAATGAGGCTTTTTCTGTACTAATAAAGCCTCCAAGTTGTGGTGGCCAGATTGCTCCTGCTCTACTGTCAACAGAAAAGTTTCACACGGTTCAACAATGAAAAAGAGAAAAGCAAAGATAAAGTCAGGCAGGAAATGAATTGCAGATAAGCAATCTGATCAAGACATGACTTTGTTGTACCTGGAATGAGATGCTGTCCTCTGTCTCTTCATCATCTTCATCATCATCCCCGCTGCAACTCTGAAATATTTCAAATGGAAAACCACAGATTGTTACATTCCACTGCAGCAGAGAAGGAAAACTTACTATATGCTTGATAAAGAACACAAAAAGATAGAACCATACCCATTTACCCTTTTTGAGATATGGTGGACACAGTATAGGGGCACTATTTGGTTTGGGTAAATTTGGTAAAAGGCAATTGAGAGTGGCTTGTGTAAAAATGGACCGATCAATTAAACTACACTCCATGATGTCTTGACCAATCACAGCAATGAGCCTTGTAGCTGGAATACGCAGTCTGTCATTGGGAGGACACACATGTTATTGCTCATGGAGGACGCACATGTTGACCCACATGTTGTTGCACATACAGGGCGTATGGCATAATCCTGAACGGTTCACTGTTTAACTTGTTCTCACAGGGCACAACACAAAGAAGTTGGGAGACAACCAACTTGCAGTAGGATAGCTCAGGCGTTGAGGATAGTTTAGAAAAGCTGTGGTCGAGTGCTGGAACATTTTTCAGGAAATGCTTGAAATTTCCAGTACATATTCTTATTTTGACAAAATTTAATCAAAAGTCAACTTGCTAAACTTTCCATCTGGTTCTTCATTTATTTTTTTCACAATGTTAATTTTGCCTTAAAATTCCAAAATAAGAATGTACAGAACTCGTTTCAGACTGAAATCAGATGTGATGAAATGTATCAACATTTGTCAGTTTTTAACTAGAGACCATGCAGTCAGGTAGTCCATTTCCAAAACAAAATATAACTAAATGAAAACAATTATTTCAACCAATTTACCCTGCTCATGATGTCTGCATATGAAGCGTACAGGAAGTCTTGCTGTACACCACTAGAAATGAGAGAAGAAAACGGACTGATTAATTCTTCTAGTGTTACTTATATTTTCAGTTCCAGTTGACTTTTCAAGTTTCAAGTTGGAATTTCAATTAAGTTTTAATTTGTGCCAAAACAAGAAGTGCCAAAACCATAACCAGCCAGCTGTTTTGCATTTTCATGAATGTGGAGAGGCCAACATAATGAATGATTTTTCAACTTGAAACTTGAATTTCAACTTGAAACTTGAAAATCAATACAGAACTTGAAACTATGAGAAAAGAAACCCTCTGATACACCACAGGTTCCATCCATTCAAATACTGTTAATGGCACTCACTGTTTTACTTTTATAAGAGCACAGCGAAACACCTCATTGCAAAGGAGAACCAGTTAAAAAAAATGTCAGAACCACTTTCCTGAACATATCACAGAGCTCCTTCTAAGAAGCAAATTTCTTTCTCAGCAAAAACAAAAATTATTGCTTTGCTTTTCCTTTACAAAAGTTTGTGAACGAATATATATTCATTACCAGTACCATCGGATGGAGCAGGGGTATTACAAGTTAACAATGTTTTGTGTTTTCTTTTTAAAATATTGTGAGAGGGATCAGTCATCACCGGTAGCCTTAGATAGGTTTGTAGATCACGGAACGGGGGAAGCTAAACACAATGCTTTGTTTGCTTTATAACATTAACCATCACCAGTACCATAAGATAGGGTGGTGAATACTATTAAACAGAATGTACACGGTAGTCACAAGCAGAATACAGTTGAAGAATGAACCTAACAGGGAGAGAGGTTGCCGTAGTAGTAACTTTCCTTGCTTTCCACCTCTGTGACCTGGGTTCGATTCCCATCTACACCATCGTGTGGATTGGGTTTTTAGTCCCGGACTGATTTGTAATTTTTTTCTGGAATATCCTCCCATCTTTTTTTGCCACCTTCGAAACTAAACACTTCCTCATCATCTTTTACCTCTTCAGGATTCGACCTACGGCATCCGTGCACTTTCGAAGAATCCTGGGTTTTTATTAACAGAAAGAATTTTTTTTTAAATGCCTACTTGTGTTGGAGTCCAAACGACCGGCTGAACGTCAGGATGAGTTGATGCAAGGGATCTCTGCTACTCTCCTCAGAAACTGCTGCCAACTCCTCACCACTGGATTTCTGGAATGACGACCAAATGCAAATGAAAAGTCTCAGAGCTTGTTGATTTCACATAAATTGTTGGATTCATAACGGTTTCTCATAAAGATATCCAAGGGAGTTGATGTAAAAAGGCTTGAATAAGGCTTACCGTGAGATCTTCAATCAGCAGATGCTGAGCTGAGTCTTCCACACTGAGCCACTTCTCTTTGTATGCTCTAAGGAAGTAGTTGATGGCACGATGCCTGCAGGCAAAGAGAAAGAGTGACATAAACAAAACATTAGTATTACAAAGAACAAGTGACATTAACCCTAACTCCCTAGGGGCTGTGCAAAATTATATTGAAATTGGAGGATTCAGGACTGTTAGGGCTATTGTTAAATTTGGAATTAAATAGTCGTATGATCTCTCCGAGTGATCCCGTTTGCTATTTCCCAGGACTGCAACATTGTTGATGTTGCTGGCATCGTGACTTTGGGTGTGATCCCTGGCCATTATGGCATATAAATGTATAATGGTTTACATGGTTGGCTTCTGACTAGAGCCTCTAGAACAAAGACATTGACAAAATGGAAAACTGCCAACATACGGCTAGATAGCTCAGTTGGTAGAGCACCGGAATGGGGTCACAGCATTCAAACCCTGCTCCGGGCAATTTGTTTGTTAAACTCCAAAATTATAATTTACATTTATTTCCGAAAGAAGTGTTGCCAGCGCTTGCAAATGTTAAAATTGATTGCATCAATGGACCCCTTCCCCTGACTTACTTGGGCAGATGGTGAAGTGGTATCATCCTGAAGCAAGCCATGATGGTTCGTCTTCTCTGAGCTGACATGAGCCGCCTCCAAGCGCTCTTCTTGGACAACGGAGGATGCTCCATCTAAAACCCAAGACAAAAATAATTCATAGTGAAAAGGATGAGGAAGGTATGTAATGCTGGTGTTCGCCATTGCTAGGCGCTCATGGTGCTCACTATGAAATGCCCCACTCATCAGCACTGATACAGTGCGATCAGTTCAGAAAGTACTTAATTCTAATACAATATGGCTCATTTTACTCATCTGAGGATGTTTAAACAAAGACACAACCAAAACGAAATTTATATTACCATATTAGTATAAAATGTCAGAAGATAGAATGAAAAATGGGCTCAATATGAAGGTAGAAACAATACGGAGGAGGTACATGTATGTGTACATGGTCCTGTAATAATAGATGTATTAACATTTAAAAATGCCTCAGTTCAAACACGGACATTCCTAATATGTTCATTCCTAATGTGTTCATGAACATGATTCTTCTGTAAATAGAAACCTTCATCCAATTCATGAACACAGTAAGCATAAATGGAGGTCAGTCACACCCGTTAAGTACTTCCATTCAGGAATCGCACTGAACCACATCACTCCAAAGATTTGAATTCAGTATATGAAAAGCTAAACCATTCAGGAGTGACTACGTCGAAAGATTGACTGTCACAGTCGTTCTGTTTACTTGCTTCTCAGAGTCTAGTCAAAATAGAGGCCAGTCGAGATAGAAAATTAATGCACTAACGTTTCCTTTCTAAAACTAAATATTTTTTTGGATTGGCTCAAGTCACTCCTGATGCTCTTTGGTTCGGCGTGGCTCTGAAATGTAAGTCTGACACGACTGTCAACAATCAAAGTCAAACTGGTCACAGTTCTCACCATATGTAGTCTATGCAGCACCAGCGCCATGTTCATGATCCTATCCACGATCTTCTCCTGCGTCATCTCCACGGCATGAATCATGCGATTGGACGCTGCCTTGTTGTACAGATGCCTCTGCCAGTTCTTGGCCGCTTGCTGCTCGGTAAAAAGACCACAAAATGGTTGCAGGATATATAACACTGTTTAAACTTCACGCAACTTTCAGTACGATGCGTCACAATGACACTTCAATACACCAATCCACATGGGCGTCACGAGGGGGGGGCAAGGGGGGGCACTTGCCCCCCCCTGGAAAAGCAAAAAAAAAAAAAAAAAAAAAAGAAGAAAAAGAAAAGAAAAGAAAAGAAAAAGAGGCGCGAAGACAAAGTGGTGTAAATTTAATGAGTTGGGGGGGGGGGGCAAAATGTCCCTGCCCCCCTTTAAAACTGATAAATCGAGAATGTGTTGAGAAATACAAGCATTTTTTGGCAAAATTTTTTTTTGCCCCCCTCTAGAAAAAATCCTGGCGACGCCCATGCCAATCCATTAAGTTCCGCCCACTGGGCATGTGGCCAACCAACACGCGCACCTCTCGAGTACATTTCTTGGTACCCGTACTCATACTCATGGGAAAAAAATGTCTGGTAGTTGTATACTCATGACAAAATACTCATACTCGTGGAAATGTACTCGACTACAACACTGGTCTCAGTGTAAAGTACTTCCCCAGGTTTTGAACTTCATTACCAAAAGAGGGAGCAAGAAACCATGCGGATAATACACACAGGGAAAAAAGGAGTGGATATTAGTATACAGCCCAAAATTGTGCGCATCTACATGTAAGTAATGCCAACTAGCTAGCAATTTGCATTTCAATTAGTTGCGTAAGGCATGGACAACTAACCAGCATACATACACGCATCTGTACACTTGCCTTCCAACAACTTCAAGACAGAAAGAGATTCCAACAGATTACTTGTACATTCATCTTTTCTACCAGTTTCAACAATTATTAAATTTAGATAATTTGGTTGGGAGTATGACCATGCTAAAAAAGAGTTGTAAATTCAGTACACTCTTTGCGCTTTTAAGATTTCCAAGATAATTTCAGGGCAATGCATATCATATGCATAACTACAGATTTGTCACTTTTTTGGTATTTTCTATTTGTTAATTATAATTTGGATTTCTTGTTTCTTTTTCCTTCGTTTTATCTTTCATGTTTTTCTTTAAGGGGAGGGACCCAGTTGGTTTGAACCCCTGGAACCCACTCTTCCAAGAAAGATTCCCACTTAGATCAAGTGCTTATTTTGGGAATCAATCAGGGCCCAATTTCACGGCGCTGCTTAACAGTTAGCAGAAAAGTTGTGCTTAGCATAGCAGAAAAATTTGCTAACCTTAAGCACTATTTCATGGCATGGATGTGCTAACATGGATGTGCATGGAGATTTCTAAGGTAACGTCACTAAGTTAAGCAAATTTTTCCTCTGCGGTAAGCGTGCCTTTTGCTGTGCTTATGCTTACAGTCTCCATGAAATAGACAGAGGCTCTGTTAGCATTAAATCACGTGCTTAGCATCGCCGTGAAATTGGGCCGAGGCCTCTCAGGGGGAAAAAAAACTTTCTACAAAAAAACACAAGAGTGATCCCAACCAACACAGAAAAAATACGAACACTAGCAGCAAGAGACGACCGCCTCGGGCATGCACTAGGAGGGGGCGGTGCCGAAGAGGAAGCGGGGGAGGATCTATTTTTAGACGGACGGTAAGACGCAGACGAGGACTTGGAAGACGCGGACATGTTAGAGGGTCGGCTTCTAGACGAGGCAGTAGTGCAAGAGGAAGATGATGCAGAGGTCTTTTGGGAGGAGGGGTCATCTTTGGATTTAGGGTCAACCTCTTTGTCCTGGACGTGGAGCGACTGGACCAGGAATTCTCGCACGTCTTTCTCTGTCTCTTTCTGTAGGCCAAGGAAACAAGAAAGGAGACTTTTTGTTGAATTGTGTAGCTGAGATTAAGTGTCAAATGATTACAAGTTGAGTTTGCTTGGCGAGCTTCCTTCAACAGGCAAGCACTATTTCTTAAATTAAATTTCAAATCTACTTGTGTCAAAACACTCATTTTGATTTTATTCCAATCTGATAAAATATTGCAGGTCCAAATCCTCCCCAAGGTTTACTTTTTTTACCTTGTATCACATGGGTTTTCTTTCCATCCTACTTGTCTATAACTTTATTATAAATATTTCAGTTTCTAGATGTACAGAAGTCTGCTTAACATTGATTAACAACAAACAATTAAAACAATGATTTACAAATAACGCCTCCAATAAAATTATGTTACGATATCATATCGAGGACCAATTTCATGAATCCAATTTTTTTTTATTTTACAAAAAAAAATTTCTTTTAAATTGAAATCTAACCGAGTATTACAAAACACTTATGTACACTACAGACAAGGTTTTTAATCTTATACTCATGAAATCGACAATAATTTTTGCTCTGCAACAGATTGAATTTTGATAGATGAACCTTTTTTGGCCAAATGTTTTGTAAAGCAGTGTTTGTTTTTAGCAACATGTTCTACTGTACTTCTGCGTATCTAAGATTGCAAAATAAACGTGCCTCCCACATAGAAGCCCCGCCCACACACTAACCTCCTGGAATTTAATCTTCGCCTGCTGCACTAGTTCCTGTTCCCTCGCTCCGTACAGGTTCATCCCAATAGGCAGCATGCGCTTCAGACAGACCACCACCAGGCCAGTCGGTGACCCTTGACCTTCCACCCGACGGTCCCTGGCCGCCTTCAGGCCGGCGCCAGGGTCGTCTGGTGGGGTCAGACCCATGCGTCGGTTGGATGTTGCTGAAGCCAAGAGGGCAGCGTTTTCGGCCTCCATCTGGGCGACGAAGTTCTGCTCTTCACGACGACAGTTCTACAAAGCGATATTCAAGGAATCTATATATTAAGGCCGTCCTTGTTTCTGATAAATTTTCTTTTATATTACAGTTTGTCTAGATAGAAAACTGAATTGTTGGAATATGTTTTAGTAACTGAATCATATTCCTCACTATTTGGTTCGTATTTGAAGACAAGATACATGTATAACAAAGCCAGCATCACGAACATTGCACTAATTGAGGTGTCACTATGTCTAACTATATATTCTCAAAAGTACTGGCTTTTTCAGAGTAGACAAAAGGCTGTGTAACAAGCTAAACACAAGAAAATTCTTCTGGACAATAATATAAACAATTAGTGCTGTTACTTGCAGGTATTACATACGCATGTGATTGTAAGCACAATTTACATCCGTCTCTTTTAATTTCTGTAGAGTAAGGATCTGCTCACCACATAATACTGACTTGACCACCATTCTGTGCTTACAGTGCAAGCAAAGATAGTACAGATACTAAGCGTACACTTCAGTTAGCGAACATTCCTCATTTATGGTGACCAGAGCAGTGAAATGAGGCCCAGTACCAGCACCTTTTGGTTTAGGCCACTACAAACAAGCCATGCAGTCAACCATCCAATAAAAGTGAGACTTACTGCAGATCGGGCCCAGCAGTTGAAGATACTGGACACCTCACTGAAGAGGCTCTCTGCTTCCAAAGATGGTGTCTTTAACCACTTGGCCCTATCAAATCAAACACAAAGAATAACAATACAGTTTTCTAGATTCACATATGTACTCCCAACTTCTCATTTTTCACACACACCATCCTAAAATGCTGTAAAATTAATCACTCAATCGGAGAGACGTTGAGGATTCAGTATATTATGTTTTAAACATGTGGATTTTTATAATACACAATTTGTTTAAGTTAGTTTTGGAAGTTCAAAGTATAATCCACAAATGTGAATGGAAGGGATTTGATGAAAAGAACTTGTTGCTTTAATTGTTGAATTTCAAAGGATTCAGAAGTTGATTTTATTGATTATTTTTGAAGATACTGTTTGACTTATATGCCTCTAACCATATTCAAATGTTACTTGTAAAAATTCTTTCTGTAAAATGTTCAAGATTTTACCTCTAAAACTAACTTATAGATTAAAAATGAAAGCGTATGAACAACCAAATGATGTTGCAATATAGAAATATAATCATCAAACTGCAAAACTTGAAAATGGAATTTTCAAATACGCTCTGTCATGACATACAAATCTCATCCAAAGCAGGCCTTAATTTTGTTTTAAACTTTGGTCAACAGAAACAAAATAAATCACGTACCTCTGTGAGTCGACAAATTTGATGAGAAGTGGGTAGAGAGCATAGATGTCCCTCACTATAAGGTGGTAGTCCTGTACAAGAAAACAGAAAAATAGAGAAAATTAATTATAACAGTGGCGAAATACTGGCAAGTGATGTGAGGGACAGGGGTTCAACTCCTGCTGTTGGTTAGATGTTGTATCTGCTACTGAGGGGTATAAATTATTTGGTAATCTGGATGAAAGTGCATTTGAAGATGTAACGTCTTTCAAATTCATTGTCGCTGCTAAAAGAATATAGTGACCTCTGACCTCTAGAATGGCAAACTCTGCCTCCTCCATCTCGTTGCCTCCCATGGGATATTCCTTCTTGAGGACCTCCTCTGCTGCAAAGACCGTCTCCATCTTGCCTCGGAGCTTGACAATGACTGGCAGGAAGTGGGTCTTGAGTAACTCCTCCTTGACGTCATTCAGGATGGGCTGGGCATTGGCTGGCAAAGCAAAAAACAATGAAAAAAATATTAACTTTAACTCCTGAACTATATATGACTTGAAGCTTTGCTTTGCTGAACACGCACAGCCATAAAGCCTCCAGCATCATCCACAGCCCGTCACTCACCCTCCTAAGGACGGACAGAGCACACTGTCCGAAACGTCGAGTTCTACACTCAACCGACCGGTTCTTTTCCGAACCACACTTCTTCCAAGAAGGGATTACTTTCCAAATGGTGTTACCTGCAATCTTTCTACTTCATCCCTGAACTATGTTTTCTTAGAAGCTTCATGAATCCTCAAAAGCAATTACTGCACATGAATACATGCATGTCAGGCATTAATCACGGCTGGTCAAAACATTATAGTTGGGGCTGAATAGATTGGTCTATTAGACAGACAGAACATGACCATGAAAGTAACTCACCAGCAATGCGTGTCATCCAGGGGGCATCTCCCGAACCCAAGTTGAATCTGATCAGAGTCAAGACGTTCCCCAAGGTGGTGTTTAGATGGTTGGAATTCACCATCGTCCAGTAATTTCTGTCAGTAAGAAAAAAATAAGGGTAGTAGAAATTACTCCCAGGAATAAGTCCGAGTCACTGAAAATCACCCAGATTGTATGAAGAAAAAGAACCCACAAATCAAAAACAGTTTAAGATTTTCTGTTAACACAAGTTCTAAAAGTTCTAAAAAATTTATGTGATGTCATGCACACAATACAAGAACAAATTGAATCCATTTAATTAAATTTTCAGAGGTTCACTTCGGTCACTGCTCATTAAAAAACATCTAACGTAAAGACCACCATCTAGTGGCCGCAACAAGAAACAGCGCCACAAACTGACTGGTGGTGCTTCGTTCTGAGGATGACTAGTGAAACTAGTCGAAACGTAAACGAAACTACGTAAGTAATTGGCTGTGTTCATAGAAAATTCATTTACAAAGTAAAGTTAAACATTTGAATCAGGTTAAGTGTCATGCGAATGAGAGAAAGATAATTGAACAGTAAAAAGACATGTTCTGCAAATCTTCCTATGAAAAACATCATTTATTTTCAAGGGGTTTTACCATCTTGTAAAGAAATTGGTACCAGCTCAAGGTAATATTTCAAGGAGTGGACTACAGAGGGAGAGGAAACACATATTCACCCTTGCCTCCTGGAGATGTTATCGGGACCTTCCATCCACCAGAAATGAAGGTAGCTTTTGGATACATAAACGAAGAATGTGAAAATACAGTCTGATGAATGAATGCAATAATGACAATGAGTACCATACACTGCCAAAAATATATTTCTTATTTTGAGAAAAAAAAACTTAAAACAAGTTATTTTTTCTAGGGAGTGACACAAGAAAATATTTCTAAAAGGCCAATTCTTGTTTTAAGAAACTTGTTATTAGATTTTTTTCTAGTGTTCTTGATTTAGGATAAATAATTTTCTTAACTTTTGTCAAAATAAGAAAAAAAATTCTAAACTTTTCTCAGTTATGTTTCTTATTTAAAGAAAAACTGCAAGAAAATTTTTCTTGTTACAATTTTCTAGGGAGTGACACAAGAAAACCTTTTTCCTTTTCTTGAATCAAGAATATAACCCCTTCATATTGCAAAAAAATCTAGTTTTTTTTCTTGTTTCTTACTCAACTTTTGTCAAATTAAGAATATTTTTTTCTAAACTTTTCTCAGTTTGTTTCTTATTTTAAGAAAAACTGCAAGAAAATTTTTCTTGTTACAATTTTCTAGGGAGTGACACAAGAAAACCTCTTTCCTTTTCTTGAATCAAGAATATAACCCCTTCATATTGCAAAAAAAATTCTAGTTTTTTTTCTTGTTTCTTTCTCAACTTTTGTCAAATTAAGAATATTTTTTTCTAAAGTATTTTCTCAGTATGTTTCTTATTTTAAGAAAATCTGCAAGAAAATTTATATTGCTCAATCCACCTGAAATCAACTTTTCTCAGTTATGTTTCTTATTTTAAGAAAAACTGCAAGGACAATTTTCTTGTTACCATTTTCTAGGATTAGGAATGACACAAGAAAACCTTTTTCCTTTTCTTGAATCAAGACAATTAACTCCTAGCTGGAATTGTAATCTTGGTTGTTTTTCTTGTTTCTGCTGAGGTTTTCTTGGATTCCAAAAGAAAAGACATCATAAATCTTAGTACAAATTAATGAGAATTGTTTTCCTACTACAAGAAAACAACTTCAAGGCAAAGGTATGCATTCATCATAGCAGCAATGGATGCCATGAAGACATTGTGTTAATATTTAACAAATAAAAGTCCTTTGTTTCAGGCTTACCTTTTTTAATCACCCTGTATAGTTTGCTCATTTCAATAATAGTATTTTCACCTTACATTACAATTTTATTTAAAAATTTTATCACTGTCATAACTAGGCCAATATACATTTTTATTGGTGAACTTCAAACCTAGTTTTGAGCATTATTCTCCAAACTTAGATTTGCTTCTCGGGCAGAGCCTAATCGCCAAAATCAGATTAACTTCTAACAATTCTAAAAATCCATTTTCATATCAGTGACTTCCACTTTACATGTTACATTCTATAAAAGAAAAGGAATTGCTATCTCACTCATGCTTAGTGGGTTATGTGTGCAATGTTCAACATGTATTACACTATGCATGTACATACACATAACTTTGCAACTACCGATCCGAAACTTACACAACTTTCAATCTTTTCAATCCTTAAACATCTTCAACAATAAAGTTCATACAAATAGCCATCCTTAATCTATGATAATTAAGTTAAAACATGACAATAAAACTAACATTTGTACATACCTTTGGCAGAATAAAAATGATGGAAATGATAAGTGAATGTTCAGGCCTGACAGCTGAAACAATACACTTTTAAATTTCAGTTGGCCACTCCCCCAACAGCGCCCTCTGTTGTCAGAGCCAAAGTCATACAATTTTAATTTCATTCAAGAAAAGTTTTCTTAAAATGAGAAAGTATTTTTTTGTACAATGCATCAACAAAGAACACTTGGCAAGAATAATTTTCTTGAAGTGTAGCATTTTTGGAAGACAAGAATTGTTTTTATTAACATAGGAAATATTTTCTTAAAATAAGAAAATAGATGGCAAATATGAGAAAAACACAGTTCGTAGTTCTTAAACAAATTTCTTATGTAAGAAATTTTCTTAAAATTAGAAAATTTTCTTGTAATGAGAATAGTTTTGAGAAAAAAAATCTTAAAAGAAGATATAATTTCTTAAAGTATATTTTATTAAATATTTTAAGAAGTATTTTCTTGCCCATTTTCTTTTTTCTTACAAATTATCTTAAAGCTAGAATATTTTTCTAATTTCAAGAAAAGTTTTCTTAAGTAAGAAAATATTTTTGGCAGTGTACAGTAATGAATAACAACAAATGTCATTGGAAAGTCAAGATGCCATTGGCAGTTTTTCTCAGGTTTTTTAACACATTAATTTATAGTGGTTTCATAGTTAATAATAAGCTTTAGGAGAAAATTACAGATCCACAATTTGGAGAGGCTAATTATAAAAAAGAAAAGTGTAGTACTGATAAAGAACAGGAGGTTCTGACTGGATGTTTCAGTCATGAGGTAGAACCATATATCGCAAAATGTTAGAATATCCTGAGGAAACCAGCAGTTGTAATTCCACAACGAAAGGGTCCTAATGTACAAGAAAGTCCTTCACAAAAAAATCTTAATCTTAAACACTAAAGAAATTTGAAATTTGGGTTTATTAAAACAATTAAACCCACAATGAAAATGAACGTTTCAGTATCCAATCCATAAAAACAAACTTATTACCAGCAAATTTTTTTTTTTTATTCCGGCAAATTTTACTTTGCAGGGGAATAGCAAGACGTCTCCAACCAAAATTGGTGGAGTATATTTCCTACCTGCATAGCATGGGCAGAATGACTTCAATGACGTGGGGTGCGTCATTGTACGTGGCACCCGTTGTGGCCATCTGGTCCAGCTCCTTCATGACGGCCTCCAAGGTGGGAATTCCTGATGTCAGTCGCAACAGTTCTTCTGCAACAATTCGGGGTAAAAAAAAATGCACATTTTTATTTTGAAATAACAGATTTATAATCAAGTCAATCACAAACCAATCAAGTCAAGTCAATTCACATGTCAGATCACAATTAGGAAGGAATGAACTGTGACAAATGAATGTCTTTGTCACACCTCATTTGTGAGCATGACTTGTGATCACTTGTGATGCCTTGCGATCACTTGTGAAGCCTTGTGATGACTTGTAGTGACATGTGACTGACTCAATTACAACTCTGGATAGTGAACCTCTAGATTTCTTAAAAGCAAGCATTTTGACAAAGGTTGAACACGTCAGACTTCTATTCTTTTTTGGGAGGGAGGGGGTGAGGGGCAAACCTTTTGAAAGGAAAAGGGTCTTTTGAAAGCACCCTGAGTTTCAGAAAAATAACTGAATTACGGTTTGTACCCCAAAATCACGTCATTAATTTCAGCCCCCTCATTTGCTTGAAAATATGCCTTTTTCAGATTTTGAGATGTGACCTTCATCAAGAGTATCATTTTTTTTGGGGGGGGGGGGGGAATTCATAGGCATCTAAACGTGATAATGCACCTGCTCCTTCATAATTTGCCCCTTTCAGCTCTAGCTGACCCAGCAGTGAGCTGCCGTTGTGCTTGTTGAGGTGAGGCTCCAGGAAGGCAACAGGGAAAGCACCGGCAAAAGCTGCCAGTAACTCCCCGATGGCTGGCCTATGCCTAGAGAGACAAGAAAGATTCCGATGTCAACAGCGGATCAATAAAAACACCATTTTGATTAAAAAAAAGAAGGCAAAGAATTCACAAGAGTGCACCACCAACAATGTACGCTTTGCAGAGGCCATTTTTCAACTTCAGGATTGAATTCCTGCACATAACTGTCCTGCAGATAATCGTCTGTCCTTCATTGTGAAATGCCGTACCATGCATTTGTAGCCCTCTTAAAAAGTTACCATTTGCAGAAAGAAAAAAATCCACTCATTCTTTTTTTTTCCCAAGATGCAATGCTTGAGGTTGGCCTCTCCTTCGTTACTGCGTTGTGGCTCACTGGCTTGTGAATTGTTCTTCTTCTGTTTCATTACATAAGGTGGAACACACTGCAAGCTTGCTGTTCATATCTATAAGCCAGTGACAATTTGCTGCTTTGTGCATGCTTCTTTCTTTTCAACTCTTTTACCGTAGCATCATTTCAAAAGCTGATATCTCTCATGCAGCAGTTATGTTACAGTGATGGTAAGCAGTGCATCACACTCAAAAAAGCTCCCTGCTTAAACACGCAGGTTTTCAGAGCTGTAACAGCATGTGGTTTTGAACTGCCAATAACTCCTCATCAAATGGTAAGTCTGCTAGTACTCACTGCAAAATGTACAACACAGCAGAGGCTGAATTTCAACGATCATTCTTTATACACACTCACATTCACACAGGTTTGTTTATGGTGTAAATCAAGGATTTTCTATTATTACTCTTCCCTTTTCCTTTGTTTATATAACTATTTTGCAACAGCTCTCATTGGTTTTGTACACGTTTTCTAATCGAGGTCGTCCTCGATTTGGTTCCTATCCTCAATTCATTGATGATGTTGCACGTGTGTGTCCTTGATTTACACCATAAACATGCACACTCACACATATAGACAAATCTGGGCACCTGATCACCGCACACTCATCACAAGGCCCCCTTCAATGGAAAAACCATTGTGCACTATATGTACAAAGCAACTGTTCTGTGATGAATTATCTGAACAATAGCTAGCACAATGCTTTCGCCATTGAAGGGGGCCCCTATGATAGAAGTGATAGCGTGCCCTGATTGGTCTATATACAAGACACTGCAGCCATTCTGTGTTGCAGCTATTCTGTGGAAAGAAAGCATTATGTGGAACTTTAAAGGAGCACTCTGGTCTGATCAAGGAAGCATTAAAGCAGAAACAACTGTGTGTGTTCAATGAAATTATTGGAGGGTTGATGAGTTATGCTTGCCATCATCAGTACAGTTGCTTAAAATGTGTCTGTTTTCTTTCTTTTTCCATCCCCCTTTTTTTGGGGGGGGGGGGTTTAAAAGTGATGAAACAAATATGTACGATATTTCATCTATCTCCACATTTTGCATTGGCAATTATAACAGTCCACAAATCATTTAACAAACCAGAGTGCCCTTTAAAGCCGGCATTTTTTTGTGCACGGTTAGCATTTCATGTGCATTTTATTTACCACCCAAAGCTGTGAATAAAATATAAGCACTTGATAGACCTTATGCGTTAAGGTGGAGTTGAAGGGCAATGGTTTTGTATCGCTCAGATAGGCATGAGTAAACCTTTTTTTGTATTCATTGTTACTAAATTAAACTAACACAGAGCGCCCTCTGAGACACCTCCAACGCATAAGGTCTATACGTCTGCAATGAAAACATTCTGGAAAAATTAATGGTGTTGACATATGTTAAATTATTATTAGCCCATTACACATTTCAACAATCTATAAAATATAAATTGAACTTAGATAATCAATGCATATACACCTGCACCATGAAGTGGCATAGTAGGGCAGCCCCACAGAAAAGATACGTCCCATAAAAAGATCTGATTTTGTAGTTCACAGGGTTATGGTTCATGTATATTTAACAATTGTTGACTGCTGTGATTTGGAATATGACTTAACACCAGAGGGGCGCGTAGCACCAGAGGTGAAGCCGAGGGTGCTTTGCGCCCTAAGGGGGTTAAAAACTGAGGGGGGGGGGTAAAAAAAAATTGTTATATCGTGCCAATAACTCCAAAAGATAAATGGTTGTAACTTCCTGTGTGAAAAATAAATTAAACCACTGCGATGAAAACTTTGATAACTGAAAGTTTTGATGTCCTGCCAGACATCCATGAGACTGAGCAGTCGACGTTGCAGTTCTCATTGCGTGAAGCTAGTGCGCCGGCAGGTTCCATATGCTTGCGCAACACGCGCAATGAACGCAGTGCGATATCACGGATCTCCAAGTAAAAGTGGATAAATGTGTGTGACATGCGTTTTTATAGACCAGACACGAGGCCGTTCTCGACCAATGAAATTACAGTATCCAAGCACATGATATAACAAATATATATATGTCCCATTCACCACAGGGTCAAAGGTCAAAAGAAAAACGGGCAGACCCATCCGTAAAATTTTGGGGTAGAAAGAATGTACAATGAGAGACCTTTGAAACAGAGACTTCAACAGAATTCGTGGTTACATGTAGAGCTGTAATTGTAGCAATGAATTATGTTATGGACTCCCACATGTACCCCTCAACGGTGACAAAGAGAGATTTCAGAGGGACCAATTGCTTCATGTGTGGCACTTGTACGCATAGGTGCCATATGCCTACCGCTCGCCCAAAGACGTTACTGGTCCGCGCACATTAAGTGCATTTGTGCATACCTCACGCCCTAAGGGCATGAACTAATGGTCTTGTGTGCATGCATGCAGTGTTCCTTCCAAGGAGCTCTCGTAAGTGGTCATGCACAGAGTCCATAACACACAAAGGAACAACTAATTCCAAAGTCTGCCTTTACCCAAACACTGCAGTTTGAATTAAATTAGAAAATTTGTTTGTCAGAGCCAAAAGATGAGTTTAGGGTGCTATAAATTAGAGTGTGAGCAATGCACAATGGTGTGAAAAGGCCAAGAAATTGAGTTAGAAATCACTCCAATATTAGCTTGGGTTTTGTGTTTTAGAGTGTGGGTGTAATCATGGGCAAAGCATCAAAGAAAAGAGGTCAATTTCAAGGATTTTGGCTCCCAGTGAGTTAAGCCAACCATATCAGTTTATGATGTGCAACTGTGGAATAAGAGTAGTGCAAAAGAAGACAGAAAGGACCCAAAATCCAGCCCTGGGAATGCCAAAGAGCCCAGTTGAAATCTCCTAACCTTTAACCGATTAACCTGCTTCCAATTGTGATTTATTGAGGAAATGATAGTGTTTAGATAGTGTCAGTGATGGCAGGCAATGTGCTGTTAAAAGCAAGCATGCATGCAATGTGAACGTTCATGGTGTGTTTGTTTGAGATGTCTCTCCTCCAATTACCTGTCGATGTCCTCTTTCACTTGCATGCTGTAAGGCACAGAGATGTGGTTACCATAGTTACCACGGAATGAAAAACCAAGAAAGATAGTCGTGTCATGCCATGTTCCATATCAAGTGCAAGAGGGTATAAAACATTATGAACGATTGAAGTACAACGTAATATTCCATCCACATTAGTAAATGAGGTCTTCTGAAATGTGTTTTAAGAGCAAAAATGATGTTTATAAAAATTCAAAAAAATCTGAAATCTCAGATTGTATTACCCTTTACCAAAAGAGAATTTTTAAAAAGAACTTAACCAAGGACATTTCCCAAGAAATAATTTGAAATATTAAAATGCAAATATTTTGTAACCAATTTTGAGAATCAATGTCCAAGATTAATTGAAAATTACCTTTACGTTCAATTTAAAAGCAAAATGGATGCAAAGACAATAATATAAAATTCAGATTGACAGATACCGTACAAAACACTTCAATTCCCAATTTATCACTGTTATTACACCATAATCCAGCTGGGATTTACTAATGTGTCTCCTACTTCTGTACTTACTTTTAATTTGATCTTTACTTTTTACTTTTCATGTTAATTGCAGCTACCATGTAATTATATGCTATTACATTAATCAATCAATTTTAACAACAATGTTTAGGCTTGGAAACACTTTTTTCCCCTTCACACTGACTCAAGTAGTTGACTCCACATTTGAGGTCAAAAGGACAAGAGTGCCCTATCCGTTCTCTGACTCAGTGAACTCGTAAGATATTGAGGGAAGTTTTTGCGATTAGGCCTTGCCCTACTCCATCTTGGTTGCTATGCAATAGCGCCCTCTATTGACTCACCTGTTGACATAGAGGGATTTATCAGCACCCAGTGAGTAGAGACTGCTGAGGAGTTTGTAACAGGCTACCTGCACCTGGTCCACTGTGGAAAAAAAACCAAAAAAAACAACAACAATAATACATGGAGCAAAAGTAACGCAACTTGTGTATTTGATCATAAAAATGAAGAAAACTTTTTTATGTACAATGTTACTTTTAATTTCAGGAGTAAGGTTGAATTGTGATGGTAAGTTTGGAATATGACATTGCAACAGAAGAGCTGCTGGAACAGAGGCCACATTCCTGACATGTATACAGTGGGCCACTGAGATTACCTAACATTGCACATCGTTGCTCACAAAAAGAAATCAAACTTAAAAATCGTACAAAAGGCAGTGATGGATATGTGGCCGTGCCAGTTTCCGAATAGTTAACTTCATTTTCACAGAGGATTTCTCTGATTGGCTCTTATAACGTCACATTGGCTGCGTTGGCTTTCTTTGAGTAAACACTAGTTTGCCGGAGGAATGAAAGACGACTGCCGGCAAACTAATGTTTACTAAATAGAAAGTTAGCATAACCAATATGATGTAATTATACAGGAGTCAATCAGAGAAAGCCTCTGTGAAAATAACGTTGACTAAAAGTGTGGTTTGTTGCCGAGTATTTGTTGCCTTTGGTAAACGAAATACCATACAAAATTGTTGCCATACAGATGCAAATTTTTTTTACCAAAAGCAGCATTTGCTTTTACGTGTCTTCAATCACTCAAATAATTGTGGTCAACAAATTAAGGCAACTTTATACGTGGTGAAAATGCAAATGTATATTTGTGAGGTCGCAAATATAGGCTTTAAATTTGCAAAACAATGACGCACTTTAAATCTGGCATTTAAGCCACAAATGAAATCCCATTCACATGAAGTGCAAATCAGCTCTGAGCACACATGCAACAAACTCCCAAAAGTTTAACACATATCGACTCCAGCAAATTCAGCCGCCGTAATTAAAACCAATTAACATGAAGTACATGAACCAGGCTTGAGTCTACTAGATAGCAATTCGGCAAAAAAAACCGGTGCCCTGTGAACTGGTACTCACAGAGTATATCCTGTCCAAAATGGTACCTCCCCAGGTGGCTGAAGAGGCTGGTCAGTACAGGGATGAGGACCCCAGGTACGTAGTTGACCACCATGCTACCCTTGACCACCTGTGTGGTCTTGATGTGAGTGAAGCGGCCGTTCTTCACGTTCTGGACGGTGGCGGTGAAGTCGTCGGCTGCATGCTGGAAGAAGCTGACAAGACCTTTCTTGACCACGTCAGAGCTGTGCTTCATCACGGAGCTGATGTGTTTGAGGATTTTTTTTTGCAGAGGCGGGACAAATATAAAAAGTATAAGTGAGCATGAAAAATGGACAGAGGCATGACTTTTGACATGCATCCTGTAGTAATACTCCACTTAGGAATTTATCGAAAGGATGATCATTTTATGAGGGAAATCAGAACTCCAAAAGGCTTCAGAAGTCTGCAATTGGTAACAAGTTGATTAGATATACCTTGCATCCATAGACTGGGCAACGACCCTCAGACATCTGATGATGCACTGTAGATCCCGGCCTGGGAAGGAAATAAAATGCCATCGTTATTCCTCCACTGCTCTCATAGACCTTTAATCCTTGATGAGTCTCAGACTGTTCGTTATTTAATCTTGAAATCGTTTCTGTTGGTTACTGACAGGCAAAACAAATTTTCGAAACATCTCTCTGAAGTATTTCCCCCCAAATTAAACAGTTCGATGAAAATCAGCGTTACGTGACCACTACATCCAACTTCATAAACAAGTGCGACGTAGCCCATATGTCTGAGACTTATCAATATTTGTTTTCATCTTAAAGCAATAGAAACTTGTGGCGCATACAAAACAATTGGTCCTAAATGGGCTTTTAGCAACCACACCAAAAACTTACTTCCACTTTCTTTCCTTTCTAACATCTGCCTCTGCACAAACTTCCTTTAAATTTCCTTCAAACTGTTCCACAAATTAACTTTCTTTTCCCTATCGCAATGTGGCGCAAGCCATTTTTAACTAATAAGGGGTGGATTTTCTTAAAACTCACCGAACAGGTTGATCTTCTGTCTGACTAAATGTGACAACTTGCAGAACAAACTGCACAGAGAAAAAAAAATATCGTAAGTGATGAAACGTTTGTTTAAACTGAGCACTAACATTTTTCTAATTTATATTCGTCTATATCTTCTCAACATGAAACTTTCAAATATACATTATACCTGTTCACAAGTTGTGATTCAAACTTTTCAGATACAATGAAGCCAGTCAGATATTACCTTGAAAATTAGTCAGACAAGATATTGTATCTCAGCAGTGGAAGAAAAAATTAACAAAATAATTCACTTGGGGGGGGGGGATTATAGCTTGATGACTGCTCATCACAATAACCATGGCGGGGAAATTATAACTTGCAATAACCATGGCAAATGGCACAGAGTTTACAGGATCACTAAATAAAGAAAATAAATAGAAATTATAAAAAAAATTGAACAGGCCAAATGTGACATAGATAAATGAAACGGAAAAGTTCCTACAAAAAGTTTGGCCAATGCACTTCATGCATTATTGCTACTTCATTTAAATGTACTTTGAAACCTAAATCTGAAAGAAAGTTCAAAGAAAAACATTCAGTTATACTGCAATTGTTCATTAATATGAGGGAATTCATGTCATCTCATAATAATGATTGAATAATAAAAAAAATGGACAAAAACTAGGTGTTTAAAACAAACTTTCAGAGACAAATCCTTGGCATTCCACTATGGATGTTTTTTTTGGGAACCCACTGTACCAGTAATTATCGTGATTCTATTGGTATGTTGAAAGTACAGTAATCTTAATTTTAAATACCCGCATCCATAAATATGTTAATACAATTGGTCACAGGATATCTCTTACTTGCGGGAAACTTCTAGTCATTGTTTCTAAGACTGCAATGGCACTTCTCATAGTTATTTCATTTGAGTAAAGTTAATCACTGAAATGAAAACCCACGTCACAAATTGTAATGACCAACTGCAACACGTGTTACAATGAGAAGACTGTTCAACGCTGATTATATGACAATTTACTTGATACAATGAACAACGGACAGCGCTTGCTTCTTCGAGATAAAAAGAGTACAGTATCTGTCAAACATTAATCCTTAGGATTGAGGACTGTTAGGGCTATACATAATGAAACGTAAAGTAAAACACATCAGCAAGGAAAGCCCCAATAAAAGAGAAAGGAAACGACAGAAATTTATTTTGCAAATGGTGCAACTTTGGGAAAAGTTCACATAAGCACAAGAAATGGCCAGTCCAAGTCATTGACAAAGTTACAGCTGATAGAAACAGCGAAGAAAATTGTTGTACTTATGGCTACTTATTAATAACAATAACAAATTTCTAGCTTTTGCTTTCATGAAAACAACGGCTCAAAAGGTTGCCTTGATCTTGGGGAACGGGTCTCATTTTTGGCTTTTTTAAACGTTTATTTTCATTATAATAAAGCCTTCAAATCTTTGGGTCCTTCTGTCTACAATTACAAAAAAAAACACTACAACGACTCTACAAATAAATCACATATCACGGTTGAAAAGTTAAACAAAATAACTTCTTATATTTTTGTACTAAGTCAGGAATGGTGCTATAACATCATGAAACAATAAACAATAAAAATCACACAGAAAAACAAGATGGAGATGTTGTCCAAATCAAATAAGTAATCAGGGATTTTTTCCACACAACTAAGGTGTCACACTTTTCTCCAATGAGCTGAGGGGTCATAAAATAAAATGCTTATATCTTAAAAAAAGAAGAAGAATTGTTACGAGGTTTTTCATGCAGCCAGGGGAGATGCACTTTCAAAACGGAAACAGGATTTGGATTTTTCTTTTCATGCAGAGTTTTTCAGCCTCTCACCTTGCCACCATGATCGTTTCCACTGGGGAAGCACCAGTCTTGGCAGGTTGCCCACTTTTTAAGGAGTGGACGGGGTTGTGATGGTGGGGAGGGGGGGGGGGAGTTGGAGGGGTGAGTAGCAGGGGGGTTGAAAGGTCAGTTTGGAGGTATTGTAAGGAACATTACACATTAACCGGAATTGTATCACATTTCTGGAAATATGCAAGACATGTGTCCACAGTGTAGCAAGCACACATCATGTGCATGCACAATACTGCTTGGGGTTAGGCTTCTCTGCTGTCTGATGACCATACATGTACAAGCTTGCAAGTTATAAGCAGTCCATCACAAGACAGTCAAAAAGTCTAAGAACAAGTCCCGTACCAATTAAACAGTGGATGAAACAAGAAAAAAGAATGCCTTTTGTTATAATTCATTTCAAGAGCCCATCACTTGACATGAGATGACTTGTGATTGACTTATGATTGACTTGCGATGCCTTGTGATGACTTATGATTGAGTTGTGCATGAGTGATTTGGGATCGACTTGTAATGACTTGTGATGGTCTGTGATGTCTTGCGATGCCTTGTGATGACTTGTGATCAATACGTGATTGACTTATGATTGACTTTGTTAATGACTTAAGATTGACTTGTGACTGACTTGTGATGTCTTGTGATTACAACTCTGTGGGATACATTAATCAACACAGCCTGCATTTCCAAAGATTCCATAAGCATGATCAAGCGTACAGATTATTGTCCCCTGAAAAAAAGCTTGTGCAATATTATCTGGCATACATTATCAAGCATAGTCTGAGCATCACCCGTTATCCACGGAGCCATCTCCTGTCTAACGTCTGATATGTCAAAGCATGCAGATTTATGCAAGCCGCGCGCCAGCCAATCGGAGTCGACTTTAATAAATCTTGACGTCATTTCATTTCAAAATCAGGACTAACGCTGTGATTGGTCAATTCGAATGCAGCGTTTTGTAATACAACAACAGCTGGGAGCGCATTCGCGTAACATGATACCGAGCGCCGCGCGGTGACATTTTTTTTTAAAATCCATGTCTATGACGCGCAACGGGTGAATGACCGAAGACCCGATAGACCTAAGTGCCTGCTGATTGGTCAAAATCTAGGAAGTCAAGAGGCGGGGTCTTGCCTAATTAATCAGCAAATCTGTTCGCGCATAATAGACCACGGCATTCGCCGTGGTCTATTACATAGACTATATCAAGCATGCTTCTGTGGTGTAAATGCGTTAAATGCACATTTGACTTGACACAGGGAACTCTCATGTGAGCTTGCAATCACAAGCAAAAAAACATGTACCAGCATGCACTGCTTTCTAGTTGTGTCTGCCTCTCGTGATTAGTAATTATTCTTTGTATGGAGTGGAAACTAGAAAATATAATTATAGGGAATCATAAAAACTTTGAAAGATGATACCTTCATACATCATGTACATGTGTATCATTTGAACTACATATCTGTCTATTCTTTTTCATGGACTAACTGTAGCGCCATTCATAAATGTAACATGACAGTTCAAACTGTGTTTTTATTTGGCATACAAATGTCGATACAGGCATATTTTTTTTAAATGGTTTGCACAGCAAAAATGGAAGTTCCATCCCACGGTAAATAGAACTTCCACTGCACGTTACACATTGGTTGTGCCTTCAGGTACCGGTAGCTCCGATGCTGTACTTCAATAATACCAGTTAATTACGAGGATTTATTCAGGAGTTGTATAAAACAAATAATGAATGTTTCACAATTGTGCAATGGAAAGAATAATTTCTTTCGGTGACAGATGGAATGTTCCATTCCACTCCTGGAATGGAACATTCCATTTGTCATCTCATGAACTATTCTTACCATTGCACTCATAAACATTCATTATCTGTATAATATAGTGACCAATTTCTCGCACCATAAACTGTACTGAGTCGTTTATTTTTTTATGCATGAGTATTTTTCCTGTCATCGTTTTGGTTCCATCTCTAGACTGTGTTTCTTGGACTAAAGGTGGATGTATACTGAAAAAGCAAAACTGAAAGCCAAGTAAACTTCATGACTTCAACAACTGTAGCCATGGTCCAGTGGTTACGGTGTTTGACTCATGTACGATGGTGCGTGGGTTCAAACCCTGCCAGGAACATGGTATTTTTTTTCCTTGGCCACGACACTTCACTACAATTGCCTCTCTCCACCCAGGAGTGTAAATGGGCATGTGTAAACACCGGCAATCATGGTCCTAGGACAAAAGGGTTAGGGCACAAACAATACGTCCACGATTGACCGAAAGTCCACGATTGAAATTCGTGTACAAAACCAATGAGAGCTGTCGCTAAAAAGTTAGAGTACAAACAAAGGAATGAGGATTACGGACATTAGAGGGTCTAGGATTGCCGGTGTTTACAAAGATATGGGTACCTGTGAGGGTAGAGGACCAAATGTGCGCTGATATCGGCCGCCGCGTGGTCTCATGGCCTGATGAACGGGGGAATAATTGTACAGCGCTTTGAGATTGTTGATACGATGGAAAGCGCTATATAAGCATTACCATTTATTATTTCATTGTGGATGTATTTGCATGTGATCCTCACAAATTTGCTGTGCTCAGAAATTAAGGAAAATACACACTGGGCTTTAAGACGATATTTGTTGTCACTCTTAAGGTTGATCTTATGTCTGGTTAAAATCATGCATCTTGTATGTGGTTTCTTCATATTGCAGGCAATATTCTCCATGTATTTCTGCTGCCAACGCATGCATGAATTACACCGGGATGCTGAAAATGCATGTAGCTGAGGGGAACAGGCAAAGGGAAATGAAATCACCATAACGTGCACCGATTAAGACTCTTTATCGCCTGCTGCCAAGTTGATGGAACAAAGATACAGCAACTCCTAGGAAGCTTGGTGGTCGAGTGGTTAAGACATCTGTGCTAGTAAGCAGGAGGCCATGGGTTTGGTTCCCACTCGAGTAAGCTTGTGAATTTCTTGTAAATTTCTTGTAAGCTCTATGACAGCACTGTTTATGCAGTGCTGATGAAATTATGTTGATGGAGGGCAAAAGCCAATACTACATTCCTTTACTGCAAGCTTAATCTTAATGCAGCATCCACAGATGGCAAAGTTTAAGGACTTTTGAATAAACCTGAACATCAAAAATACGTCATAAATCCACTTCTAGGTGGGTTCGCAGGCCATCATCGAACTGTGTCAATCCAGTAAGAACGTGTTCACTCTCAGTATTTCTATAAAAACTACACAATTGCCAGAAATATTTTGGCAAACCAATCACATTGGCAGCTGCTGGAGCATTTTAAAGGCCAAGTATGGAACTGTAAGTACAACTTCACTTCTGTTCCAAATTTCTCCAATACAGCACCTTCAGAAATAATAGAAAGATTACAACATACCTAGTGACCATTTCTTTCTCCCTGTAAGATGCTGAGCCATACCGTCCGCTTTGAGGAGAGTTAGGTGCAGACACAAAGTATGTCGAGTGAGCCAGGAAATACTTCTCAATCAAGGGCAGCACCACCTAGAAAAATGCAGGTCAATGTTAACAATTATACGGTTAATTGGAACACATTAGCTCATATCACACATTCTGCCTCATTTATTGGAAGTGTAAGTAATAACAATATTTTTTAGTATGCATGTCTGTTTGTCAGTCCCTTTATAATTTGTTCACTCGTTTGTCTCGTTTGTTTGTGATTTTAGTTATGGCATACCCTGCTCAAGCTGCACACACTATAAGTTATGCATCCCGTTCACTATTTAACTTTGGGCCAGCCTACTGTCTTCTGACTGACGGAGTAACCAAGTATAACAAACGTCCTGAACGTCCTAAACGTCCGGGGCAATTCCACAGATTCCCTAAAGCTAAACCTTCTAAAAACCAAAATTCCACTTTTGAAACATGTGTATCATTTTGAAGCTTATCATCTGTATTGTATTGAAACATTGTTTATTTCTAACAATGTTCAACAGTTGCTTTTCACTGAAAAATTATTTAATAAGTACACAAACAAATTTAATTTGTCTGAGTACGTCCAAAACCATGGTGTTTTCAAGCCGATTTCTGCAAGAGCAAAAATGTTGGATGAATAATTTTTTTTTTTTTTTTTATCACTGTAGTAACTTATTGATACGTTTTATCAGAATTAAAACCACTTTATGATTATTACTTTATTTACACTGTTGAATTGTCCAAAATGTATGTAACGACACTGCAGAACTGCCCCAGCTCAAATACGCAAGCCTACTATTCATTGGCAGTGATACTCAATTATGTAACAAGGGTATTTTCTTTGAATTCTTAAATTGTGAATTGCAGATAAGTGTCTCTGAAAAATGACAACTGAATTAACATAGATGTTGCAAGACATGAAGTGATCACTTTCAATCTCACCTTGGTGAAGAATTTGTAGCTCTTCTCTTCTTCTTTCCTCTTGTGCGGTGCTGGAAATGGGGAAAAAAAATGATCACGTTTGTGAAGTTTCTTTGATTATGGTTGCTTAATGTATGCAGCCCCATGAGATTTGGCCAACATTTCTAAGGCCACTCCACCACTGAGATTACTAAAGTTAGCTGGCTAAATTAGGGTGCGTTCGATTAGCACATCCGGGCCGAGTCAGTGGTGGAAGTACGTCATATGCATGCGTTGTTCATTCTAAGAAATGGACAAGAATGGCGGCCGGACAGCGGAGAAGATCAAGTGGACCCCAAAATCAACTTTATTTAAAGTCTAAACATTATAATTTAATTGAGTTCATTGCGACCTTAGAGGCCGCTAATTCCAGCCAGACTTGGTTACTTTTGGCGATTGACGGAAAAATAGTAAATCTCACAGTAAGGCCATGTAGGAAGGAATGGTAAGACTCAGTCTGAAAAGGGCGTTTTGTCAATGGCTACAGCCACGGGTACAGACGTCCAGGAGGATTGTGATGGCCGACGTTTGAGCTTTCGATTAGCCCAGCTCTCGTGGCTAACCCGTCTGCCTTTATCTGAGTGATCTACTAGATTGCACCCTTAAATACATTGCAGCATATGACAACATTCCTTCATCTGTCATGCAATAATCAATCTCAAGTTCTGAAGTTTCAACCTACCATCCCTCCACATTGGTTTGAGGTTTGAGTGCGCCTTGTCCACGTAGTGGAGTAGCTTCTCCAGCAGGTTGTATGCAAAGCGCTTCTCAATCGTACTGGCCCCTCTCACCAGACCATCTGCATCGTATTGTCTGCTTGTCCTGGGAAGACAAAAAAATGGAAAGTCATATTAACAGAAACTTGGACTATTGTTCCACGATTGTAAGTGGAAAGAACTCACAATTTGGAAGAAAAAAATAAGCACAATCTCATATCTTTTATATTCCACGTGCAACTATGCTCTCAGCAATAAAACAAAATATAAAAAAGTGATTATCATTCAAAGAAACTTGAATACCAATGTAACTGTGCAACCTTATTCTACTACAGACCAATCCCGACATGCTATCAATTCTATCCTGGTAGTAAGAAGTTGCGAAGTGTGGAAGAAGTCATCTATTACTCAAACATTAAAACTACTTGTCAGTTATCGATGACATATACAGAGATTAACAGGCCAAGTGCAATGCTGGAGTGAATTAGAATGGTCGGCTAAGATTTCAGTTTTGTCGGCTTCAACCCAACGTCTGTGTTACACTGACATACCCCATTAGCTTGGAAGGACCCAAATAGGCAAACAGAGAACAGGGACATGGAACGGAGAACTGATGGTGAATGTAAGTTTTCAAACATGAGACTTTCATGTTATTGTATAGTTTTCGCGATGCAAACTTTCGCATAGGTAGTTCATTATGAGTGCATTTTGAGCCCCCACAGTGTGATACAAAGGCATGCTTTACAAATCATTTGTGTAAACTCAAAATAATTGTCAAATGATACTCCTATAGATATTTAGTTCATTTCAAACAAGGGTGCAGATAGAGGGTTGGAGAATGGAGGGTTAGGGTGTCCCCCAGTCCCCCAAGTCGCCATTCTAAAAATGATTAGCGCCACCCATTGTTTGATAGTGTCCAAGATCGACATCTTTAAACAGCACCTCCACAAGCCACATGATGTCCAGCACCTCCCACACCCCCCTACCCTCCAGCACGGAGTAATCTGTTAGCAAAGTTATTGTCAGCCCCCCCCCCCAACTTCTTGGTCTGGCGATGTTCGCCATTGCATACATGTCATACAGATTCAGAACAATGGGCATTCCATTGATTCACCAAACTCACACAGTTGAACAAATTATATCAGAGCACTCTTCACAACATACAAAAACATATGACAAAATGGGAGGCGTTTGGCATGCAGAGTCACACTGTGAATGGATCTCACACATAAACATAGGTTAAGAATAGTATAGGTTGTTATTTCCACCACCATTCAGAACAAAAAAAAAAATTGGTGCAAAAACTCTTGCATGGATGGATCTGCAGATACATGACCAGAGGCCAACTTCTTGGAGCTGTTCAGCAGAAAGTATACAGGGTGAGTAAAAAAAACCGAAACCCAAATGTCAGGACTATTGTTTTAGTGAAGTTCTGCATGTAGCACCTTCAAAATCTAGGAAATAAAAGCCCAATTCAAAAGCTTTCTTTTAGTACAAGAATCATTCAAATCGCTAATTTACTTTTCAAGTTACGGAATTGTAAACGCAACCACCGTTTTAAAGTTCTGTCACGGATCACCAAAAAAGTAAGTGTTCTTTCAGCAAAACGAAAACAAATCACATAGGGATGTGTGTCAATTGTTTTCATTTTGCTGAAAGAACACACAACTAAACAATAACTCAACACTCCACTAAAACAATAGTCCAGACATTTGGGTTTGGGTTTTTTTAATCACCCTGTATGTCTGTTAAAATATAAGGGTCGAGAAAAAAATTACCTAAGAATCAATCACAAGCAATTTACAATTCATGACAATTTAGCGCGTCATCAGCTTGAATATGCCCGGCCAATACTTTCTGTGTGAAGTAGCCATTCAAAGAACTTGGCAAAAGAACCTTGCTCCAAGTTGGCAGACGTCTGCCAGTCATCTGCAAACCTATCAAGGGAGACTGACGGGTACCGGGTGGGGCTGTCTCATAATAAAAGTGCACAAGGGCTTCACAAGTACAAAAACATCAAACACAATTACAACAAGTACATGTAAATGCAAGAAAGAAACACATATAATCCACCATACCAAAACCGAGGCTGAGGTCACCAGAAAAAAAAAACAGTGATAAACCTATATGTTCTCTGCACATATCAAAAACACATCCATACTGAAGGGTACTTGAGTGCATCACGGTTGGAAATTGACTGAAAATTCTCCCTGCCACTTATAACGTTTGAAACGGTGTGGTGCCTGTGGGTTTGGGCCACTTATAACATTTGAATCAGTGTAGGCCTGTGGGTATGGGCCACTTATAACGTTTGAAACAGTGTGGGGCCTGTGGGTATGGGCCACTTATAACGTTTGAAACAGTGTGGGGCCTGTGCGTATGGGCCACTTATAACGTTTGAAACAGTGTGGGGCCTGTGCGTATGGGCCACTTATAACGTTTGAAACAGTGTGGGGCCTGTGCGTATGGGCCACTTATAACGTTTGAAACAGTGTGGGGCCTGTGGGTATGGGCCACTTATAACGTTTGAAACAGTGTGGGGCCTGTGGGTATGGGCCACTTATAACGTTTGAAACAGTGTGGGGCCTGTGGGTATGGGCCACTTATAACGTTTGAAACAGTGTGGGGCCTGTGGGTATGGGCCACTTATAACGTTTGAAACAGTGTGGGGCCTGTGCGTATGGGCCACTTATAACGTTTGAAACAGTGTGGGGCCTGTGGGTATGGGCCACTTATAACGTTTGAAACAGTGTGGGGCCTGTGGGTATGGGCCACTTATAACGTTTGAAACAGTGTGGGGCCTGTGGGTATGGGCCACTTATAACATTTGAAACAGTGTGGGGCCTGTGGGTATGGGCCACTTATAACGTTTGAAACAGTGTGGGGCCTGTGGGTATGGGCAAAGCAATGTTTCATTCTATGACCCCCCTCTATCTTCTGTACATCGAGAAACTATTACTTGCAATGCAAGCGTCTAATTTTAACTCGTCCATAACAGCCCAAGCTTTCTTGGTACATGCTTTGTACTTTGGTTTTGGCCGGTAGAGGGTTTCTACAAAATACTTCTACAATAACAAGATAAACAGAATGGTTAAACTGTTCTATCACAAGTGTAAACATGTCAATTATGTGGGGTTCATGCAATTTCATTAGATGGGAACAAGGGAATCTGGAAAGGAAATTAGAGTAGAGAAATAGCAACAAAGAACATTTAAAAAAGAACACATACAAATAAATTGTTGTTAATGGTTACCTCTTTTCTTCTTCCTCTTCACTGGATCAACACAAAAGTTAGACAAATCGATGGTGAAAAAAATATATAGGAGACTCTTTTTCTTGTGAGGACCAGTATACAGAAACTGTATACGTATAAAAGTTAGTATTATTTTTAATACACAAACTTTAATAACACATCAAATTAGATTTAAATTGGTTCATACCAACTATTTTTCTTATCAGGAACTTTCAATATTACTCCAAATCCTTCACTTTGATGGGAATCAATTCTCAATATTTGAACAATCAAGGGGCATTACGCCCATGTGAAATAACAGTGGCTGAGCAGTGCCTCCCTTCAAGGCATATAGGATCATTTGCTTTTCATATTACACTTTTCAAGAAAACAGTGCACAACCTTTTGATCACAAAACATGATTGCGTCCACAACACTCTGTATTTCCAATGATCTATTGACTGGTCGTTGGAAGTCACCTACATTTCTTGATTTCTTCTTAATGACAGCAAGCCAGACGTAATAAATTCAGGTGGTGTTTAGCACCAGTACGACCTTTAATCCAAGTAGGCTTTTTGATTATAATTAGGTAGGTTACTTTTGGGATTAATGCAATTGATCCTATATACCTTTAATCCTTCAAACCAACAGTAAAATCTGATGGATTTGGGAGTGTTAGGGTTTATGTACAGGACCGAGCTTGATAAAATTAAGACCAACGTTTTTCAATGGCATACTGGAATTCTTAGATCAGAAATTACAGAAGAATTCCATTTTAGCAAAAAAAATCTTATTTGACTTTATGCTGGTGCACTAGAAAGAAGAAGGATGCATGAGGGTCTAAGTCCCATCCAATTACAATTTTGTGATTTGTTTTCTCAAAAGCTGGTGGAGACAACTATGTTTATAGTGCTTATGAAATGCTGTCAATTAAGGGCAAAAGCCAATACTGAACATATTTTGGGACCCACAAAAAAAAAAAAAAATTGATGACGTAGTGAAAATTTGATAGAGTAGAAATACGAGGCATGAAATGCACAAAGCCACATATCTGTTAAAGCAGAGCTAATTACAGCAGTGGTAAACTTGGTAGTTAGTGATTACCTGTGCAAGCGGTATCCATTAACCTGCAGGAATTTGAGCAAGACCTGAGCCATCTCACGATCTTTCTTCTTCTCCTGGTCAGTCAAGATGTCAAAGGGCACCAGCTGGGCGTGGCAACCTCCCCCTGTCGGAGTTACCCAAAGAAAAAATACACAAAGTAAGTCTAAAGGCCGAAAAATACTTTACTTGAAGTTGACTTGTCACGACATTTGCAGCAAATTTCGTCATGCTTGGAAAATGCAGATTTGCAAACGTACTAAATTTCACGTTTGAACTAAATATTTGAATTGAACATCTGAACTGAATGTCTCAACTGAAATTGAGCTCAAATTGATGTTTGCATTTGAACCTCATTTCTGGTAAAATTTGTGCTCAAATAAATGCTGTTGATACAGACAGTTCTGACTCTTTTCAAGTACCAAAGTTAAAAGTAGCCTTAACAAAAATATATTTAACCAAATTTTTTTTGACCCAACCCAACAAAATTAGTAAGTTACCAGACCTACTCTGGAGCAACAAGCCTGTCAACAAATAATAGATCAGTCCATTTACGACAGAAGTCTTAACACTGACCAAAGGTAGTCAGAGACAACTGACCTGTTGTATCCATTTCCACCTTGGTCTTCCTGGCCCAGACGTCATGTGCATTCTCAGCAAGACGCTCGGCCATGGTCTGAAATCCAAATATATGGTTCGTGTAATACAGGTGATAAAACAAAACAAGATGGAACCGATAAAGTGCTACGTTTGTAGGTACACCACAAAATTGATCTCTTTTGTGGATCTGATCAGAACCAGTGGTAAGAGACGCTCTCAATGTTTCAGAGAGAATACTGTAGGATGGCGAGAAAACCAGCGTTGGACAGTGTACCATCAAAATCATGTAGCACACTTCTCTCCACCATTTTTTTTTACAAGAACCAAACTCCTTCTCAGAAGATATTAATTCCATGGTGTACCCACAGACTTACCACTTTATTGCACAATTCTACTTTGAAAAGCTTCAAATTGCATTTAAAATGGAACCGGGTAACCCCACTCCCTCCCCCTCCCATTTAATTACAGAAGGGTATTGGAATTTCTGGGTGCCTGCTATAGTATGTAAGTAAGGTTAGGTTATGAAGTTCATCTCTCTCTAAAGCACGCTATATGACATGGGTCACAAAAATCCAGTTCGGTTGAACAAATTGTTTCTGAGCAAGCATTTGCCCTTTAAATGACACCATTTTTATTTCTTCACAGTTGCATTTTTAGGACTTAAATGCAAAAACCTCATCAATTGTTAATAAGCATGCTGCAGTAGAGATAACATCACCAAAATTAAAGTTCTAATTTCTTAACCCATTGTCAACCACAACAGTTTGAACTGAAATGCCCATAGCGGCCACAAATACCAAGTCTGCACTTCCAAAAAATTGAACCACTGGACACCAAGAGTACAATATCTCCCATAGGTAGTTTGCGTTACAAATCAAATAGATAACATGAGTTACGTTTTGAATGTTATTTTTTTGAACAGCAGAACAACTTACCTGCATTTCTCTTGTCAGGGTGATGTTGCTCATGTCAATGGGTCGTGGATTGTAACCATGAGGGGATTCCATGGCACCCTGTGGGGGTTAAAGGTGAAAGGTCATTGAAAAGGTCAATGAACTGTCAAAACTCAAAAGCGACATCCAAGCCAAAAATGGTGGAAAGACAACCTGATGCTACTTCAGCGGTTGTGTACAAAGTCTATGGAGAGTCAAGAAAATTGTCTAAGTATTTTCTAACAAAAATTGGAAATGTTTCTCAGTCCCAGATTCTGTCTTTTCAACATTTTTGCAATGACTGACCTTCATTAAGATGATATATGAAGAAAAAAGCAGCATCAGGTTGCAATATTCTTTCCAAAGTGGTTAACCACTTGTCCTGCAGTGCTCTTTAATTAAATCCTTACACGTAGGTTTGATTTGGGCAGGAGTATGACCCTTTCCTGTGCAGAAAAAAATTCTGCTGAGAGACAAGTTCACCGGTATATTCTTTCCATGAACATAATTTTGTTTTACTTTGCTGAAAGAATGGCACAGAATTTAAATGGCTTGCCCACATTCTCATTGAAAACATAAAATTGATAATTGATGAATTAAATAAAATGCTTAAGAAGACACTCTGTATCCACTTCAAACTGCTTGCTCCTTGAGGCACTGAAATACACACTTGACGTTGGCAATTATCCGCTCACCAAGCTTCAACAACTTTTAACGTAAACATTCTCATATCAATCACAGAGAAACAAGAAAATGTTTTCACACTAGAAACTTTTAAACTTGTAAATTTAGGAAACCATTATTGGCAGTGTACTAGGCAGGACCAGACAGTCTTGTTCTGTAGTTGTGGGGACATAACACTCGTCTGTATGAGGTATTTGTGGGGACCGAAAACGCTGTGAGGACATCAGAGAAAGTCCCCATAACTTGGTCCTAATTTGCCTAACAACAAAAACTTCCCCATAACGCGGTGTAGGCCAGGGCATGGAATCTGATTGACAGATACATGAAAATAATGGCAATATGGATCTAAGAAGCCTCATGTATATTCCAACAACACATCTCTGACTACTTTTGAAATGATGGCTCTTCTGGACCTACCAGGCTGGTTTTGGAGAGGCGTCTGGGTCTGTGTGCGTGGGCGTGTTGTTCAGGGACTTTACTCTTCTCAACAGCCCAGCCCCAGGCTAGGATGGCCTTCAGGCTCTCTCTGATCACGTCTCGATAACTGTCCTTCTCCTGAGGGGCAAAAATGATAACAATATTTTACAGTTGTGCATTTTGTTACAGGAGTGCTGAAATCGTCGGTATAATGCACACTAGTTGTACAGGAACCGTTGAACACATTGTGTGGCTTACTTGTGAGTCGGAGGACACGTCGCAGTCGTAGCCCCCTCCCTAAAAAAAAAACGTTTGGACATGGTCTCATGGCAGACAGAAGCACTAGAATAATTACGTTTAAGGATGTGACTTTGCGTTTAATTTTGTTAATGTTTAGCAAATATTTTAAGAACTGTTTAAATGTGTAAAGCCATTCACAAAGGCTGACGCCTGCCTATTATGTCTGCAGACTGGCGTGATTGACATGATCAATCAACAATGATTGACATAATAATTAAAATAATTATGCTTATATAGCGCTTTCCATTGTACCAACAATCTCAAAGCGCTTTACAATTATTCCCCCATTCATCAGGCCATGGGACCACGCTCAATCGGTCCTCGACCCACACAGGTACCCATTTATACTCCTGGGTGGAGAGAGGCAATTGTAGTTAAGTGTCTTGCCCAAGGGCACAAACACCATGTTCCTGGCAGGGTTCGAACCCACCCACCTTCGTACATGAGTCAAAAGCCCGTAACCACTGGACCATGGCATTCTACAACGGGCAGTCATTGAAAAAGTAAAAAGTTAAGTGCATGTACCCCAAATGTTATCAATGTTATCTCTGTAATGCTTCTAAAGTTTTGTAAATAAAATAGGTTTGAAAGCATGGTCAATTATTTGTTTAACTAAAAGGAAGATCGGGTGAACGTGGGTCCCTTTTTTATAATTCGGATTTTGTTCAAAAGTTTTGGAAAATTTGTAAATGGATTTAGAACTTTTTCATTGAAAAGTTTAAACGTGGAAATGTCACATCCTTAATTTTGTTTACAAAAGATTTGAAGTATTTCGATGAGAGGAATACGCCAGTTGGGTCTTTCAATTGCGCATGTGCACAATGAAATGGTTCACGGGTCATTCAGGATAATCGAACGCGCATCGAAGGCACATGAACCCGCTAGAAGACAGTCGCACAATGCTCACGAGTTAATTGCGAGCAGAACGGGCTTTCATGTAACATCCTGTAACATCACGTCAGCGATTTTATTCTGAATGACCTTTGACCTGAACTACTTCATCAAGACACCGACCTGGCGCATTAGGTCTGCATTATTTTCTAACTTTCAGATTGATGTTCCAGAGTTGCTCCCAAATCAAATAGTATTAGGAGAGACGCAAACCAAGAAGAGTTTGGTTTTGAACAGGCAAACTTTATGTTCTAATTTTCCACTGACTGGACTCTGGAGTCATTACAAATGACAGCAACAGTCAATCTTTCAGTGCAGTGGCTCTTTACGATTTCAAATGTCAAAGGGTTCCTGTACTTCAGACTACATGTAAGTTACCTTGGTATGGTTGTTAATTAATCTTCTTTTTTTACCTTAGGATGGAGGGTGCGGTAAGGTCTTAATGACGGGTGTTCCTTCATGGCAGCATTTTCAATCTCCCCATGGGTCCAACCAGCCTCAAACTAAAAAAATTACAAAGTTAATCAACTTTATTTTTCAACTTTGATTTAGCTTCAATAACTGATTGCTCTGGTTAATTTCATTAAAATTCTGTCACATTTAAAACATGTGTAAGACAAAGCACAATCTACTTTTGTTCAAAGATTCAGTACGCTCTACGTATGGGTATGAATAATCTTTAATGATGAAAACAAAAATGATGTACTTATCTGAGTGCCTTCAATCATGGTTCAATGATTTGTTTATTTTTAATCAAAATATTTATTAAAAGTAGCCCACCCACACTCATAAGGAGTGTCACCAAAAAAGACCCCAACTTTTTATTTCACAGTATTGAGATATTTGAGCTACTTGTCTTAGCGGGAAAAAAGTTGACTCCTGAATGACTCGATCACAACCCTGGCATAGTCGTATACACCGAGTCTGAGTGTCGGGTACAAGTGTGTGACTCACCATACTGAGTGCCCAGGCATCGTGAAGATGCTCAGCGAAGCGATCACTGAAAGACAGGAGGTTCTCGTTCAGCAAAACTCTGTCAAGGGAAAAAATCATTGACAAATTATTCAATCTGGATACAAATTTTAAATAACTTAGATCAACTCTATGAGCAGTTTTGCTTAGGATTTCTCATATCTTTGGCAAGTCAGGTTGGCAACGTGTTTCTCCCACCTCCATGACCCAAGTTGGAATTCCATCCAGCTCAAAATGTGAATTTGTGTATTCGGTCCCTACCTGGTTCTATAGGTTTCTTTGGAATACTGTGTAGGGTTTACATTTCTACATCATCTTTTCTTTTTAAGTTTTTAGGGCTTCTGAAATACAAATCCTTGAATTCATAACCAGAAAACCTATAAAAAAAAGAGAGAGCACCATTCCATGGCACTTTGCCTTAGATTAAGATTCTTGCATGGATATCTCTTGGCAAGTGGGGAAGACATCAAGTCTTTTTTTTTTGGGGGGGGGAGTTACATTCAGCCAAACTTCAAGGAGTGCTTTCCACAGTGACAGTAAACTACTTTTTTTAAGCTGCCTTTCTGTAAGTAAATTTCAAGTCTGCATATTGAGTCCTAGGACACAAAAGAAACTCAAAAACATGCTCAAGAGGACAAACAAAAAACTCAAAAACACGTTCAAGAAAAGATGGCTTTATATTGATTAGAATTCTGTTTTCGGGGAATCACGCAGTTTTTGTACCTTGATGTCTCCACGGGTTTTGGTTGGTACAGCCCGTCTGCATCAAAGCTTGACTCTCGGATGTAGCTAGCATCATTGTAGGCCATGGAGTAGTCTGGGGGTAAGGCGCTACCGATGGCTGTCAGGCAGGGTAAGGCCTTGTCAAACATCTCTGAGTCATACTCCTGTAATGAGTGAAAACAAACCAACAAATTGAGTCACAAGTCACCAGAACTACTTGTGAGTGATGGGCCTTTTAATAACTGTTGCACAATGAACTCATTGGGAATATTCTCCATCAGGGACAGTACGTGCTGCTTCAAAACTCATGCTATCAATTGTTTAAAGGTATATATGAGCATTTGCATTTATCCCAATAGTAAACTACCGGTACCAAATTGTTATTAAAAAGGTTACTTGGACTGGCACAACACCCCATGACATTATTCTGTCTGGGTTATTTTCCAACGATCAGTCAAATTGACTGGTTTTCTTTTTAAATAGAGTGATGCTGAATGCTGACAAAATTATGTTTTGTGATAAAAAAAGTTGTCCATGATTTTTCACTGTTTCCTCGAAAAGCGTAAAACCCAATGAGCTGAAACTTCAACAGTTTAGGTTTTGAACATTCATCTTACAATTTTGAGTGGTGTTTTTATTAGAAATGAACATGCATGAAAAGCAAATGATCCTCTATGCCTTTAACCCATTCTCCATTGTATCACAGTGTACAACGCTGTATTTAGTCCTCAATGAATCCCTAAAACCATAGAGTGCAGGGGCTGTCTGGCGTGGTATAAGGAGCAACAGGCAGGGCACCCTGGGGCAGTACAGGGACTAAAGGGTAAATAGACGGTGGCTTACCCTGTCAGCCAGTGCATCAAAGAGTCCAGTAAACAACATCATGGTCAGTCTCTTCTCTTCATCGTTAGCCATGCCATGGCTGCCCCAGCCACCGATGCTACCGTAGTAGTTGATGCAACGCTCATAGTGCAGCTGCAACAGCTACAGATACACAAGGAAAAAAAGAAGTATAATTTTGCAGAAAACAGTGCTTTGAGAATACCAAGAAATTTGGGTTTTTTTTAGTGTAACAAGATCCAATTGTAAGCTGCAAATTGTTTGCTCAATGGTGCAAAAGGGCTGATCAAAATGTAACTTTTGTAGACGTATCCTTTGATGGAACTGTCAAAACAAGGAGAAATTTATGTACAGTTGAGATTTGACCTTGCAGGCTAGTGATTTCTCAAAAGCTCTTGTACAACACATCGTATTGAGAGACTATAAAATTACATTGGGCGAAAGGCAAAACCAAACATTGAAATTAAGCAGTGATTTTTTTTTTTTTTCATGAAGGTAATGTACCTTTTAATATTTTGTAGTGCTAAAAAAAATCTGTTTCAACTAACCAGACAACCCAGGCAAGTTCAGAGGTTGTCTGGTTAGTGTCCTATCAGCTACTGAAGTTTTTTCAAACTTTAGAAAAGCACTATTAAGGCCAACAAAAAAAAGTCTCCGGTTTCTGGTATGGAGCTTGCCCAAAAAGTGGTGCGGCGACGCGGCTTTTTTTTTTTTTACCTGATTTTTTTGCTTCAAACGGTCGGCTGATGACTGCAAATGGTGCCCGACTAAACTTAGTGCAAATATATGGGAGTCCAGAGAGGTCACACAGAGCTTATACTCGACCATAACCCAATCTAAAAACACGTTAAAATTGTGCAGCAGCAGGATTCCAGTCAAACCAGCGAGTTTGGTGCTTTTGAGACATCATCTTTCATTGAAAAAAAAAACGTTTTCATTTTGCCGACACGCATGGCTACGGCGACGCGCGCGCATACCAGAAACCGGAGACTTTTTTTTTTGGCCTAAACCATATACCTGTAGTTCTTCTAACACTTCTATAGCTGTCTTTGTTTCTTCCTACCTTAAGGGCAACGTAGGTGTGTTCAACAAGAGCAGGCACATCAATGATCAACTTCCGCAGTAGGCGCTGCATCATACTGGGTCGCAGGCTCCTATTGCATACAAACAAACAGTAACAATATTGTTTGAAATCTCTTGTTCCTTTTTTTTTCGCAATGTGTGTGTGGCAGGGGTGGGAGAGGGAAGGGCCCAGGGTGAGGCAGGAGTGGGACATGGGTGAAGCAGGGGTAGGGCAGGAGTGGGGCAGGTTAGGGCAGGAAAGGGGTGGTAGGGCTGACAGGGGTTAAACAGGGGTTGAACAGGGATGGGGTAGAGGTGGGGCAGAGGTGGGGCAGTGGTGTGACAAGGGTGGGGAAGAGGTAGGGCAGGGATGAGTAAGGAGGCAGGAGTGTGGCAAGGGTGTGGTATGGGTGGGGCAGGGTGGGGCTTGATTGGGACAGGGGTGGGAAGGGGAGGCAGGGGTGGGAAGGGGACGCAGGGGTAGAATGGCATGGCTGGGGATTGGGCTGGGGTGGCTGTGGTGGGGCATGGGTAAGGCAGGGGTGTGGCAGGGGTAAGGCAGGGGAGTAGTATGGGTGGGGCAGGGGTGGGGCTTGATTGGGACAGGGGTGGGAAGGGGAGGCAGGGGTGGGAAGGGGACGCAGGGGTGGTGCAAGGAGTGGGGCAGAGGTTTAACAGGAATGGGCCGGGGAAGTGGGTCAGGAGAAGGTAAGGGTTGGGTCAGGGGTACGGTAGAGGTAGGACATTGTGAGGCATGGTGGTTTGAGTAGGGATTGGGTAGGGATTGGACAAGGATAGGGCAGTATTGGGGGAAGAGCTTTAGCAGGATTTTGCAGGCAGAGCATGGTTTGGAAGGTGTGGCAGGGGTGGAGAAGGGTGGCAGGGGTTGGGCAAGTGTGGGCAGGGGTGGGACATGGTTGGCAGGGGCGGGGCAAGGGTTGAGTGGGAGTGAGGAAGGGTAGGGCAGGGGTTCGACCATGGATCCTCTATGTACACAAGGATAAATGACTCAACTGAGCTTGTGTGCAAAATGTACGGAACGGTTGTCTGCATGCGTGATATGCCGCGTTCGTGCGTTGAACAAAACATAGAACATGTAGAACAATACCCGCGCACCATGATCGCCGACAGTTGGCACCCAACAGAAATTTGACCACTGAAAGACTGCAGTTGCACACGGAGTCTAGCGCACGCGCACGCACGGGCCGTATCATGCATGTTACCAGAAATTTGGGGAAGTTGTTTATCCTTGGACAGAGGTGGGGTAGGAGTAATCAGGGTGAAGCAGTGGTGGAGCAGGCGAGGGAAGGTTTGAGCAGGGGTGGGGAAGGGGTGTAGATGGTGGCCAGGCAGGGGTGTGGATGGTGGCCAGGCAGGGGCAGGTCAGGGGCCAAGCAGGGGCAAGTACAGCATGGGTAGAGAGAAGGGGAAGGCACATTTGGGAGGAGCCAGGAGTTGGGCTTTGGATAGTGTGAGAGTTGGGGAGAGGGGTGGTAGATGGTGCTGTGGTCCAATGGTAACTGTTTTTCGACTTGTGTGCTGTGGTACATGTACATGGGTTCGAATCCTGACTGTGGGAACATGGTGCTTGTGCTCTTGAGCAAGGCACTTTACCATTATTGCTTTGTCCTTCGGATGGGACGCAAAGCCCTAGGTCCTGTGTGTTGTGCAATGCACTTTAAAGAACCCAGTAACACTTATCGCTAAGAGAAGGGGTTTGCCCCGGTGTTTCCGTCTCATATTTCTCATAAACTTCATTTACCTGTCTTTAATAATATACATAATTTCCAGCGCCTTGAGTACCTAATTGTTGGTAGATACGTGCGCTATATAAGAGCTATATAATATTATTATTAGAGACAGAGCCTGGGGGAAAGTGGGAGGTATTACTGTCTTTGAGACAATAGTAACTAATTAAGGCATGTTCTTGGATCCAGCAGCCATCTTAGTGTGTGTTTAGTTTAATTCATCAAAACAACGAATGCAAAGGAGGTGCTTTTGTGTGCATCCTGTGCAACAAAAGCATCACCCAAAGATTGCTGCAATGTAGGGGATCAATTACAAGTTATTCCTCATAATTTGATACCGCCAAAGACTCCACTATCTCTAGGATGTCGACCAAAAACTATTGGGAGTGATTGAACATGGTCTGAAATGTGTTTTCTTTTGAAAGCGTATAGTGTAAAATAAACATAAGACCTTTCAAACAATGCACATTTACATTTCATTTTTAATTTGTTTCCTTTATCAACGTCTAGAACAATATGCTGTAAAGATACATATACACAGTGAATCCTAAGAAGCAACACGACTAATCCAAATTAATCTAAATTGATCATTATTAATAGCCTTCTTTAGGTACAATTGATATTGTGCTTGCAATACAAGGGCTATTTACACAGAAAAATCAGCTACAGTTTCTCTAAAAGCTCTTCTGTTTTTAATCAAATGCTTTTTTACAACTCATCATATTTAAAGACATGATTACAATAGTAATAAAAATTTAAAACAGTTTCACAGGTTTGAAATTCCCTACTTGACATTGTCCTACATATCTTCAAAATAAATCTTTCGGAACATTAAAAAGAACATGCTTTTCAAAAGAGATTTTTCTTATCTTGTTCTTCCTTGCTTTACAGGGAGATCATGGAATAAACAAGAAACACTTGTAAACTGTACAGAAGCAGATTCTGCATAATCATTACAAAGTCTTCATCAGTGAACTATGGGATCTGTTTAGCAACAGTATATACAAGTATGCAGATGGCACTGTGAGCCAACTCATGTCAGCTCCAATGTTGAGGACACACTGCATGCTTTCGCTTTTCATTGGTTGTATACATAGTTTTTTTTCTCCATTTGAATGTACACAAACCCAGTGTCAGGAATGCCTTTAATATTTGAACGTGCAGCAGCAATCATCTCTCTCTTAGTTGAAATGTTAATTGTGGAGTCCATAGGTGATGCAAAGCAAGATGAGGGATGCATGGTTTACCAAGTGAACCATAGGAACTCAAAGTTAGAAGAGATTGAAATCTATTAGAATTGCGCTCATTCGATCTCTTCTTTCAATTTGAGTTGCATGGAAAATGCTGCTGCAAAAATGTGTAGTAAGTTCTAAGCAGATTTCTGGTAGCTTGTCGGATGTCCTTGTTCCTGAAGAAATAGATGACCACGTTCAACCAACTGTTTGTATAAGAGGGCAGTGCGAGCATGAAAAATGTTACCAAGCGATTCGCATACAAAGATGCACCAAGAAAAAAGTACAAAAGTGGCAAGAGGTTGAAGATGAATGCACTCAGTACAATCATGAGCAACGTGTACAGCATTTTATTGTTGGGTCTCGGAGGTGGATTACCTTCAAGGGCAGCTGGATTGCCAGCATGGATGCGCCGTTGGTGATGTCGAGAAATCAGAAAAAGTCTGATGTAAGTTACCAGAATGGTGAGTACAGCAGATAGCATTGTACATGAATATATCACCTGGAAGAACACCAGGTTTAAGTATCCTTGCTTCGGATGAAAAACAGAACAAAAAAAAAATCCTGGCATGTAATAGAAGTGCCATTCTGCCACGGAGTTGTATCCAATTGATATCAACAAAAGAGCTGCAAAAACAGACATGACAGCAATTCGTGCCCGTTTCACAGTTACAAGTGAAGGATAGCGGAGTGCATGAACCACTGAAATGTAACGATCTACTGTCAACATGAGCAGAGATACAGGAGAGAGAGAGGAGATGGTGGGTGCGAGAAAGGCCTGCAATCCACACAAAGCATTACCAAAAGGCCAGTCCTGGTAGAAAGCAGCAAATGTCATTGGCAGGGCAAAGAAAATCCCAACTCCAAGATCAGCAGCTGTCAGAGCTCTCAGAAAGACTTTGGTGGTGTCCTCGATGCTGTCCACATGTCTCAGAACGAGAAGACAAAGTGGGTTCAGTGTCAAAAGGAGAATCGTTGTCAGGACAAGAAGGATACACTGGACAATCCTAATGCTGTCTGCTACATTGTCTGTTGACGCCTGTGCTGTTGAAAAATTGTAGTCTCCAGCATCCAGAAAATTTGCAGTAGAATTCATCGTGGAAAGGGTACAAAAGTGGGAATGATCAGTTATGGGAATGATCAGTTTTGTGCCAGTATCTAATCTCTTATACAAAACCAGTTATTTTTAAGCTGCTTAAAAAACAGTAAACTGGGTGTCACCTGGTATCAAGATGATGCGTCATCCAAAATTTATATGGTCAGTTGATATTTTTCCATGCAGATGTCTTGTGTTCGCATATGATTGGTTAACGCAGATCCTTCAATACTTGCAATAAACGCAATAACAGGTCTTCCTTGCGCATGCATGGCAACCTGCATCAGATCTGAGTAAACCACCACTCGGCCTGACGCCAATCGTTTCCAACCTCATTGGCATACAATTTGGCAATATAGTATTTACATTTTAACCAACGCGGCCTAACGGCCCAGAAGAACATAAACAATCTCTTTCACTGTCGTGGTATATGAACTGTTGCATGCCAACTCGCTGCCTTTATGAGTAAAAGGCCTTAGAAAAACAAGACCGAGGAAGAGGCAAAGCACACTGCAATCTTCTTGATAGAAGACCAATTGACAGACACACACAATGAATACCTACATGATGGGTATACCAAATGGTGATTTTACACAGATGATGGAACCTAGAAATGATTAATTCACATAAACTATAGGGCTATATGAAATTACTTTACCCACCAAATGCAATGACGCCTGCTTGGCGCATCAATATTGGTACACAGACCTACGAACACTTGACAGATTAAATTTTTACACGGTTATGTCTGTGTTTGTATTTAAAACTAAATGTATTAAATTGATACGCTACAACCCCGAATGGATAATCAGTAAATGAGCATTTTATTACATTTCCCACAAATTACGCACAAGTGCGTGCGTGGAGATTAATAAGTTTTGTTCATCTTAACAAAAGACACAGCTATTGGTTTGTGTACTCTTGCGTTGCATTAACAGCACATCAATCCAAGTTCTCTTCCATCTAATATCATTAGGTCTACAATCGTGCTTATGAATGGGAATAAGAATATCAATACTCGGGATGATGTAACTTTTTAAGTACTATGTGTAATGAACAAGGTGTTACAAGGTGTAATGAACAAGTGTTTTGTCAATTCAAAACAGCCTTACTGGAAAGGTATGTTATTATAAGAAGGCACCGAGAAGTCAAGTTGATGATGTGCTTTGAGAAGACTGAAAGGATTAAAAGAAAAAGAGACAATTTCCAACAAAGAAAGAAATAGTAAAACTAGACTTCAAATGTTACAGATTTAATACGTTGGTTCAACTTTTATTGCAAGTACATGTAAATGGAAAACGCTGCTGCAAAAATGTCAAGTAAGTCAGCAGGAGATTTCTGGTTGCTTGTCGGATGTCCTTGTTCCTGAAGAAATAGATGACCACGTTCAACCAACTAGTGGTCAGGATGGGCAGGTCAAGCATGAAAAAGGTTACAAAGGGGTCCGTAAGAATGTCATCGAGAAAAATCCACAAAAGGGGCATGAGGCTGAGGATGAATGCACTCAGTACGATGGTCAGTCCATCCAGAAGTTGCCCAGAATCTGATCTCCCACGACAGGCATGGGTTAAACTAAACAGGCTCCGCACCGGAGTCGGGCGTTTCAATGCTGACATGTGGAGGTGGGGCCTATCCCAGAGCGCAGCTTGCGAATGTGGAGCGGAACAGCAGACTGCTGACCACATCATCTCCGAGTGCCCCCTCTATCGCCCCCCAAATGAGTACCAAGGCCTGATCGATGTTGATGTTGATGCAGCAACCCGAGAGTGGCTTCTCAGCAAGCACCCAGAGATCTAACTACCCCTTTGTTTTTGGTTTTCACACGCAAGAAGAAGAAGAAGATGATCAGTAACGTGTGAGGCATCCTGCTGTTGGGTCTTGGAGGTGGATTACCTTCAGCGAC